TCTTTTCATAGTGGGGACTATTGTGAAGCTGGTGATTATGAAGCAAATTGGGCCTTTTCATTTCTTGGCAACACACAAAGGCCAATCACCATATAAACAAGAGCCAGGATCTGCCTTCTTTCACCGTGTTCGCTCGAGCGTGGGCCGAAAATAATAGCTAAAAATAATAAGCGGGCTGAGGGATCTCAATTTTTACGGCGGCTCTTACCGCTTCCCGGTGAGAAGAGGTTAATACTGCTGTAAGGAACACAAAACTGTGGTCAGCGTGACCAGAAGTGAAAGTACATGCAGATACAAACACAGGTCTCGAAAATATTAAGGTTCATTCTGAGAATTTGTGCATTTTCAAGCTAAATCTATGGAGGACACTGAGCATGTGCTCTTCTGATGTGATTTAGATGTAGATGTTAATATCACCGTTGACGCCTTACTGTACATACTGAATAAACATTTTCTGAAAGAAATTTCTGGATTCGTTGAACTTTCTTGAGAATTTCAGTTGCCTTTCAAGCTCGATAAAAAAAAATTCAAACTTGTCTCGTTTTTAGATCTTCGGACAGTACTGAACATACAGTGCTTTAATACATTACGTTGGCAAAGGCCAAACCAAGCATTCAGATCTTACTGTTTCATGGCTGTCTTTTTTTTTGTACGCCAAAAAGAACTGCACTTGTCCCACATAATTCATCAATTTACAATTTCCAATCTTGAAACATGTCGCGGAGTAAAAATTGCTTCCAGATTTAAGATGCTAAAGACTGCACATAATGAAGATGGGAATCTAGACACTTAAAAGCCAGGAGATGAATCAGATTTCAGCCATTCGGATTGTGGCAGCAGGGGCAGGTGCACAGGCCACACCGAGATGGGGATCCGGTTGACAAACGAGACTAGATAATTTTTAAAGCAGCAGTGAGGGCACCAAGTATTGCCTCTGTAGTGAGTGTCCATTTAAACACTTCAAAGCAGTAGTGGTTGGAGGGGAGGGGGGATTACTCCAGCCTTCCTTTAAACTTTGTGCAGTGTGCAATCCTGTTTTGTGAGGTAAATTTCAATAAAACCTGGTACACTCAGCTCTTTAAATTAATGTTAACGTAATTTTGAATTCTACAGACTAACATCTTGTGATTCTGGGCAACTTTTCTTAAGTTACATAAGAGATGCCTTGCCTCAATACACATTTTCTTCAATGGATAAGCAGGAACCAGTCTATTCCAGAGATGGTGGTTGCTATGCAAAAGCTTGCCCCGAATCACAAGGTGTAGCAACAGTGTCTTTAGTCTGGAGAATTCAACTTTAATGTTTATATGCAATCAGATAATTCAGTGTACCAGATTCTGTTCAGTTTAACTTGCAAAAGGCTTTAATACTGATGGCCAGAACCGAAACACCATTCTGATCACACGCATGTCATCGCAGACTGGACAATTGCATAATAGTTAGGGGAAAAAATACATGCTTTCTGTTTTCCCTACAAATAAAAGGGTTGCACAAAATTGAAACATCCTATCAAGTTTTTGTTACCACAGAAGTTTTTATTCATTCTCAAAGCTCCATCACGGTCAGATTTGTATCCAAAAAAGGGGACACAGGATTATTTATGCGAAGGGATTCCACTGTCACCATTCATTTCTGGCTTTTCGTATGGCTAACTTTGGGGTCACTGCTGGTTGCAACCAACCAGTTGAAAACAATAGTATTTAAAAGCTAGTGTATTAGATGATAAAACAGTAAAAAATAATCAGCAACTGGTACAGTGACGTGTCAGTCTCATCCATGATGACTGTAATTTTTAACTGAATTTTAAAATCTATTAAAAATATCTTCAATGAATCTTCCATTTTTTAATGTCTTGCGCTAAATTTGCGCTCTTAACCCACCACCAGTTTGACCATTACTTATTTTCTTCCTCAGAAGGTAATGTTACAACTTTCAAAAATCAAATTTTCAGTCACTGAGAATGTTCATTCACACTACACTGACAAAAAAGCCCAAAATACAAATTAAAAAAAAATTGTAACTGTGTTGTTAAAAGATAATTCAAGTAGTACATTTTGCACGTGGCTTTTCTGTGTTACTGGAACAGATATGTGCAAGCTACTGAATCAACAGTAGTTTTGGCTAGTTTCCAGCGCAGGAAACTCTGGGAGACAGTGCACCAGGAATGTGTGTGAACATGCTCGGGTTTTTGTGCTCAAAGTCAACAGGAATGAGAAAGTGGCACTCAAGCTAGTGCTACACTTAGCCGATCAGACAACTGCAAAAGTAAAATGGACGTATCTGTTAAAGCTGTGAATCTTAAAAAGCTATTCAAGATTTAAAAAAAAAAAAGGAACTTTATGTGTTATCTGGTATGTACATCAAAGTTAATCTAACATGTACATTTGTTTATGAACAGCTATCAAAAGTTCTCCAGTCACTACTAAGTACAATATTCTATAGGCAGCAATGGTGATCAGACACAAGTTAGCTAATTCCCACATCATTAACATCAAAGGTAGTACCGTTTTCTATACAATATATAATAAACACACGATAATCCAGTACATACAGTTTAAACAAGTACTTTTACATAGTCACATTTATTTAAAAAAAAGTACAGGGACTATAGACCTAAGATTTTTGTAATTAAAACATCTTGTCAAAATATCATTTGTACAAATTTTTTTCCCTTTTAAAGTGAAATCATAAGATTATATTGAAATCGAACAAGACTGAAGAGTGAGGGGAGATGCGAGATACTAGAGGCAGAAGTGGACAGGAGGGTGGGTGGAGCTAAATCTGATTGAAGGAGGGACAAAGTCCATAACCTACACAAAGATTTGTGTATAAATAGCGGATGATGCTGTTATCGGACCTAAAAACTTACCTCTTGGTGCATTAATGCAGAGATGTGATGGATTAGTGAGAAATTCGACAGCCTGCTTACTACATGTACATTCAGTATGTTTTAGAAGTTGACTCAAGATCTCTTGATGGCTTCGAACCTCATAGAGTACCGAAGTGTGACGTCACTGTGAACCAGAAAGTGCAGTGCAAATGATTGTAGTACGCACGCGTGTTGGTTCACGCACTGGTTCTCGAGCTAGTGCCTTTTACACACTAATTGTGCACGTGACGTATTCACTTCGGTACTCTATTATGTTTCAATTATGGTTTTGTATAATGATGAGCTTCAGCCCCACCTACCTTTCCTGCTATTGATAGATTTTTTTAGTGCACATTCTGATGAAAATTCAATGGACCACATTGTCTTTTGAACCCTCCCCTCTATATAAACCCTTCCTAATTAGTGTCTCAACATTAGGACTTTTGTCCTTTCAACACCACCTCTTCAACTATCTCACAAAAAATACTTCAAGATAAATATATAGATTTTTTTAGAAAATAAAAACGGAAGGAAAACAACTGATTTCTGTAGTTCCTGGTAATATCAACTAGGTACAAATCCTAATATCACACATACCAATAAAACATCTGATACGACTTAAGTCATTTTACAAATTTCTACTTTAAACCAAATGTATGAAATTTCCCACATTTAATATTTAGGATAACTCTGCAGAACAATTTCCATTCTGGTTGTCCGTACTCAGAATGTCTTTTCTTGCCGAGATAAAAAATCACATTGGGACAATGCCTCCCTGCTAAAAATAGCATCTTTCCAGCCTTGTTGTATGTTGCCAATCGTTCCCAACCCCGGACGGACGTGCTTGCACAATCTCCACCGGGCTAATTAAGTTCTGAAAGGGTCCCCTGGGGTATTACAGTGACTGATAGATGTTAGACAGTGACCCTGTCTATCAAAGAAGTGAATGGACCATCTACAAAAGTGAACCAAGCAGCAAAACGACCTTGCAACCAAACGGACATTGCTAGTGTAACGACAACTCATTACAAAAGTTCGTCCACAGCTCCCCCCCCCCAGTCTTGGCACAGCTGTTCTTTAATCCTCCATTTCAACACAAACCTTCAGACCTTTCCACATGTGCCAATTGGCAAACGTAGGGGTTCGCTTCAACCTGCAGGGTTGCCATCTTTCTCTATGACTTGCGGCATGAGATCAATACTGGAGACTTTTCCCAGATCTCGGCTCTGGATCAATCTTGGGGCTTTAGGCATTTCTGCTGTCTGCTTTCATCAACATGAACACCCAGTGTGTGTGGTGAGAGGTCAAGCTTTTGAAAAAAAATGCTCATTTGATTCCCAAACTAGGTGTTTGGAACTGGTTGCAGAACTCAAGGTAAAGCCGTAGACGGAGGAAAAATGAGACTTGGCAATAGACCCCAGACTCTTAATGGACAAGGGCACAGGCCGATCCGTGATCACAATTCCAAAACATTCACGGAAGCGGTACATGTACCTCGCTTCTTGTGCGTGCTGCGCATAATTCTCAATTCAAGGCACACACGCACATGAATTACACTGTAAGTGAATTATTGATCGAAGAACCTTGAACCGTGTAGGAAGAACCATTTCTAGCTTGGTACTGTAAATGCCATCATTAATCTCAGTGCTGAGGGATATTTACCGCTCAGTTGATTAGTGCCGACACCATGAAACTGTTCACAACATCAATCCTTGTGCTGAAATAGACACCATGCAAAGTTATGTGCTGCCTCCATTATTAAAGATCTGAACCAAATTCTAAACAGATGCAGAGTATGACGGAAACTTCATCTTTTTAAAAAAGTTTGCCTTTTGATGATGTAATTTCGTATGTCCTAAGCAACATGTGGAAGCTTGGGTGAAAAAAAAACAAGTTGTACATCTCAAAGCATTTGCAGGGAAATCTGGAATTGAAAGTACATGTATGTTCAACCTTTTAAAAATGGGACTATGGCTTAAACGTCACGTGTGAACCGACCTTAACATAACATGATCACACTTAAAGACCCCTGCTGACGCAATCTGCACGCATGACTTGCCGACATGGCGACCGACCACAGACAAGAGGCAGGCTTATAACAAGCCAGTCCCCTCTGGAGTAACGTGTGCCAATCCCGGGTGGCTCTTGCTGCAATTGGAAGACCTGGTGGAGCGTGCACCTTTGGCTTGCTAATGCGGATGGGATTAAACACTGCAGAATCAAACACTCTTGTGGATGAAGATGCTTCACAAGCTTCAGAAAGAATTTGGGTGAACAAGCATAGCTGAGATTTTAAAAACTAATCAAGAAATAAAAACTGGAATAAATAGTGCAGAAATTGGAGAGAATTTACACTTATATCAATATGTCTGTGCTCTGCTAACAAATCTCCATTCCATGGACTCTTACTGGTTATTGGAAGAAATTCTTTTTTTCAACTGAAAAGGCACTCACTAGTACCATCAGTACTAGCACTAGTACTTCATTTGGTTGTCCAAAAATATTACTATCCTCATGCGCTGTGCGCAAATTTCAATGTACATGTACATTAGTACTGTAAGAATTAGGATTAGGAAACTCCAACTTTGGATATTTTAACTTTAATTTATCCCGGCTTGATAATTTTTGCAGATGCAATGTCTCACTGGAAAACTTGTGCATGATCCGGTGCTAAAAGGTAGCACAAATTTTCGGTTTCAAATTTTTTTTCAGGGTATCGAATCTTCTAAAGCACAGACATATGAACTTGTCAACATAATTTCGTCAAACTTTCTGGACTACAGGATATTTCTACTTTCATTTAAAATCACTCAAAATTTCCACCCCCACCAAAAAAAACAAAAAATTAAAATATTAAAAATATAAATAAAAATGTAACTGACAGTTACCGTAATAATGTGAAGTACTGACAGAAATGGAGAGTACAGGTACTTGTAGTCTCAGTAGTCTTGTTTCTTTCCAAACAGTTATATTATGGGATAGCAAATAATATAGACCCCTTCCCACACCACCCCATCATGACGCTGTTACTGTGACATGTGACAAACACAGTGATAGGGATTTGTGCAAAGTCAGTCCCAAATACTGGTATTCTGTACAAAGGTAAAACACGGGATTGACCCAATGAAAGTACTCTGCTCTCGGGAATCGGAGAATTGCGACTGAATTGTCTCCCTGTAAACCAGCTTGAGTCTTTTAAACAGATGACAAGATTTCTCCGAGTAGATGATGCCGACCAAGCAAAATTGGCCATTGGAGTCATACCTTATTTAACTACTCATTTAAAATCCTTGTTCTGTGAGTAGGTTACAAATACTTCCATTAAAATAATTAACAAGATTCATTCTCCTGAAAACTTTTTTTTTGGTTTCAATGTATAAATTCTAAAATATACCCTTTGGTATTTACAAATCACGGTTTACATATCTGACCAGGCTGTGAAGATAACAATACGTTGGAACAGGCAATCTCGGCTGAAATTGAAGATCTGCTGATTACAGACGGTTGTTGAGCTAAAACCAGGTTACCAGCCAAATATCACGAAATGCTACGCTCTCACTGAGGCAGGTTACCACCTAAGGCTGCATCTGAATGACTTAGCCGCTGCCAGTGTAAACGTGTGTGTCTACGGGAAGTGGCTGCGGCCATTACCTGGCGGCTTCCATACCGGTAGGCTTGTGTGTCATTTCTAGCCGCAGCAATAAATTTCAGAGTCTGCCTAATCTTTCATGGTTGAATGACCTTGTTTAACCCTCAAAGAACCCCATCAACAGTTTCTCCAGTATCATCATAGTCCATTTTTTTTCACATGCCAAGGCTTCAGGAGTTTTTTCAGGAGTTATTTTGACACCAATTTTGTGAGAATTGGACATGCATTTCTCACGCAATGCACACTTTTCCAAAATGGGCCTGCCAGAATACATACTCTTTCCACTGGCTGCTCGATGTCAGACAGGTCAATCCATTTAAGGTCATGATTTCAAATGACCGTACCATCCAAACTCTGCACTGAAACTCCACACTTGTAATGATAATGAGCGTCTTTACACGCGTCCTAAGTTTCACAATGATCAGGCTGTTGTTGAGGGGTCCCCCCAGCTGCGAAATGGTCCAAAATAACCTGACTCTTTGAGAGTTAAATGAATCCATGTTGGATTGAAAGTACATGTACATGTTCAAGTACATTACTTCCTGTGACCCAAGATTCTGTCTGAGGAGCACAGCATTTCTGATTTCCGTCTCAGCTTCGACTGTTAACTCTAACACTCCTCAGTCCTCCAACAGGTGAAGGATTGAGGAGTGTTAGGGTTAATGATATTCCTGTGAACACGATTATGAAACTAACATGAAATGAAACTAACCCATACTACAATGTGTATACATCACATGTCCACATATTTGAAACACACGTGCATTTTAGTGAAGAGTTCTTAACACCCTACGGTCAAAGGAGTGTCGTATGTGCACAGGTGACGTGCTTGTGAGTGAAGTACTATTTCATTGAGCTTTGTAATTGTTGCTATCAGATGAGTGCAGGGAGGAACTTTGGCTTAGTACCGGTAGAGACCTTTCCACTCTCAAGCATTACTGATTATGGACTATTTCCAGGTCTCAGGGACCAAGACAAATACTGACTGATTTAACAGGATCTTCTACCGTTTATGACCGATTAAAAAAATAAAATTACGGAATACACACAAAGCAGCCACCACAAAAACTACCCCTCTGAAGAGTTACTGTACAGGACATGAGCAGAATGTATCCCTTGCACCAAGTTTCCACCAGCTGGCTGAATCCACCACAGGGAATACATTCTGATTGCTTTCATAGATTGATCTCAAAGGCCTTGGTGGCATTGGCGAAGGGATTGTTGGCCATCACCGGGGTCTGGTTGCTGGGGAGGGCCTCCCACTTGGCCTCAAAGGAGCTGGAGTAGCCATTGGTGGGGCCGCGCTGGGCGGCGGCCGAATCGGGCAAAGTCCTGGACAGGTCCGACGTCCAGCCACCGCTAATCCCCACGCTGCTGCTGCCGGTTCCGTCGGCAGCCAGGGCTTGTTGCTGGGGGCGCCCAGGGATGAAGACGGGTGCCGTGGCGCTGTTGTTGAAATTCATCGCCGGGGGTTGGTTGGCGATGACCATCGGCTGGGTGGCCTCGTATGTTGCATTCTGCAGGTGGACGGCAGGCTGGCGGCCCACGCTGCTGCTGCTACCGAAGCCGTTCTGCATAGGCGCGGCCGGCACTTTGGAGACCGTCTGGGAGGTCTGGTTCAGCCACTTCTCGGCCTGGGAGACGCCATTGGCACCGGCCATCTGCGCTGTTGGGGGATCCCAGGGATTCAGACTGGCCTGGGCCTGGGGTTGAGATGCCCAAGGGTTGGTCTCTGTCTGTGCAAGTACTGCTGGAAAAGAAACAAGTGAAATACAGCTTAGTAGTCAACAAACTAAAACTCTGAAGGAATCTGCTCCTTGAGGGAACTAATAAGAGATGTGGTGTTTTAACACAGCAACTACAGTCCAGGGATGGAAACTCACCACGTGCATGCATATACCAGTATTCAGTTGCACATATTGCGTGACGCACTGAGCACTGGCAAACAATTTCTGTTGCCATGCACATTCCTCTTAGTCAGTGAGGGTGGACCTCAACTCAGGGAGGATTAAAGTTTGATCAAGTCTCTAGCATTATTCAAGCAACTGCATGTATGTGTACAATGAATCAGCTCTGTTGAAGGGCCTGTTGCATTCATTCCTGCAGCCCAAAAGAGTTTCACAACCTGTTCAGTCACATGACAAGGAATCATTTGACTGTCCTTCCCCAAGATCAAAATAACATGGTGATGATATCAGGCAATCAGTCACACTTAAGGGGTCATATGAAAATAAATGGACATGCACATAAGACAACATACTTGCAACTGCCCAATTTGTAAGCAGTCCAGACATGCACATGGGCAGGTCTTCATTGCATTATTAAAAGGGAGCAATTTCTTAGTCATTTCATCTTTTTAAAGTTGAGGAATAAGTTGTGGGGACAAACATTTGCCCTAACAACGTTTTTTTGCTCCCCACAACATCTACATGTATGTTACAACATGTCCGTAGTCCTAAAAACTAAGAGGACTAACAGCTACCGTGAGGTGTGCGTCTTCTCAAAAGTTTACTAGAAAACTCCATTTTTGTTATCAAATCACACACATTGTAAGTGCTCAGACAACCTTCAGAGACCTTTTTAAAATGTTTACTGAAAGCACAAGGTTTTCAGGAGGGGAAAGAGTTCAACATCTAACTCTGTGTTTCAATATTGACCTTTCTTTTGTACACAGAGCTCCCAAAACACACGAGTGAACAAATGGGACTCATCAATGACATACAACTTGTGTCTCTTCTGACACATATCCTTCAAAACACTTCCAACATTTGCACCTGAGTACATTAAATGGCATTCCGGGGGGGGGGGACAAAATGCTGTTCAAAATCTGCACAGAAAAAAAGAGATGATTGCTCTATTCAGAGTCCTCAGTATGCCACTGTTTCTTAGCTTTACCGGTAACTTTTAATTTGATGTTCCCCGCAAATATATAACACATTTTAACAACATGCATCGTCTAGCCTCATCCTTACGCCGTCTTGAAACATTTAGTCTCTTGACGCTGTCGGCTGTTGAGTACCGACTGCAGAGCACTTGTCCCTTGTGATTTCTGCTGGGGAATGCAGTTTTTATCTCGGCCGAGTGTGTTATTCTTTTTGGCCCTGGGGGAAACCGCGTCTGTCCCTTTTGCCGTGATGTGGGAAAAGCGGTTGCATGAGAACAAAGAGTGCGTGATGTAATCTATTTCTAAGTGCATGCTTGCGCGGGGCATGGAAAGCTCCAGTGATCTTTATCAGCACTTTGTCTGTAGAGCAAATCTTCCCGTATGACACTTTAAAGAAAATGCATGTATAGTCACGACTTCACTGGACATGTGTTGATAATCTTAACCCAGACTGAATTTAAAGAAATTTGCTGGAGAAATGGATACTGATTGGTTGACCCTCAAAATTTATACAACACAGGGTGAGCTTCCGTGGGGATAAACAGACACATGTGACAGTGAAAAAAATGCCTTCCTGAAAGGTAAAGCCATTTAAAAAAAAAAGACACATTTTCTCTAAAAAGGCAGGCCCGTTCACCTGGTACAAAGGAGTCCAGGCAATGGACATTTCTTAGGCACACTTTTTATGCAACTTCATACACTTCTTCAATGTATGAAAACAATTTGACAACCTTTGTGGTTTAAACAAATTGAAAAAGGCACTTTTTTTAAACACTTAAATTGTCCAGGCCACTAATGCTGTAATATCAATCACAGAAAACACTAGATTTTTATCTTCAAATCGTGAACTCAACGTTGCTAAAGTGAAAGGATTTTTGAGAAAGGTTTGCTCACTGGCTTAATGCACTGTACTCAAGCAACAATGAATCACCCTCCCCCCAAAAAAGAAACAACAAAATAGAACAGCAAAACTCCGAAAATTCCTGCCTTTTTGTGCACAAATCAGTGCAATTTTCTCCCTGCAATGACAGTTTTGCTCATGCATATGGAAATTTATTTTACATAAAAAACAAACGATGTACCAACATGCCTTTTGGTAACAAAACAACAGCAAAAACAGTGAAAATAAGGTTGACTGAAACCCCAAAGTACATTCTCAAGAATGTAGTGGGGAAAAAAAATGCACAGCATACATGTACGTGCATTCAGACCCCTTTAATAGGAGTTTCTATTCCACCGATCCAAACCTTGTTCCTTCCATCAAAGAGGAAGGATCTATGCTTCCATGGGGCCAAATAACTATCCACTGGTGGCATTTATCATGCTTAATTGCATGGCCTCTCACTATTGGCCTGGGGTCGTCCCTTTCCCATTCGATATCTCGCTCATAGGTGCAAGTTAAATAAGTGCTTTATACTTGGCTTTTTCCTTGAAACACCGTAGAGACTTCCAGCTGAATTTCTCTTCTCTCCTGTTGTTTCTGTGGTTTGTTAATGCAAAGGATCATGTATCATCACTTTTCATAGTGCCTTAAATACAATGCAAATTTACAGGTGAGACAATTTTGTATCCATAGCCAGTCTGCCAACGTTTTCAAGAGATATGTTCAAGAGATATGCCAAAAATAAGAAAAAACCTTCTTTGCTTCTTGATGCGCCCTTTTTGTTGGACGTCACAAGAGAAAAACAATTGCTGTTAATCCTAATGAGTCGTCACAGAAGAAATAACTTTAAGTCACAACTGACGAACAGGAGACAGGGCTGTCTGCATCTTATAAGTGATAAATTATCTAACTGGAACAACAAATAATCCTTTTATCAATAAACTATATGAATTAGTCAAAATACAGTTGTAAGAAAATCACAGTTGAATGACCGAAGTTTTCTGTGTTTTTGATGAAAATATGCATGCTTGTCTCGTGTTATTCATATAAAATGATATTGACAGTTCTTGGGAATGTGTTTTGATAAAATAGCGACGGTCATAATAAACAAGTAATGACAGAGGCCGTTACAAAATATAGGCCGTTGTAAAATATTACAAGGTCGAGATTGATGACATTCAATTGAGAAGTAAGCCTTTGACCTTGTCTGCTTGTGGCAATTTATATCAGGATTGTGGTTAACAGACAGTACGCGGCAGGCAAGGAGGCAACGTCTTAAAGGCCCCGGTATGAATTTCCATTAAATGACTTCTTTTTCACACACTGTCAATAAGTTGTTGCTACCACTTAAAACAACAATCTATGTTGGTAATGCGCGAGGAGTACACTATCACTCATTAACTACACACTACAGATTTACAACCAAGTCACCCGAGTTCTTCACTAGGTAGCCATATTTGAAGTCTCCATGAGTTCATGGCTGCATGCACATGCTGTTTAAAAATTAACTGGTATGGCCATCTGGACTTGAGCATTTGAACACTCCGTACAGAGGTACCGGTACGTGATTTATCAACCGCGACATGCGGGAATGGACATATTTCCATCAGAGAGTTTGGTTGTTTTTTTTTCTCAGCGATACACAGATTGTTCACAATACCCAATCAGCTTTCAGAACAGTCTGAGCAAACTGCTAGGAATTAAACGAATAAGAAAACAATTCAAGAATAACTCCCAGCGAATTAGCCATAAATACATGTATGCAAAAAGCTTTACTGAGAGTTGTTTAAATTGGCTGACTCTGTAAACTACACATACATGTACATACTGTTCAATACATGTACATATGTACACATACTAGTACATGTACAAGCATAGTGTTCATTTTAGCATGATAGCCAGAAAAATAATTGGACCCCTGCACAAGAGTGCAGCATGTAAATAAAGGTACAACATGAGGTATGCTGTTCCAAGTGCATCTACCACTGTTTACCAGACACTAGTAATATAAGGCCATGTCCGAAATGGGCTTCCAGAGCTACGGCTTGGTCTACTGTCTGCACGTCTCCACGCAATTCCAACGGAGCGAAGACCTAGACCTAGCTCTAGACAAGAGATTCGGATGCAGCCTCTGACATGTAGTGGGTACCGGTCTATCAATCAGATTTATACAACGCTTTTTTTCTTCTCACTATGGAACAGAATATGATTGATGTTGCTGAGTCTTAGTCTATTCAGAGAAAATCTGTTTGTTTTCTCCAAGACAAGCCACTCAGATTTGTCATATAGCGGTATATGCATGTCAAACTGCAAGCCGTTTCTTCCATTTAAATTTCACGGGAAGTATGAACATGTTGATCTACTGTACGTACGAGGGACTAACGAGGGTAACGAATGACTTGAATCGCAGTTTTGAGTCATCTTTCAAGTCATTTTTCAAACATCAAAATGCCAGATGCATTTGAGTTGAATAAAATAACTCAGGGTTTGACTTGAGGGAGATGCATGACATGTGACTTGACTCCGAGGAAAATGTGCCGCTCAAATGACTAGCATTTGGTACTCAGGCTACGTGTAAAACTGTCTGTGCGTGCCTTTCAACATTATGAGCTCCACAGGCTTTCAAGCTGTCTTTAAAACCATTTCTTGTAGAAACGGCATGTTGACATCTGAAAATCTACTAACCAAGCAACCATGAGATATTGATAAAAATTATGTTGTGACAGTTTACGGACCAACTCCTTGCAAATGTCACAGCGGACATAAACAGACGAAGAATTGAATAACATGTAACTGAAACCTGGTAACTGAACGTGTCAAAGACATCAAGCATGACAGTTTTTCGTTGTGTAATTCTGCATTCAAGCCCTTTACGCACGTACACGAGTAATTCTACCTTTGAATCTGACAATAACAAGCTTTAACACCTTGCTAGGAATACCTTCAGATTCAAAATGGGGGGGGGGGAGGTTGGAGGGGAAGCAAAATCAATCAGGGATGAATTTAATAAAAATGGCATCAAATTAGATTTAGCTATTTTGGCGACGCTCGGGCGTTGAATGCCCATGGCCATTGCGGACACCCCGTAATGGCTGTTAGCCACCGCAGCAGCATTTTCAGGAGTCTGGTTTGGGGGAAAATATGGATCAGAAGGTGGGGTGGGGGGGGTAGACGTGAAGAGGTTGAGAGGGTCAAGCCTCGGTGATGACAAAGTGTAGGGAATTGGAGGGGAAAAAGGCATGTTACATGATGACAGTTGGGCAAAGCAAGTGAGGTGAAGTCGTTGTCTAATCACCCCCAAATAAATTGTAATTTTTGCAGAAGAGCAATTTTTTTCAAAGTCAGGGANTTTGCATTAATTCATCACTCTTGGAAATTAGGAAAATATCCTTGAAAGAAGGTTTTCTTCTTGTGACACTGCTTCTCATTTTTGGGGAATTCTCCATTTGTCTCCGCATACTTCGTCCTGTTCCCAAAAAAGAAGGGTCTATATATTGCAGCGTAACAGGGACACAGAAAAAAAAAATGGAATCCTAATTTCTGAAATTACCCAGGTACTAGTAAATCACTTCCTTTTTTATAACAAGTACAATTTCATAGTCACCAAGGGCATTTAAGACGAACAATACTTCAATCATTTTGGTTGCTCACACCCATCAGATCCTACTTTGTTTTCCATATTTGCATTTGGAAATATGCCCAGTTAATAGCAACATCCTGTGATACTGTACATGTAATAAAATTTATTTAGAATAAAATTATGGGCATAAACTACAAAGTCACAAAAGTTGTGTTTACGCCTGTCATGACTATAATTTGCTCCACTTCACTGCCTTTCAATGATGTCATGAAGTCGTTACCAGCACTGCACGTAACTAGGCCGTATTCCAATACTGGGCTTGGGCTCCGTTTCAGGCTTAAACTGTTTTTTTCTTCCTGACTTTGAGGTTGTAAGCGCAATAGTAAGTCTGACAGTGCCACAAAACATCAAGTAAGATGCAAAAGAGCCAAAAATTACAGTATTTCAATTTGATTTTAAGCGCTTCAGGCTCACAATTGAAGATTGGTTTCCTACATGAAGCCTGAGATAGAGACGAAGTTGAGTATTGGAAAATGGCCCTAGTGTCTCGTGGCTTGTGAGGAAAACTATAACCAAGAATAATAGCTGGAGTGGACTCATCCACAACTTTCTCCTTACCAACACACAAAAAAAACACGATACCTTGTTGTGCTGTCATGGGCTGCCTTGTCGTCACCATGGGCTGCTGAGGCACAGGTTGCTGCAAGGCGGCCGCAGCTGTGGGCTGGACGGCCAGGGGCTGCTGCTGTGGGACAGGCTGCGTTGGGAAGGCATCTCTACTGGACAACTCAAACAGGCCTTCCGAGAGCTCCTGGCAGGCTGCTGAAATGCTGATGGCCTGGCCAGGCTGCCCCACTGCCACTGCTGGCTGCTGCTGTTGGAATGGCTGTTGCTGCTGTTGAGGTACTGGCTGCAGCTGCTGTTGCTGCTGCTGTGGGAATGATGCGGAGGCAGATGGACTGGTTGGCGGAGTCACTGCGGATAACAAACAGAGAATAAATGAGCATCTGCATGCAATTCTATCTGGTCAAGGGTGAAAGTACACAGAAATCCTGCAGTTTCTTCACAGCCATGCAAGAGAGGTTCAGCCATCTTTTCGTGAAAACAGCAGATGAACGAACAGACAGGCACTCTTATGATTAATGAGATGCCACAACAGGTGCATATGGTAGCAGCCATACACCCCTTATTCGGACATACTGAATCCTGCCGGCAGCAGAGGAATGGAATAAACAGCAAATCCTGCTTTTGTTGTGCATGTTTTTGTCACAGCTGTGCTTAGTGGGAAACTAAGGCTGGTCCTTCAGTAAGCATGACAGCAGGATGCCTAGTTATGTTTCTCTTCTATTGTTCTACCTGTCACTGGGGCTGTGAGTGTCACTGATTGGATTGGATTACTTAAACACAGGAGGGCACTGAATGATTTGCATACATGCCACCTGTTATAAATGGGATTGAGGAATACTGAGATTTGAGAGTGGATTTTACAGCCTGACAAAAAGGAATAGAGGAATTTTTTTTTAATGGCATAAATGCCTGCATCACATCATAGCTTTCTCACAGAAACCTTCTTTGACAATGCCATCTTCCCAAAGCTTGTCCTCAGAACTTTGATCTCGAGTTTTTTCAGGGTGCCGTTTGATTCATCTAAAACAGACTAGGCTTATCAAATGTACTCCCTAAATACAGCATGAGATCAAAATGTACTTTTCAGTCAAAGTAGAATTTCTTCAGTAGGGAATATATTTATACATGCAAGTTCATGCACAGCAAAATTAGAGTTTTAAACAATACCATAGCAATGCAAAAAGAGTCATGCAATGTCTCCCATCCAAAAATTACTGCTTGTCTCCCCAAGATTAGTAAAAACAAAATCTAGGAAAAATTAAGATCTTGGATGGGGGAGGGGATTGGCCAGTTACATGCGTACGTATCCATTGGAAAGGCTTGCAATGTTCAGTAAAACAAAGTCAGTCAAGTGAATATTATCTGCGACCAATTAAAGGACTGTTCTCATAGGATGTTTTCTTTTATAACACCTCACCCACAGATCCTGTGTCTTGATTGGCTGAGAGCCTGTCACACAGCATTTGCTATTTCAGCTATCTTGTGTGTGGTCAAAAGAACCCATAGTAACCAGAGTATATTTGTACTATTACCTTAAGCAAATTAAGAACTATATGCATGACAACCGGCGTTGTGTGTAAATACATACTGGCGTACACATTGTGCATGACGCCCATGCTGAAGTGCTTGCGTTACAGAGCTGGGTTCAAACATTTTGTGAAGAGGTAGTTTACAAAAATGCCGGTGCATACTGTGTCCTACAGATTCTGATTCAAACAGACGTATTTTTACGTAGTAAAATCAAATTAATCAGTTATTGCTTATAAATCAAGCATAATATGTGGTAAAGGTGTTATAAAACAAGTATCAACTGCTTTATCTTGTGATGTAGTAAAACTAGCCTCCGTCAGTGATCCATGATCCATGGAGCATGCCATGGATCACCTTTGGGAGGCTACTTTTACATGTACATGTACATGTACTTCACCACTCGAAGCAGTCAGTGAAATCTTCTGTGCCTACGGTAACTCGTTTCATTCTGGCTATTTTAAAGCTACATATCCATTCATACTCTACAAAGCTCACATTTGCCTTGTTAATGTAAAATCACAGCCTTAAATACATGTAAAAGTAAAATTTAATTATTCGGTTATCGGGTAATTGGTGTTATCCCACATGCTGTTGCATTTGCATGCTTGTATTTCCTGCGGTACTTTAACAACAACAAAGTCAAATTAAAGTTGAAACCTTGAGATCAAGGTGACATCCTCAAAAATCAGTGTTCCTCTCTAAGTTAGTGCATTAACAAAAAACATTTCGAACAATGCCAAGCAGCCATTCCTAACACTAAAGCTTCCTTTTTTCCCCGCTTCTGCCAAGAGAAAACCTTTAATAAGAAATGCAACATAAACAGACAAGCGACAGGAATACAGACTCTATCCCAACAAAAACAGTGACGACAAGACAAGGCAGTGCGAACAAAATCTCCCAACCACAGAATAACCAAAGCGGATTTTGCCATGCTCAATACAAACCTTCTTCACTTTCATGTCTTTCAACCATCTCTTCTTCTGAAGGCACTTTGGCAAAAGAAGATGCAAGATGACACAATTTACATTCCAACACTGACGTGGCACAGACGTACATTGTAACTCACACTTCATATAATACGGATGATTCCAAGAGGTTGCGTAAGCCAATCTTGTCAAAACGTAGGGGATACAATCCTTCCAAAACATCTCAGCAGTCCCAAAATATATCAATTCTTCCACCTACATACAAGTATACTGTACCAAACACAAATGGGTGCTGGCTACCCCATGGTGCAATATTTTAAGGGCAAAGTGCTGATATATATGTGAGACTATCAAAGCCTTCTAAAATGGTTCGTACGGCAGGACAATGTTAGCCTGAGGTTGTCTCAGTGTTCTGAATTGAGAGAGTTTTACTGATGACATCTAGAAATACATCAAAGCAAACAATGTGCATTTCAGCTTAAACAACAAATAAAAATTTCTACAGCGCCCCCCCAAAACTTTACAGCCTCTAACAGCGTGCAGCCACTGACATTCTAGAAAGACTCTTTCATCCAGTATTACAAAACGGCTTCTGTATTTTAATATATGTTTACATTATTCATGAATGAGAACTACCAGCACATACATATGCAAATTTGCAAGTTTGAAAAGGGATCCTCTTACTTTTCTTCTCGGCAACCCCCAAAAAATGACTGTGAAATGGCATAGAGACTGATCAAGTTTGATACACCAACTGTCTGCACTGCCCTTCCCCATCACAGTACATGTATATTATACTAAGGATGCAATTGAAGAAAAGAGAAGGAGTGACGTAGCCACTTAGTGCCCGGGGGGGACGTGCGAACACAATCAGGCCATCTGTCTACAAAGGCATGGTTAAATAGCCACACGCACCCCCAAGTCACTTCCGGCTGTCATTCATACACAGTAATTCCCGATGTGTTTTGTACATATACAAAGCCTGAGAGGTCTCTAGAGGCAGACCACGTGCTGAACTTCAATTCTACCACGGTGCACCGCCTGTGCAGTTGCGAACTTTCCCTCCGTGGCCATGCCTAGAGTGTTTGAAGAATGTATGGCCGTTGTTGTATTGTTCAAATGACGCTTCCGAGCCAGTATCGGTTTGGTCGCAATTAGAAGTTGGCCGATGTATCTCGCCATTTTCCGAGAGTCAAAATTTTCGGCCAAAATAACACCGCTGGCGAGTGGTTAAAAAATGGGGCGGTACTCACCCTCGGGGTGCGTATGCAGGATGTTTTGCTGCCGCTGCAGCGTGGAGGGCAGCTCGTTGAGCCGCAGTGACAGCTGGCGCTTAAACGGTGACTGCACGTTCAGGTTGGGGAAGCCGCGGAAGGAGCCCTGGCGGAGCAGCATGGCGTCTGGGGCATGCTGCCGGGGTCTGGCAAAGGGCATTTCGGCTGGTTTGGGACCGACAACTTCTGCAATCCAAACAGAAAAAAAACCCCCCAAAACTAATTACATAAAGAAATAAATATGAGAAAAGCTTTCAAATTTATAATCGCAGAAGGGAAACTGTCTAGGTCTTTGAACAATTGGACTATGGTAGAACATGTACATGTACATCAATGCAGTTTGTAAAAATTATCCAACCATACAAGACTCAACTCACAGAATTCCATAGGGTTGTCTAGGGGGCGTGACTAACTAGCAAACAGCAATTGATCATTAGCTACAAGGATGAAGAAGCAGAATTGGAGTGGGATACTGAGCCCGCAACCTCTAAAATCTCAGTACAGTACAAACACCCTATCAACAGACCTATCCAGGCCATTTGGGACTTTCAGACGAAAAAAAAATCGAGAGGCCTATCCATGGAGCAGACTACATGCAACACCATGAACCAAAACTGACCAACCACTGAGAAATGAACTGCTTTCGAGAGTTGTGTAAGGAACTGCATGCCAAGTAATCAATATGCATAGCATTTGTAGTGCATGAACAATGTACAGCAAAGTCCTAGGGACCTTACAAATTACTTTGTTATAATAGTGACCTGGTACAGGTACCTTGGGTTGTCAGTAAGGGAAGGGAAAAAAAAGACTTGGGACCTAAAATTGTCCTTGATCTAAACATGACATTGTATTAGCAGCATTCCTATCTGTGTTCCACTGTCCAGGTAATTGACAAGTAATAATCAGACACATGAATGGAGTCTTTCAAGGGTATATGCAAGTACAAAATTTTCAGTTATGAGTAAAAAGATGAGGAATATCCCTCATGAGGATTCTACAGCATGCTGAAGAAGGAAGGGGTTGGGCTTGGCACCTTGGATCTCGTTTTCTTTCTCAGCCTCCTGGGCAGCGGCGGCCTCCAGTTGCTCTGTCATGGTGGGCTGGCGGAAGGAGCCCTGCCGGGTGAAGCTGGTCTTGTTGACATCAAACTCCACCTTGACACCGCACAGCTTGTCCCGCTGCTGTTTGCGCTCCAAGCAGGCGGCGAAGGCGCAGCCCACTGCATGGCTGAGACGTTCCCCCTAGAGGATGAAAACAAGGCATCAATCAGGATGATGATCGAGATCTGTTTTATTCCAACCCCTGGGCCTGGGTTTGATACCCAACTGTGGCCATACATTATGCGTGTATCTTTGTTCTTTTTTCCCCCCTATTTGAGACCAGGGTATTTCTCCAGGATCCGTGGTTGTTTCAAACGGCAAAAATCGACACTACCAATCTCAGGCCATGCTCTGCAGTCTGATAGGCGTCCGTTGATAGCTGCCTCTGGGCTGGTTCATACTGTACTCCAGGCTAATGCTGAAGTGAAGCAGGGTTGACAGCACCAAACATTTGCTGTGAAATTTGCATGTGAGTTAAAATATATTCAACTTTTGTGAATTGACAGTGCAATCATGTCACTCACGTCACAACCTGAGATTGGGGTTTACATTCCGGCCAAGCACGAGCTGGCCTTGTTTGGGGAGAAAAGGTAACACATTTTGTTGTTATGGCCTGAATACTGGCAGTGTGCAATTTCAAATTCCGGATGGGGAGGGGGAAACCAAGGGAGAGACACAGACTTCCCCCGGGGTCCACGTCCCCCCTACAGTTATGCCACCACTGCCTGTGGCATCTTTACATGCCTTTGGCTCAATCAAGTCTTAGCTGCTGCATCCTTCCAACTTCAGCCTCATGCGTGTAGCAGCGAGTCAGGATGATTGACCTCCAATATCGTTATTGCGTTATTATGGTTTTGGTCATTGTTATCTAAGGCTTGACGTCACCTAAGACTCAATTCAAAGCTCTAAGGATGCACTTAAAGGTTTCCTGCATAATGGATGGATTTTGGAGGAATTAGGAAAGATCCACATGAAAAATGCCAAAGGGCTTTTGGGGCTAAAGATGCCAGGAAAATATGCCTCCCCGTGCAAGTAACTGGAATCCACAAATATAATAACAGTCATGACAAAAGGGTATGGCTAATTGACTTTGGTACTGGCATTCCTGTATTGCCATTAATACGAGAGAGAAGAGGGAATTTCTGAGCAAATTATTTACCCTAATTATCACATCACTCCTGAAATCGTTTTGTTTGTATTAATTGGCATTGGTATCATCTGCGACACAAATTATTATCACGGAATAACCAAGTCACATGTATGCTTCTGTTTCCTTGTGGAAATTGTGGGACAGCTTTTTTAGATTTCTCAAAGACAAGCACGCCTACTCAGCTATCAGCTCATCTCAGCTATTTTAAAGTCTACTGGTTTTTTAACAAAAAAAAAAGTAGGTGGGTGGGGCCAGTGAGAAGAGAGGGGAGGTCAATGAAGCAGTGACTTACTGGTTCCCGAAGCGAATGGAAACAGTGACAGAGCCAGCGTCTGGTGGTTCCATCTCTGCATATGTAGGAGAATCCCTTGTCGTTATGTCTATCCGGGGCGCAGAAGGAAACCTTCTCGATTGTTTGGTCCACAATCAACCCCTGGATAACGTACAAAAATACAAAACAGAGAAAAAAAAATCAAATTTTGAGGATGAGGTTGAATTGGCAACCTTTGGCAACACTAATATTACCTTTCAGCATAATCCAACCCAAGAGGATAATGGCAGCTCCGTTTATACCGGTGGTTATCTCAAGCAAACATTCTCTCAGCTAGGCAACAGGAAGTACTGAACTCGAGACGAGAGCCATACCTCTGCAACCTGCACGCTCTTGTGACAGTGTACAAGTATTCAGACACACAGCCTCTGGTGACGACTTTCACATCATATTTTTTGACCAACTTAAAAGCCTCCTCAACTGTACATGAAAATGTGCCCTGGGCGCAGAACGAACGTGACACATGTATGTGCATACACCTCCCTCCATCTGTCCCCTCCTTCCCGACATACATGTACTGTAAATGACATTGGTTTTGTTTTCTGATGGATGCGTGCCAAGTCGGAATCATCCATGCCCCGAGGGTCATCAGATGTAAGCTGTCAGAAGCAACTCAGATGTTCGCACAGCCTCGTATCAAGATTCGTCAGAGTTCACGATGCACTATTCGACACTTTTCGGCTACACAACTAGCTGAACGCATCCACTAATGCCAGCTGTTAGTGGACCAACATCATTCGGGAAAAGCCATAGCTAGCCACAAATGCACTTGTAGTTGGTGTGACAACATTTGCACTAGTTAATTAATCTTTACCGTAGGAGAGCCGTTCTACCGTGTATTTACAGATGCACTGAATGGGAACAATTCTCTACATACCGGTAATACATGTCTATGCAGGGCAAAATATCTATGTGTATATGTACCGGTACATGTAATGCACTGCACATGTACATGTACCAGTAGATGCAACTTTTTCCTTCACATACCAAATGAGCATGTACAGTACATTAACCAGGCAGGTGATTACTGCGCACTAAGGTGGTCCCAGCGATGGTGTAATGTTGTGTCAGCTGCAATTATACAGTCCAAGAAAGAAACATTAAAGGCCACTGCCATTACCGGCAACCATCCTGACATACGATGGCAAAGCACCCTCAGCTCAACTCTCAACTCAGCTAAACTTACATACAGCGTATCATGTATCATGTACCTGGTAAATTTATGACGTCTTTGGACAAAGTTGGATGCAAGTGCATCCTTCTGCCAAGCTGACCTTAGCTCGGCCGCTGAGCACTATGAGACATGCTCCACTAAGCACAGAAGCTGTCCATGAGCCAACAATTTCCAGAGACTGCTTCATTGACTAAGCTGGCCCCCTTAGATGGCCCAGTTTGCCATCACAGCGAGCAGTCTAGGCTTTGGCGATGGCGAGATGTCTGCTCACACGAATGCTCACGCTTCAGCTGTCCCTGCCCCCCTTTATTTTCTCCCCTGTGAATTCTTTCCTCAGCTCGACAGGCTGTGCTTCTATTTTAATGGCGTTGTTGGCAAATTGGAAGCTCGGCATTAAATGCCAGCATTCAGCGTGACGACAGTATGGAGCCCATGGCAGCCTTGTTAGACTTACCCAAATGGATCACATACATTTCCACATGCAAAGAAGCTGTGCTAGGGCCCAATGGGAGTGTAGGTACATGCAAAATGTTACACGTTCCGCAACAAAACTTCCTTTGTAGGCTTTGTAGATACGTGTAAGTCTCTGTATACATGCGTGTACGTGTATCATAATCGCATGAATAATTTAAAAACACAAACTTTTAGATATGATTTGTGAAAGTGACAAAATGAGATTAATGCACATGCACATGTACATTTACAGTAGAATGTACATTGTACATACACTGTATAGCTTTGTTTCAAAAATAACATGTACATATGTACATATGTATGTGACCCAAACCAACATACATCTACATGTACAACAAAGTCATTCCTTTCGGAAAGACCTCTCTTTGATTGAACTATGGTTCCATTGAGTGCAATCTCAATTCAATGGTCGTTGGATCGATATCTAACCTCACCAAACACACGTTCAAGGTCTATGACTGTCACACAGGCACTGTATGGGTACACATACCGTACACGTACATCTACGTGTGTATACTGTACATGCGGGCTACGCAATGGGTGCATGTACAACCTTTGCCTTTGGTCTCATACACAAATCTGACCTACACTGTACATGGACTTGAGGTCCTGATTTTGCAAAAGATACTGCATACTTTACATGTATGTACATGTACATGTACAATGTATGTTTTGTACAAAGTCCACATTACTCACACAACATCAAAGCACATGTACATGCACTATACACATGTACATGTGTTGCCAATCAAGAGTGAATGTAGGCATGTGAAGTATACCCCCAAGAATTCAACCGCCCCCCCCCAAAAAAAATCTGGTACAATTTGGCGTTAAGTAAATTAACAGATGCACATCTGGGTTTTGAGTCTAGGTTGGAGGGGAAAACAGATGCGATTTTCTGAAATGACTGGCCAATTTCCTTGTCATCTGTTTCAAAAGGCTGCAACTTTCCTCTCCCAACCCTTTTGCTACCTTGGCCATTGTGTATCAATTTAAAAAAATCCCTGTAATGGGTGGGCAAAGGCTGTTGGTGATTTAAATAAATAAATAAACAAATAAATTTAACAAACTTTCCCGACATGTTTAGTACATTGACATGAAATTTCACATGTATAAAAAAGAAAGCGTTTAAAATTCAAAAGCAACACCTAACGATTCTGAGATCAAAGATAAAAATGAATTGTGGCTACGCCATTCTGCTGAACAAGGAACTACACATGTGCGGATTAACATGTACATATACACTACAGTACCAGCAACTTGTACGTACTGAGCCATGACGTTGATGCAATTTAAATGGAGATGAACAAAACCAAAGAGTTCATTAACTCATGACCATGGAATTTGGGTGTGCGAAAAACTAATCATGGAAAAGGTATTTCACTCTTTGTACTGAACACAAAACCGGGGCATGAGTGCAGTGTATTGTTTGAAGACCCAACGCCAAATAAAACAATTGAGTTTCTTGTCCCTACATGTACCTACCGGTACTTCATTTTCCTCTGCCTCCCCCTTTTTTTCTTTACGTTTAGTGTTTCCTGTTTTTTGTTACTTTTGAATTTTTTTTTCAAATAATCTATGGTACTATGGGAAAAAACCTCCTATTTAAAAACCTGAACTTCACAGGAGTCCATAAAAATCCAACCGCCATCTTAAAAAAATGCACATTGTTTAAAAACAAAAGGTGTCTCTAGTGAGAGCAAAAACGTGATGCTGAATCTTTGTATGCTGATAAACAATGGAACCATGTTGCATCTCCGAGATACAGCAGGTTGCAACATGACAATAGTGAAGAGTTTTAGATCTACCATAGGTAAGGTCCATCAGAAATACAGGATACAGGTTCTTAAGGCAGGATTGGGACCAACGAGTACTATACACAGACCCTACATGTACGGGTTTTTTTTTCTGGTGTAGCAACTGGCAGTGTCTGCAGAAAATGGGGTTTTTGTAGCTCAGTATTATTGGAATTCTGAGTTGCACGTCCACATATTACATGGCACACCATTTGCTTCTGTACCATTTAATTATACCACTCTATTTCGCCGACGCCATTCATTACATGCCGAGCCACTCTATGGAAGTCGGATGGCGTGGCGTGACTCACGAACCCAGTGGAGCACAGCCCGTCAGTGGCGGCCGCTCCCCATGTGTGCCAAGTCAATGTATTGGTTGCCATGGTAGCACTGTCGTAACACCATCTACACCACTGATGGGACAGAGGTCTCTCTGATGGATATGCAACGTAAACTCCTCTGGTCGTTGGTTATTAAACTGATTTATACAAGTATTAACCCTGTTTCTTCGGTCCAATTCAGCCGCACACTGGTACTTCTCCAGTACTCTGTTATCGCTTCCAAATTCAGCTTGATATGATTCCTCCACACAATGAAGTTTTGCAAGTCTTTTGCAGTCATGTGTTTTTACATAAATCTACATGCATATGTATGTATCTCTTCATTGAACTGTATGAAAATTCTGGAACATTTTGTTTTGCTTACCAGTAGAAAGATTTGAAGTGATCCCCCCTAAAAAACCCAATATGTACATGTGCTCTGTGTATGTGGAACTAATCTTGCCTTGGAGTCACTCTTTTGTTAAATGAAAACACCATTTGAAGAAAACAGAAAATGCAACCTGTATTTTACATGTAGATCGTGCATTTTGCAGTCATCAATGCTCCATTCAGGACGAAAATGTTTGGCAGGAGTACCATATATATTGCAGATTTGCCTCGGATTAAGCGTTGTTCGAAGCTTTGCATGGCAGAGTGGTACATGTTTAAAGAATGGTATTGTTCACGATGGGCAAAATCTCGTTTTGGAACAGGTGTTGGCTCTCTAATCAGTGGAAGGTTATTCTAACATGTGGTGATGCTGAAATTAAGGCTTCCGAGACTAGCAAGCATGTTCAAATAGTTTGAATTGTAAAACTGATAAAAGCAAGTCACTGCATCACTCGACTGGCAGGATTCAGTCTATCCTGGGTTCGAATATTGCATTATCTGTTCCAAAATACAACTTTGTACATTTTATGTACATGGGGGATTGAGGTCCATGGGTTTCATCCATTTACAATTCCTGAAATATGCAAGCACTTGTCAATGAAGTACCATATTTTTCTGCTACACAGGTACTGGTACATGCACATGTAGGTGCCGGTGTGGTGGTCTCAGCTGTCTCCAGTTCTCAGCGGTTCCCCTTACCAAATATGGTAAAATACGTTATGCCATCTCTGCACACAACGGGAAAGTTGTCCGTTTAAAGTCTGGCTATTTAGGGGGGGGACCGCTGAGACCGGAGACAGCTGAGACCGTCACACCGGGATCAGCCCGTTTATTTGCAGGAACACATGTTATGTACATGTACTTGTAGGTCCTACACATATATACATGTACATGTAAGCATGTGAAAACTGGCAGCCTCCATGTTGAGGCAACGATTTCTTTTCTTGGGAAATTTGGAACCGAGTTGTGGGGACAAAATTTATCTGATAAATTCTTTTAAAGTATTAGGTGAACAAGTACATGTAAGTGGGCGTGACCAATCCTTTATGCACTCTACGCAAAGGGTTCACACAGTACACTCCATGTTTAATGTACGTGCGCGAATTACCATGCTTATCATACCGTAAATTGTATACACTGAACTTGGTTTGTTGAGAGGAATTTTAATGTAGGCCACAGGATAAAACAAAACTGTGATAAATGCAAGGACTACGGCAAAATCACAAGCATATTTTGTGTGAGGTGCATATTGTGTTCAGTGTTCACTTGATACATGAAAGTGTTTTTTTTTAGTCTGACATAAACTGTCCTTATTTTAGGGGGTTCAAATGGTGCAAAACATGTGCTGCCGACCACTATATGCATTTAATCAGCATTTTGATAAATATAAATGTACCTTGTCTGAGAGCTGCAAATGCATGCTGGTAAATGCATGGTGAACAAACCTGATCGTCAGATGTACATTTATGTACACGCAACACATGTTGTAGCTGGTAATAAATACAGTACATGTACGCAAGCACACCAGTACAAGGCTACAGCTCAGCTGTGACGAGAGAGGAACAACGTTAACATTCCAAATGCGTACATGTACATGTACACATGTACTACTGTAGGACCAGTATGTAATCATTCATGTATTCTCAGATATGGTAACAAAACATAAGTTACCATTCGAGCTTGATGTGTCTGACAGGACTGCTTTTACAGATCTAAAATGCTTTTTGTCTGATATCTCTACACCCTTAACGACACATCCCCTCTCCATCTGGACAGCAACAATACTGGATCTCATCATGATAAGTGCAATGGCAGAGTAAAAAAATGTCGTGGACAAGAGCATCTGTGACTGTGAGCATTCCCCGAGTTGTGTTTTCCCACAATCCGTTATGTTGTGTCTAGTTTTTTTTTCCTCCTGGAATTTTACGTGCGGACTGTGCTCAACAAAGAAATCTGAGTTTGGAAACCTTCCGTCACACCTCATGGGGGGAGGGGGGTGAGAGAGAAGTGCAGGCCAAAGAGCCGTCCTTCAATCCACGCAGCTGAATGGAGTGAACTAGCCCCAAAGACCTGTGCTGTAATGCCGAGTCTCTGGAAAAATGTCAGGGGGCTTCGCTTTCTTCCCAGGAAATTGTCCATGCCAAGCATTCAACATCCTTGACACGGGGAATCCTTACAGAGGCAGGGGCAGAGTGCACGACTGCCTCCTTAAGGGACAGGCATGCCTTGCAAAATTCATTGGCTTGTTGAACTTTCTTGTAATAGCAAGGCAATATTCATGGGTACAGAACAGTGTTCTTGGGTATACAGGGATGATATGCAGTATGCAGATGCTGTAGGCAGATGTTGAGTGCATATCACATGGAGTACAGTTACACAAGCAATACTCCACTAAGTAACACATGTAACATGGAGAAATTTCAATGCAAACATCACAATGTTATTCGCCCCTGAGAAGCCTTTACCTCCTATGGGGAAACTGCAACATGTAGGAGTGTAACACTCTTCTACCTGTATGCAAAGGAGATCCTCATTTCACTCTTGGTTTTAAAGTGGCAATTGATGCAATGTGTCTTGCTTGGGAACACAATGACCCAAGCAGACATTCCTATTAGACTTACTGGCAATGCACATCTGTTATCAGCAGACACACATGCTTTTCCGCCGCATCTTATTTCCCCTTGCACACTGGGTCTTCTCGATTCCACTCATCACTCCGCCACATCTACCAAATACAAAGCTTGCCCTCTGTCAGCAGCTCTTAAATTATTAAAAAAAAAAAAAAAAACACCACGGACACAGACTCACATTTCAGGATATCATTGCCTGGGCTAGACATATCAGTCTATGACAAACTGAACTGTGGTTAGGTAGAGTATTATATTACATGAGTCTTCAAAGCTGGGCTGCAACACCCGCTCTCCAAGAAGTAAATCAGCGTCATATCAATTTTAGCACATGGGGGACGGGACGCTATTCTCCTCTGATTTGTCTCGGGTTCATGTGCCACTGTGAGTAGGAGCCTTGGCCAGGCACATGTGATGTTTTTTAGAGACATGCTGGTATCAATTTTCAGGTCGTACACCATTTAGGTGGGTCCCTGTGTTTAGTTCTGTCATGGCTGTTAATGTTAGAGAGACTCTAGATATTTGAAAGATACAATGTAGTGGTGTGGGATTACATGTCCTTGAATTGTGTTGTTTGCATGGTTGGTAACTTGTCATTTCTATGATATGATATTCAAATCTCTTGCCTCAAAATCTTCCATAAAGAGTTTGTTTACATACCTGTATGTACATCATGTACATGAATATATTTCTACAGTTAACACATGCAGTAAAAGAGGATGCAATGTTGTGTCAATGTGGATCCTGTTCTTGAAGGCAATACCAAACTGGTAGTACCATAGTTTACTTGTAGACTGTGGTGAAGTGCCACATCAATTTTAGTAGCAATTAATTTAAACATCATGCTGGCATGAAACTCTATTTTTCTCTTTAAGTTAAGACACAATATAAAAAGGTTAAAACATCCAATGGAAATACAAATAAATTAATCAAAATATTACCAAATACAGTGATAAACCTTCACATGGCTCCAAATGGGCAATAGGGAAAGATGCCTTTGGGGATGAAGGAAGGGAAAAAGGAGGCTAAGGAGAGATAAGAAGATCTGGGGTACAGGGCTGAAGAGAAAGAGGACACCTGGAAGAGGGCATATGGAAGCAATTTTGGATGCAAACAACTGACAAGCATCTCACACAATGGGAGCATTTCTTGATGAAACCAAAGTGTGTGGAGTGTGGCAAACTCGTTGAATAAATCCAAGGATGCCGTGCCAGGTGCAGGAATACTAGCTTATTCCAGAGCAGCAAGTCCGGTTAACAATATGTTTTTCAATTTGCAATAAAAGGGTTGGAAGGAATGGCAGATGGCACTATCCTACATGCATCACTCGCGCGAGTATTTCGTAGCGGGGAACACAATGCACGTACGCACTGGTTCACGGGGCATGCACTGTAGAGTGTGCTGGTCTAATTTTCATCTGAATGTGCACAGAATGGCAGTGTCTTCACCCGGGACAATGGGGTCATGGGATCCTAAGCGTCTAGTCACAAAAGAAACAGCACTTTTCAAAGGCACAAAACAAACTGTCATGAACAATCAGAGAACAATCAGCATCGCCCTCATGACAGTTGACCTGAGGTTAATTCTTTTAAATATCCTGGTTACCCCTAACTCAGTTACATGTAAAAATCCTCTTTTACAAAGGTGAGCATGGAAAAGTCTCTGGTCTCGCCCACAAGGAGTAATTGGGCTTGAAGAAGCTCTTTATGCATGCACGAGTTATTGATTGGCCACGAGTGGTTAGCCACTTGACTTCTTCCTCCTTGTGATCAAGACTTGGTACAGTCCTGGCTTCTTTAAACTGCATGCAAGAAGCCTGTAGTGTAAAAACGATTCGTGATTTGGGGCAATACATTTTTGCTGGGTGATCATTTTTCACCTGCTGTTCTGGCAGATAAGGTACAGTACATGTACTGGGGGGTAATGGTAAATTATTGCTCTATAGTTACATTTACATGTAGCTACAGGAATGTCTCGAAACTTAGCATACTTGGAAAGTTCCACTGGGAATGCCGCCTAATCTATCTGGCAGAACAAACTATTCCTGGAAGAACATGTGGGTAAAAGGTTGTTTTTGGCAGTGGCAAATCAAGCCCATTTTATGACGAAATACGTCTGTGCTAGGAACACTCTCATTAGAAATGTTCTGAGAAAGAGAAAATTCTGAAAAGAGCACAACAATGTCAGGTTTTGAGACATCTCCATTTTACAGTTCTGGAAGTTTCAGTGTCCAACGTTTCTGCTTTGTTGCGCAGAGTGAAATTCTGAAGAAAAGAAAGATCCTTACCTTGCTTTCCTCATCTACAACTCTCAGTCCATCAGATGAAACCCATAAAATCGCACGGACCTTCTTCTTAGTGCTCTGAAATCAGGACAAATCAAAGTGGCATACTGACAATATCTCTTATTGACAAGTCAACATCTTGCTCTACCTACTGCTTGCTAATTGAAAAAGTTACATCCAAATTGTTTCTTCTTCTAAGAAAATCAGCACTGAAAATATACAGGGCCTGTTAATTTGGGCACAAATGGGGACTATCCATTCCACACAAAATTTCTTTGGATTTCAAAAAGAACATGTAAATTGTTGCGGGTAATTAAATACATGCAGGTGGATAGGTTCCTCATTTTTTTGCAAAAGTGGCATTGATCCATGGGCATCATCACGGGGGAGTCTATGCTGTAAGAGAGGGGGTGTTTCTCCCAGGAAAAAAATTGAAATAAAAAAAAATAACAAGCAAAAGAAATTTAAAATTTAAGCTGTTTGAGGGATTAAACTCCCTCATTTGCTCGAAAATACTTCAGAAGATGACCTCCTCCTACAATCCATAGTTTCATTTGCTGCTGATGAGAGCTTTGCTAAATTTCCCCTCCCCAAACAACCTGGTGACACCCACAACTACAGAGAATAGGACTCTACGGACACACAAATTCATGTACTCATTATTATGTACACAAAAGAATTCCAACATTATTTCGAGCAAGAAGGGAAGAACGTACACGTTAAGAGAAGAGAGACACTGGTACCATCTTGTTATGGATATTATACCAGCATACGAGCCGAACACCAAGCCCCTGACCCTGTTGACCATTTTCCCACAATGCACTGCAAACTTGGCCTCTTTGCAGTGGCCTGTCAGTGACGACTTGTATTTTGAGTTGCTCCAATTATGGCCATATAGTTGGCAAGCACCTTGTCCAGGGATCAGATAGCTTATTAGCTTATGTTTGTGGATAATACAATCTATCCACACTTATTATGTACAGGTACATGTACTAGTGGTTTATCACTGCCAGACACTTCAGAGCAAAGCTACCGGCAAAAGTGGAGAGAACACCCAGAAGCAGCTTCCCGAGGGTGGTTTAACAAAATTGTTTTAGATCTCTGTTTCTTTTGCCCTTTTTTGTTTAAAACAAATGTACTGGCAAAAATGTGGCAAAACCGCAAGCATTTTAGGCCATACTTAACACAACATCTAGAGCTATGAGTTCCACATTACCAGTATATTGCCCAGGAGAATCTGATTTTCACAGAAAATCTATACAAGCAGTACAAGCACATGTACATGTACTGCGTAAACAACACCGCAAAATCTTTCACACAGGTGCAATAAATTACATGTACATAACTGAAGAGTAATTATTACAATCATGGTATCACACTAAACATCTACGATGAAGAGGTTTCCCCCCCCCCCGCACAATTACCGGGTCACAGCTATTTACATGTAAGTAAACATACAGGTACACATGTACTGTTGTACAACGGTACCCTGGTACCAGTATACATGTACATGTACAATCTAACATATGTTAATGTACCGGTACAACATGTATTTATGTAAAGGCAAGTTAATCAAGAGTGACAATTATATGGAGAAACTTTCATCTCCAATGCATATTCAATGTGCAGTATTTCTGTACATGTATACATGTACTATGATGTGCATGTGTAATGTGTGCTATACATGTACATGTACATGTACTATATAAATTTCACTCCTAAAATTCTGGCATGTTCACACACAATGTATGTATGTATGTATGTATGTAAAGTACATATTGCACAAAGTACTACAAGGCACCAGTACATGTCCAGTACTTGCATGTGTGCACCTACTGTACATCAAGTACTACGGTACATTTACATGCACAGTACATTTAACGATTCACAGTCTCATAAAAACATAAAACGATTCAACACTCAGACATTTCTTTTGAAAACCTTCCCATCTCCTGAAATTTTGTGCATTATTGGCCCCGAGTGGAACCAAGGCAGGGTGCAATATTCCTAACAACAGAGGCTCCTTTGGTTGGAACTTCACTTCCCTGGTTCACAAACAACTATGACATGCAAGTGCTGCTGTGGCATTGGCACTAACAACATGCAACAGGACCACTCCCCACCAGCATGGCTGTATTCAATTGATGAGAGGGTGCGTCTACTCACGGTGGATACTCAACAGAACCAGAATCAAATTATTAAACAAAAATTTATCCCGAATGTGAAAATGAGGATGCCCATCTTGCCAGTGTCTTCAATATTTCAAGGGAATCAGCAGAGGCTCTGAGATGGAAACAATTCCATCTAATCACCCACCCGGCTTGTTGTTTCTACAAACAACTCCCAACTTGTGATGGAAATGAGTTGATCTTATTAAAGGTGCTTGGTATTTTTTGCTGACTCTTACCACCACATGTGTATACGTACATGTACCATTCATTTCATGAACCAACTGTGAACCAATGACTGTGGTGGTGACTTTCAGAGCTGCCATTACCTTTAAACAAGCTGTATTCGACAGGTTTATTATCTAAAACAGAAGGACCCATAGACTAATAGTCTTAAACTTGAAAGTATCCGTGAATTCAGCCCTGGAACCTTGCCCAAAGTATCCTTTGATAACTTCCTGTGGAAAATGTCATTTTGAAAATCATTACCCCACGAATCTCCTTTGCCTCACCTAAGAATAAAAAGTCCGCCCCCCTTGAAGTACCCACTAGACTGAATCCACTGACTAAAACTGCTTACAGGAAGGTGCCACTGACCATGCAAGTTGCAAAGAACTACTTCACATATATTACATGTACACCCTTGAAGTGGATGGACTCTGACTCTTGCAATATACATGTACCATATGTGGTAGCTGTCTGTGCAACACAGACCCCTCTCATATTGCCTACAAGTACCTTATGTATTTTATTTTTACGGGTGGCCCATGATAGCAGCTAAATGTCACACTTGGTGTCAGAATTTATTCCAAAAAGGTGCCCTCTTACTTTTAAAGAGGATCTTATTATTTTCATTTTGTGTTTATTGTCCGGTGTTTTCGTAGTTGCAAAAGATTTTTGAACACTTAATGAATTGTTATTTTGTCTTAGTTCTGACATTTACTAACAGCAGGAATTTGTGGAAACTGACACATGTACATGTACATGTACATACATGTACATGTGTATAATGTATACTACTTGTACCGGTACTTGTTCTGTGCATGATACATGTACATGTATGTTTACCATTGATAGTAAGCATTTGCATGTCATAGCAATCTGATTCATAGGCGACTTTGTCAAATGCAGGCATGCTCCACCTTAATTGCAAACTCCTATTTTATGAGCATTCATGTTGTAAGCACAGAACATGTACCGGTAACTCTATGTACGGTGGGCTCGGTTTAAACTGAAGTGCCGTCACTCGGACTGGATACTACTATACATGTATGTACATATGTATGTTGTCGCTCGTTAACAAGCCAGCTTCTTCCAGTAAGAAACAATGTATACCAGCACTTGTAAGATATGCAAAGACGTCCATATAATGTAGACATGGGCTTGGACTCAGTTCTATCAGAGCAAGCTTGTGAAGTACTTTCTTCTGAGACAGCAGAGATTGTTGTAAAGTTATCTACAAAGCATGCAGAAAATTTATGGATTCCGTTACATCGCTTTAGGGGGAGAACAATATACAGTACATGTAGGGGTATTCACAGCTGCATTTTTTAACATACATGTACCTGTGCTGTACGAACGAACCAGGGATGGGTAAAGCTACCGGCGTGATTGGTTGTCACAGTAATTACATGTACATGCGTGTGCAGATCAATTGATATCAAGAAAGAACACACACATATCTTTGGTACTACTGCAATTTACACTAACGGTATGCACGTACATGTACGTGTACATGTGCGGTACATGCACACACTCAGTGGAGAACTGCATGTTCACCATCTCATTCAAATCACCTGAATAATGGGAAGTAATGTGCACTTCCTTTGGATTCTGACTTTCCTGTTATTTAAAACAACATTAACACTACACCTGACAGAAGTGATACATGTACTGGTATGTCGGGCCAGCTCATCAGTACTGGTGGAGGCAAACCAAACATACCAGTCCAATGTCACCGGTCCCCGCTATTGTTTGTGCCAAGGTTGAGCTACTGTAATGTGTTTACGCTCAAAACGTATGCAAACAACAGTAGACCAGTCACATGGGAAAGGATGCCACCACCAAGAGTGTGCAAAGTCTCCCCATTACAGAGGAATTGTTCATTTTTCAGTTGTGCTGTAGCTACTGCATAAAGATTACAGCTAAAAGCAATGAAGGAGAAACTGAGGTGGAAACAAGGGGTTTATTTCATCTAGATACAGTACAGGTAAAAACAACAGCAAGTCAGAGCCAGCGACTCACACCTTGCATTCACTCAAGATGAATAACTCTTCATTCAACTTGAAGGTGCACACATTCTCATGTTACCCGATTTCTTCTTTTCTTTACGTGGTCTTCTGACACAAATCATTTCAGTCAAGAAATTGGGTCATGTCTGCACGTGAGCCGGATATAAAAGCCTTTAATCAGATTGGTCAGATCCCACCAGCCGTGTGCATCTATCACTCGGCAAATGGCTTTCCTCTTAATTTTTCTTCCCCGTCCCCTTGTTTGTAAGGGGCCGCGAGGGTGGGAGAAATCTCTCAGGCAGAGGGTGATGTTATCAGCGGGATGAGCCCATTCCAGGAACAAACGCTTCACGGCGTACTTCAAATATAACAAGTTGGTTTACACAGATGTGTAATTTTCAGATTCAACAAGATACCTGGTACCGGTACCGGTACCGTACTTGCTGACTATTTGTTGGGTTTTTCAAAGCTTTATAATAAGACAAAAATTAAAATGTAAGCATTAACAAGAATTGAGGAAAATCAAAATATTAACAGGAAAAACACCTAAAAATGTGTTTCTCAATTGAGCATCTGCTATTAGGAAAAATAAAAATGCCAGACTGCTAGGTGTGGTTAAATAGTAGTGGTGTCAGCAGTCATGGCAACTATCGATCAATAGTCTTGACAAGCAGACTAGTCACAGGAGTCGTACAGGCCTACAGACTGCATTTTTCAGCATCATGTATGTACATATTTGGGTCATTCCATGAGGTTGGGGCACAATTTGTGATGGTGTCCTTTGTTACATGGGTTCCATAAAAATGAACAGCCATTTCCCTGCATGTGGATTCCCAACTGACATTGTTGTACATGTACATCTTGCAAGGCTGAATACAGGTGTGTGAGTTAATTTTACAGAGTAAATGACCTGCTCTACAGGTCATGACAGGTGGTGAAGTTACCCATGTAACAAGGACACCGTCACAAAAATGTGCCCCAACCTCATGGAATGACCCATTTATCTGCACATTCAAAAATGAAGATGTATGTAATATATGTAACACTGACAGAACTTTTGAAACAAAACAACATATTTCAGTGTAATGTAAACATGTACATGTACCAAAAGTTGGCCTTTTGATGGGCAAAACACTTTTACCACCTACATGTACCTTTCACTGTTTTTTTTCCAAATTTCGATATTTTCTTGACACCCCTGAACATGCACTTTGGCTACCTAGCACATGCACAAATTGAGTTAACTCTACCCTTTCCCAATCCTCCAAGAACTTCCTAGCACAGGTGGAGAATTTAAAAGATATAGGATTTCCCCCCAAAAAAGTGGCTGGTTATCAAAGGTTGCAATGAGTTTTCAGTCTTGGGTTGGACCTTGTCTTGTTTATGCTTAACCATGCATGCATGTAACTTTAGGCCCAGATTGATACTAGCGATCATCTGCACTGCTCCAGGACATCATTCACACTGCCTCAAGATAATGACAGGAATTACCAGAGGATTTTGAAGGACTCAAGCAGCATTCAAGGAATAATGGAGGATCTTGAGGTCAATGTCTACGTGCAGGCAGTTGGAGGATTTTGCAGAAGTGAGGATGCATCCCAATAAAAATGCTCAGGCTGTTTACGTTAAAGATTTTAATTATTAAAGTGAGATGTGCCACATCAAATGTTTGGAATGTGTATGTAGTGGTGTGTCGATACCAGTGCCTAATCAAACTAGCAACATTTTTCTTCTTTTGTGCCCTTTCTTTACATGTACTTGCAGTATAATCTTTTGAAAACAAGGAAAATTTATTTTCTTAAAGCGTTTATCAACCCTAACCCTCCACAATCCTCCAGGCGGTTTTGAAGGATTTTGGAGGATTGAGGATGAATGGCAAAAGGGCATGGCTGAATGCAAATGATGCCATGAGTGAAGTTCGCGGGTTAGACCTTGTGTTGTTCTTGCTCAGTCATGCATAAGTTCAGCCCGATATTTCTTTTGAATCAACGGCACTGCTCAAGAATGCCATTCGTACTGCCTCGACATAATGACAGGAATTGCCGGAGGATTTTAAAGGATTGAGGCAGTAGGTACACCTCCAAGTAACATTTTCAAGAAATTTTGGAGGACTTCTGAGGATTGAGGGAGAATCAAATTTGTTCACCCCCAAATTGGAGGATTCTGGAGGATTGAGGAGGGTCCCTAGCAAAAAGGGCCTTGGGGGATAGGGTTCTTAAAGAGCAAATCAGGCAGGGAACTTACCGCCCTGAGTTGTTTGGCTGCGTCTTCACAGATGTGCATCCCCCTGGACTCTGTGACCTCAATGGAGCCAAGATACTGCAAAGACAGGAGGGGGGCAAAAAGATAAGACGTGACCGAATACTTCACACTTTTAAGTATTAACATTTGCAGGGATTCCTGAAGATATCAAATTACTGCCGTGCAAGCAACGCCTGAAACACTGCCTACTTCCAATGTTTGACAGATTTGAACTTGAACTTGAAATCCTTCGGACTAAAGGTATTGCTGCTTCACGTGCATCTCATTCTGGGGCACAGCTTAACCAGACACGGGTGATGGCCCACCAGGAGCAGGCACTGCTCACAGTACAGGAAGGTGAGTATGGTACCGGCACAGCCAGGAGCCATTTCCCAGTACATCATAAAAGTCCAACCATTACAAGTGCAAGGAAATGCTGTAGCACGAGCAGGTTACCGACCAGAAGGTGGCATGATGTCGAGTCTGCTGCATGAGGCCCGTTCCCCGCTGAGTTTTGCTCAGCATGAAATTTGCTCTAAAATTTGTTCTGCTTCAGGAACTCGGTTCAAAACTGGTCCTTGACCAATCAAGACCTTGAGGGGTAATTCCCTGAGTAACAGACTGACATGAATGGACGCAGTATTGGTCAGGGTTTTCATAAGGTCCATGTTTCCTTTGATATCACACCAGTACATGTACATCATGTACAGTAAAGTGGTAAGTACTTGTAAGTTACCAGTAGAAGCCAAACTCCAGTGTGTTTTTTGTTGGAAATGTCCATCATAGTGATATCTTTTGAAATGTGGACTTTGACAGTCTCAGGTACATGTAATGTACCAATACAGGTACATAATGTCATGGTGACAAACTGAAACCTTTGCAAAATCCCATTCTGGGGTACAGCATGAAAGAAAACTTCACTCTACCCGTAGTTGGCAATTCAAACAAAATCAAGCACGAAATACGTGCACAGTACACTGAAAAAGGGGCCTTGCTACATGTGCCTCCAACACCAATGCCTTCCCCACAATATCCAACAATGTGATTATTTCAGTGAAAAACTAATTTGAAACCCGGGGTGACAAACTGGATGGAATTGCCTAGAATCACATATTAACATGTGTGACTCTGAACAATGAATCAAGGGCACTATTCTAGGGATGAAAAATAAAGGATACTCAACATGAATCAAATGTGACTAGCTCGCAAATGACTTACCGTACTCACTGCCGTACATGTATGCGCAGCCAAAGGTGTATGACTCGAGGCTGGTTCATACTCGCTGCCTTTGCACACACGCAGCTTGTAATGTGAACGCCGCATTTGATGTTCATACTTTCATGTTTTGTCAAAGTCTCAGCTGCATGTGCATATCTGACAAAAGTTAAACATTTTTAATTTGTCCGAATACGCATACATTTGGTGCATACGCACTATCCATTTTTTTCAAAAACTGCATGCAAGGGTGCGCATTTCCATTATGCAGTGCGCTTTCATTCACGCACTGCAGACACCTCAACACAGACCTTTGCGCTGTGTACACAGAGAATACGCAACGAGTATGAACCGGCCTCTAATGGATTTTTCCCACAGAGCAATAAAAAAAAAACTTTTTTCAGCATTCTGAGCATTGACATGTATTTCTTATGGACTGATGAGCTCGGCAAAAACTCAATGTGCTTCTATGGGCGTTCAATGATCCAAGGGTTTTATACAAATCGAGCCTCCAATGAAGTTTATTCAAATATTTTTAATTTCATCCCCATGGGACATCAATCACGCAAACATGCACTCTTCTTCCAGCTGAGGGACCTTCGGCATTCACGACAAAGCACTCGCAAACACTCCTGAGTATCATAGAGCGATAGCATGGACTGGCTTTGATTAAATTAGCTGCTAATAACGGGATGGGGGGGGCCTTAAGGGTGCAGGGTGGGGGGACCTTACTCATCAGCCATCCTTCATTATTTAGATTCATATCAGAGGCGGATGACTTCAAAATCGTCTGGGGAAATCAGACTTTTACAAGGCCAGACTCAAGTGTGCACAGACTGAGGTTTCAGGCTGACAAACAAATCATGAGATGCTTACGCGTGGTGCATACATACATACAGTGTACATGTGCCAGTAGGAACGTTATTGGAATCATTGGAAAGTGTTAATAAAACGTCACCTAAATAAAACAACAGACCTCATGCATGTACATGTATGTTAAGTTGTAAACAACAACTTGCCAGCCCAAACATCCTCAAAAATCCAGAACGTGGTTTTGGCACGATTCACAACCTTGGATTCCAAGCTGAGAGGCCTGAAAATGGGAAATTGGACATCATGAAACTTTTGATGTGAAATTCGTTTGAGCTATACATGCGTTCATCTTTTGCAAAGTCGCAGTAGGAGTATTTAATCTGCCATTCACAACAGAGCCTGAAAGTAAAATGTCATAGAGCAAGCTTCAGGAACCGTCACAAGGATTTTACGTGGGCCATCTTATCACATCCGATAATTTTTGGAAGAATGATTTCCAACTGAAATCACTCCAAGAAACACTCATGTTGGAATATTCCCTCTGTCCTCCTTAAGTAATATTTAAGAAAAGTCACCTGGAGATGGGTAAAAAACAAATTTCCTCAACGACCTTTCACTTCCGGCAGTATCTTTCCTACATGTAGGTCTCCCTGTTCATGCATGTTTGTTTTCGTTCCCCGTGCTTACGTGGAAACAAGATTGTACAATGTTGCAAAGATTTACCTACATCTGCATTGTACCTGTAGTCGATGGGTTTCAGATTCCATTGAGTTGACATGATGCAGTTCTTGTCGGCAAAGTTTAGATTATAAATACGTCAGAATCTTTCCTAAAGGATGTTATTGCTTTAACTTTATCTCCCTATTGTTTGGCAGGATTGGATTTTTGGAAGTGAGAGGTCAATTTCTGGCAGGATATTTCTCTTTTACATAGGTCAGGGCATTTTTCAGTTTCCATAAATTGATCTGCTAGCAAATATTTTACAATAGGCCTTTTTAAGAGTAGAGTTTTTTAAGAAGTAAAAATTCTGCACTTTATTTTTCCTATCCAAGGGTTCTGGAAGTTCACCATCAGGGGTCAACTTTCAGGCTCTATTTCGCATGCTCACTTTCACATCCAGTACATATGTTTGAGACCTCAATGTCAAGTACGAGTTATGTCACTGTCCATGTATATGAATGTTCACCCATCAAAGGCTTAAAATTGTTGAATGTATCGGTACATGGAACACCAGGTGTTCCAGTGAGGGTAGGCTTGAAATCAAGTATGACAGTTATTCCAGATGGAGCATTCTGAAAGGATCTTGAATACGTGACGAAATGCCGACTGCAGATGGATCACATGCCCACATCGTATCGTACCGTACTAAACACGTTCATTTATGTTTTCTTTCCTCCCGGTATGTGTCCTCAAAGGAGCTGCTAGTGAGGGACATACCGCTAGCGTGCATTGGTTGGATTGCATATGGGACATGTACCGGTACACGGTGCAGTGTACAGGGCACAGACTCCATTGAGTGTGTTCATACAGTACATTGGTACATGTACTTCAGAGTACATATGTACACTATGCAAGTCAATTTTCATCTGAATGTGCATATACATGTACAAGCGAGTGCCTTCGCTTGTTTGCCAGGCACACGGTAGTGATGGCCTTCAAGCTTTCTTGTACGGCGAAGAGTGTTTTGTATACAAGTACGTAATGTACATGTAGTAAGCCTATTCAATATGACGATATTTCACGATATATCGATATGATGTTGATATCGGATATTATATCGTTCGTAAAAACACATATCAGGATATCAAGCAAAGCGATACGCCAAAATTATCGCGATAAGCTCCAAACGATGTACTGTACATGCTCATAGTAAAGTCAATGCACCGCGTGTTGAGCCCTGCATGCATTACTGCATTTAGGCCACACAAATGCTCCACTGAAAACCTCAAACCACAAAGTCACTGTTGGCCCCAAGCAGCTGCAAAGGTCTTAAAAGTATTAGGGGGCAGAACCAAACCCAACAGACTGTATGCACGTGTAATGTATTGTACAGTAAACTCCAGCTACGTCGACTCTCTCACTCGGTACTCAAGATCGTCATACCGTGTCATGTACTCAACCCCATGCATGCATCAGTTGGGCAGTGTGGGGATTGTCGCTTGATGCTTTTAGGCAACCACGGCAAAGGAAACTGATACATGTACATGTACCTATTACATGTACATGTGCGTACCGCTCCTGTACCACATAAATGTACAGTGTTTCTTTTTTGGGGGGGAGGGGAGACGGGATGAGACACAAGGTAATGAATATCAAGTTTCTTCACTTTTGCAACTTGTACACGAGCCCCATCCAGGGAAATAAATCACAACTTTAGAAATTTCCATAGTCCCTCTCGAATATGCATGTACATGTACATCTACATGTAGAGGCCCTTACAATGTAAATTAGAAAGTCAGCATTTTCACCCATACACACACAAACATACTGTACTTGTTTTACATACAAAGTGTGGACATTCCTTTGTTCTCCTGTGGTTAAGGAAACTTGAGGAAAATGTTCCTTTTTCCCCAACTAGGATGGTACATGTACATTTATGTACATGTGTACGTATCTGCTGTGCGACCGTCCAGCTCGAGGCGCAAGCCTGTGTATAAACAGCATCTGGGGACCATCTAGTCATTGCGTTGTGATTGGCTGCCAATGAAACATCAAAATTCATACATGTGTCAGTGGGACTCAATACAGCTGTGCCTGCGTGAGTGAAAGTTGTGACTAACAATCTCCACTATAACTCGCGGTAGCACACATTTATGGCTTGACATTAAGGTTAGGTACGTTTTCCATTCCGCCGTTAGAGAGTTTCGTTACAACTGGCGCGGGCCAGGGCATGCAAAGTTACTGTGTCATGTATCATCGAGCAGGTTTTAAGTGCTCTATGTGCATTGTTTTGTACAAGCTTCAAACAAAGTTTGGACATTTACTTATCGAAATGTCAGTGCAACACAAATGAATAATTGTCTGAAGAGGCTCTGACTTGGATACAATCTTTGACAAGACCGATCCTCAAGTTACATGTATGAATCCGCAAAAAAAAGAAGAAGATGAAATACAACGTAGACCATCAAAATCACTTTTGAATTTAAACAAAAAAATTCCCCACCCTTAAATATTTGACCCAAAACTTTAGAAGAAAAAAAAGATACTACCCACCTGTTTTTTTTCAGTTAATGTAATCAAGGTACATGTAATAGGAAGCACAACTATTATTTTCTTTGGCCTGAAGTTGTTTAACCCTAACACTCCTCAATCCTTCACCTGTTGGAGGACTGAGGAGTGTTAGGGTTAATTATTTTTCTAGAACATGTATGACGTACATGTATGGAAGCTACTTGCTTCCGTAAACTGACAAATTCAGCTGTCTAGGGAGCAAGTACTTTACTTGCTCCTGTGATGATTAGCCCAATTTCGACCCCTGCATGGGCAGTATCAATAAGTACACTGTACATGTTTACATGTACATGTAGAGACTTACATGCACAATGTACTGTACATGTACGTTTCTGTGCAAGTATGTACTGAGTGGAAAGACTACTTAATTGCCCTTAATTGTGAGAGAGTATGCGTGTTTCCATTTCACCCCAATTCTTCTTTCATTAACTCTCTGAACATTGGTTCTGAAACTAAAAGGTGTTCAGTAATGAAAGGAAAAAAAAACACAAAACAGTTATTGATGGGCATGATTGAGACAGCTCAACCATTTTGGCACGCTGCCGAGAGGCAAGCTTGAATAGAATGACCATTTGATTGCCACAGGACACCGGAAATTCAATAAAAAGCGAGGAAAGATACACAACACAGATAGGATTGCATGACTTGATCACGCCAACACAGTCTCTGAGGCACTTTAAATCTTGCTGCAGAGCAATTGCGAGTACATATACACGTAGGAACTCCACACTTCATGTACATGTATCTACATGCATTTGCATGTAGATACACAATATGTGTCCTGTAACACTTTCACTGTTACATGGAAAAACGAGCAACATACCGGTAAGCTACATTGTACATGTACATGTACAGTACATGTACATTCCAGTACATGTGATGTATGCACTATTTGATGGCCTTCAATTAACATTACAGACAGTCCCGTTTCTAATTATAAACATGTGCGTATGTATAAGTTTTGCCTGCACAGTGCATGGCACATGCATGCGCTGATAAACATTGTAGGCTAATGCATGTACATGTACATGTCCAATGGAGCACTGAATCCTTATTGTGTGCATATGTTGTACATGTGTACATGGTAGAATTCCTTCCTTTCTTCATTTTTCTCCCAATTTTAGTCCGCAGTAACTTAATACAATATACCCAAGGAAGGATTATGACCTTGCACACTTTGTAGGGCTGTGTAAATATACATATGTACATAGTACATGTAGATGTCCATTGTGGGTATGCATACACGTACACCAAGCAGTTCTGGCATCACCAAACTCTTTGAATTGTGAAGTACACTGCACTACACAAGTAGACCTTCTTCAACTGAGATAGGGTACAGTAGGCCTACATAGTGCTTGTCCCGGATGTACACGTATGTACATGTACATTCATGTGCTTAGCATGCAGATGGTTAATTGTACTGGTAGATGAGTACAGTGTGCATGTAAACATCACATTCAATACTTAAACCAGTAACTGCACCATTGGTACATGTACTGGTACATGCACTTTGTACATGTCCCACACCATTATGATTACAAGTTCAGTATGTACATTTTAGCGGTACAAGTACATGTGCATGTGTATACTTGGGGCCGTGCATAATCATGGGTTCTCGGTGATAAGACCCTGACAGAAATTAATTTATGAATTATGATGATCACTGTTGACTGAGAAGTTGACCAAACTTGTCCATCTTACCCCCCCTGTACCTATGTTAATGCAAAATCATGACAAATGCATACCAAATCCTGTACACAAAGGAGGCTCCCAATGATAGTGATACTAATTATTTAGCCATGAAATAAATTGAATAACAACTACATTTCTTTAAGTACATGTATGACATGTACATTCAGGAAATGAAAATACACAGAGTAGTGCAGAAAGCTACTGTACATGGACATGTACCAACGACTGCACAGTATAGAACGCATGCAGCACACTGATCTTTATTCTCCTATTTGTATACATGTAAGAAATGTGACACGCTGCACATGTACATGTACGCCAATAAAGTTGTTTCTTCTTCAAAGAAGGTGTGCAGGACCACCTAACACCACTACAAAGAATACCATTTAAAAGCTTTCAGATGGTTAAAAAAGTGAATGACCTTTGGGTTTTTCTTTCTTTCTTGCTTCTCTTGCTGTGTATACGTATTCCCTTCTTCACGAAATAAATAAACACAAGAAATGTCATTACCGTACGCATGTACTGGTATGGTGCATGAAGTTACGGTACGTACATACCTCACAACTACTGTAGACCGTGCTTCTCACAGGTACCCAGTGCAGGTACATGTACACTGTAAAAGTGCATCTGAACATCATGTACAAAGTACATGTATAGTGCATGTTTGTATATCAACAGAACTGCAAGAGTGCACAGGTGTGGGGAGTTACTAAAGGGTGAAATACATGTATCAGAGAGGCGATGTATCTGTGAGGATGCTCGCGGCTTCATGCAAGGATCGCCATGTGGCTCCTTTGAAAGTAGCCTTCCGGGCAGCTTGTCTGACTGCTTTTCAATTAGGACGACGGTCTAGGGTTTGCGGCATTCCCGCAGTATATTTTCTCCGTCATCAGGACATGCAACTGTGCGGTACATGGGCAAATGCTCCTCTGTGCAAGCACTGTCCACAGGATCGACTAACAGCTGTTGTTTGGAGCGGAAGTGCTGACCCATTTGAGGAAAATTTCAAGAACGGTCAGCTTGTTATATTTGTTGTCTAGGAATACGGTGCAGTATCTGGATATTTACATGCAAATGTAGGCCTTTTCTTGGAATCTCAGCTACACTGTCAGGTAAATGTCATTTGGTGCTTACCGTCTACTGGTAAAAATTTTCTATGCATACATACGCATGTACATGTAGCTGGGTGTGGACGCCCATACTTGTATGTACATGTAATGCGGTGAGTTTCTATGAAAAAAGAAACAAGTGATCTAAAATTTAATAAAATGATCACAAACCATACATGCAGTTATGGTTTAGAAATTGCAACACTTGAACCTATTTCAAAAACAAAATATCTAAACATGCATGTGTACCAGTGTGTTCTAAATATGTACACGTACTTTGTGTCCACGTACATGTATATGTACTGTATGAACATGTTCATGTACATGTACCAGTACATATGCACATTATATGGAGGATATTGAAACAGGGCATACCACAGACTATTGCTTTCATGTTTTCCAAGACAGGATTATTGTCTTTTAGAAAAACATTTTGCTGGGATCCCTGCAGAGACCAAACTTTTACAGTATTGTCTCAGATAGAGTATCAGTACATGGACATGTACTCTCTACATGCAGCTAGTCATTTTAGCATCATGTGACCTCATGAGGTCAACAGGTTGATTTGGGTTCAGTGTGGGGGGTCAGGTTATACAGGGGACAATCCACTGGAATGTACATGTACATGTGCAGTATACATGTAGTAAGCCCCACCACAGTGTGTATGGCCTAGCCTAAATTCCCCAATAACCCATGCAGTAAGGTTAATCATCATAAACTGAGTTGAGTATTGCCAACAGATGGCTTCAGGTAAAATGGATATGTTTAGAGCATGCAAGGTCACCAGATTGGCAGATTCTTAAAAACAATGACATGACCTCTGGAAAGATCAGAGTTATAACCACAGACTGGCCTAAGTTTATATTGCTGGAAATTAAGTACATGCTGCCATGGAGTTGCCTTGGCAACCGGTCCCAAAGTTCCCAGGCATGCCAGTAAATGAGTTGTTACATTCACATGCTGGCTGGGCCAACTCAATGGCCTATGCCTTGTGCTATTCTCAAACCACACTGCTGTGCTCAGATTGTGAAATGTTAAATTTGCCGAGCCTACAAATGGCATGGAACCAAAAGTTCACCATGTCCCAACAACTGTATTGTTTTGGCAAAATATTTTGAATATTTTGACTTTTGGAAAAGGCATACTGGAAAAGGGGAGATACAAGTACATCATGTGTTGCCTTTTCCAACAGGCATACGTGTAAGTTGTACATGTACGATACCCAGTGCATTTAACATATAGCAGCCAACTTTTGATGTACAATATCTAGCCAAATGTCACATACACTGATTAACAGGAGTCATTTGAACAGTACTTGCACAATATTTGTTACCGTAAATTCAAGTTTTCAACACCCAGGGACACGCCCATGGAGTGACTGTATTTGCTGATACAGTCTGCCTCCGCGCCCTTCTCAGACAATTTTAAGTAAAACAAGAGGAGAATTAGCATGTTTATACTTCAACTGGGAGGTGGGCTGCTGAATGTCAGATGTTTGATCTATCATCCATGCCTGCCTACATGGCTTTCTACAGCAAAATAAGTAAGTACACTTGAGTTATGATGATGACTCTTTAGGGGCCAAGTTTATAGGTGGGAAACACTCAGGAAGAACAAGTGGAACACGGTTTGTACATGTACCAACCTTGACGCTGAAGTTACAGGAGCCGGCCCGGACAAGCTTCTCATCCTGCTGCCACTGGTGGGGCTTGCTGGCAGCAGGCACATGGGCGTGCTCCTTGCGACGGAAGCTACTCCGCAGCTTCTTCATGCTGAGGGAGCGTCGCAGGCGACTGTTGCGCTTGGGGGACTGGGCACTTGACGAGGAGGAGGGGTGAGCTTCGGCTGCGGCGCCGGGCGGTCCTGTGTCAGGTGGAGGGTTCTTGTTGTACTTGTGACGACCGTGGGAGGGGCCAAAGAAGAATGACCTGCCAGGTGGTAGGGAAGGAGAGGATAGTGTCAGAATGAGTCCAGATTTTGTGGCACCTCTTCAGTCACTCTGACCACATCAAGCATTGGGCAGTAGCAGCACTGAAGTTTTCTGAGAGAGTCTTTCTGTGACTAAACTCTTTTTTCCGAGTTTCAACATTCAAAACTGTGCATGCTTTCCTAGACGACTGAGGGCGCTATTGCTGTGATGTCATGCAGGGAACACATGGTTCAGACCACAGACATGAATGTGTTCACATAATTGTAAACTCAAAATTTGATCACTGAAAATGTTCCTGAGAAAGGGCTGCCCGCCTGCTTATTGCTATGTACATGTAATTTTGGCCGGCAAAATCTTTACAACTTCAGCCTTATTTGTGCACAAAGCAATGTAACATCAGACTTTTCTTCCCTGATGACATCACAGTTTGCTCATGAAAACCATTAGCATTAATTATTACAACCAAAAGGCCCTTTAACCCTAACAGTCCCGAATGCTACAAAGTACTACTTAGTAGTAGAATGTAGTACTCAGCCCTGTCACTTGTAAGCGGACATGACATTATTCTCTGAAGCCATAAGATACAATAGAGAAGACAATGTACCATACAGTGCTGTGGCACTATGAATGCATGGTTTCATTGTTCGTACGAGTACCAATGGAATAAACCTAGCCAGAATTAGTAATTTGTGGCGCTAGGTCCTTCAGGCTCAGAGTGTTACGTAGTATTTTGTAGTACTGAGTACTGTAAGCCAAACAATACCCGGTACTGTTAGGGTTAAAAGAGTAAAACAAATGGAGAATTTAAGTCAACTGAGACAAAAAGATGCATTTCGAGGGTCTGTATAACAGTGGACTGGTGGAGATTTTCTTCCCGTGTAAAATTTCAAATATACTGGTACCGGTACATTTTACAAGTCTATGATTATGGAACTCATGCCATGATAAAGATATCTAACACAGAAGATTTGTCATACATGCCGGTATAAATGAGTACATGTATGTAAGTACAACACATCACATCTTTCCCAATCTTTTCTTTCTGTCCCTCAATCAATTTTCAGGTGCCAGGTGCAAATATTTCCAAGTGATTACTGGTACATCTTATCTCAACATGTGCACGTAATGTACCGGTATGACGGGTACTCCCAACTTGAACATTTTCGTTAAAATGTGCACAAAGTCGCAGTGGTTGTCTGCCATGTGGTACAAATTGCGTTTCAAGTGCTAGTCACACCGGTACATGTATCTCTCGCCACTGAGGTAGTCCGTGAGCAAGAACACCATAATCCTACATGTACCAGTACATGTACAATGATTACCACTGAACCAATGTGTTTGGCTAAAAAGTACAGGCCTTTAAATTCTCAGTCCGTTCATTGCATCAAGCATTAAGTACTTCACATGGAATGTATGTAACATGTACTATTACTGGTAACTGCCCTCAATTAACAAATCATTTAAACATACATTAGTTTTTAAATTCAGGTTAATTCTATGGTAGGTGATGCATGCAGATGTTTTTAAACAAAGTTAGGATCAAAAGGGAATGTTAGTTACCTCAGATAGTACCATGTCAAAAGAATTTTTTTAATTCTTGAACAAAATATTTTGTGTAACAACATCTACATGTACTTGTAGCTCAGCCTGTTGAATTACAATGAGGCAATTTTTACCATTTTTCCTCTCGGGAAAGGTCAAAAGGACGTGCAGACTAGAAATATTGTTGAAAAAAGCAAACTGTGATTTAGTAGAGATCTGTACTTCTCGTTGGGGTCTGCCGAATCTTTTTGTGGTGACAGATGAATGGTATTCCATCCATCAATTTTGGCGTGTTTGTGAAACATTCCCTACAGCTCATCCAGGGCATTAACCACACCTATTAATCGCATATGGTAAATACATGTAAATCACGTACATGTACATGAACATGGACACGACCGTCATACCAGTTAACCATTACACTGTGTACTCACGTCTCACACTGTACTATATGTACAATGTTGCACACTGTATGCTCAAATCAAAATGGAACAGGCAAATCGAAAACATCAAATTTTACAAAAAGTGAACTTCTACATCCTACTTAACAATAAAAAAACTACACTGGCAAATTGTTATTCTCCATTTGCAAAGAAACTATCCTGTAATCGTGGAGCTAAACAGTCATGCAAACACAAAGTTATAAACCTGGACATCCTGAACTAAATTGTGTGTTCAATGTCTCCACAGTTATTCCCACCCCAACCATTAGTCCAACCATTACAGAATGCTGGAAGTTCGTTATTTACCTTGGAACTGTGCAAGTAAGCCACTTTGACGAAGTTAATCACGTGGAGGGTTTTCAATTTTAACGGAAACATAAAAAAAAAGATTAGTCAGAGGAGGACTACAACAGAACTTCAATGCAAAAGATTCGTAAAGAGAAAAAGTACATGTAGATGTGCCAGTACGTAGGAATTGTGGACTGATTCAACTCATATGTTCATTTTCACGTACATGTACATGCCCGTTTAAAGTTCACTTAGACACTGTACATGTATGTACCGGTACACTGAGCTGGCACATGTACAGACCTGTATAGAATTAATGGTAATAATTACTCAAGAGTTAGTTGTTTAGTCACATCTTCAAAATCCAAACATGCTTAAACTGCATTGAGGAAAGCTGGAAACCTAATTTTGCAATTAATTAATTAATTAATTAATCAATTAAAGGTTAACAGAGAAGATGACTGATGATAGATGTAGTCTGTTGCATACATTTAATTTGAGATTGTTAACATGCTGTTGCAAAGCCCTGGGTTGGGCAACGATGGATACTAAGGAGCAGTTCTTTGGATACGTCATTGCTCTTGAAGACGGGGAATGAGATGCTCTGAGTTGTAATCACTATCTCTAATCCTTGAAACTGCGAGGAGGTTTGGGAAGGACTGTGCAAAGTTGAGCCCATGGCCTTCACGTTGGGCTTGTTTAATAGTCCATGAAGTTTGAAGTAGTAATTGTACAAAGAAAATGTGACAGGTTTCCCACAGAAAAAAAGTAGATAGCAAAATTTCGTGGCACTTTAAGGACTTTCATGGATTAAAATATGACAATTTCCACGGATAAAAACTGATTGGTATTGTGAACCGGAAAACTGCCAAAGCCACTTCTATGGACTGACAAGGATATAGCCTGTAAACATCACTATTCCATTATCGCATCACAAGTGGCCCATCAAAAATAACCCTTGCACAATTTTTTGTCCATGACTTTTCTTCTGACAGAAGGATTCCAGGACACCCTACTCTCCCCAATATTCCACAACAACTTTTTTCCAGGATTTCCCATGACCACAGGAACCCTGTACATACTGAGAGCCAATATTTATTAACTGGTAACAGTCAAGTGTACTGAACCAGCACCCCAAGATCAAGTACATAAGATGCTTATGGTGGCAGAGTGGCAGACTCACCCTGTCTTTCTTACAGCTGATTGCATAAAGTACCATTCCACACCTCATACATACATGGAAGGTGCCTACTACAGTGCCAATTAAACTTCATTACATACATGTATCAGTGATAATCAGTCACGCAATTCATTGCAATTTAAATTTGATCTGGCAATGGGAAATTATCTTCACTTTTTTTTCTCTTCCTGGGAATTCATTTCCATTTCACCAAATGTGAAAAAAATGTTTCCCTAAGTGGATGAAATTTTCAGAGTACATGTAGTTTCCAACTAGTGGGACAAGATTTTCACAGATGTTCCCACCAGTGGGAAAAGACTCTTTAGAAGATTTGGACCGAGAAGACTTTCACAGACTTTTTCCGCAAGTGGGACAGAATTTTTATACAATTCTACGTAAGTGGGAGAAGATTTAAGTCTTTTTCACACAAACAGGAAAAGATTTTCAGTTTTCACAGATTTTTCTCACAAGGTAAAAAACATTTTTATGCCTTTTCACACAAGTGGGAAATTATTTTGTGCCTTGTGAAATGAGAGGGTGAATGTGAAAGTGGATTCCTCTCATAAAACCTCTCATCCCAATTCAAAGTGTTAAATTTCGATTGCACCATACTGCATGAATGTCTCCATTTGACACACAGACACAAAGTTTGTTAAAGATCCATACCAGAGTTATCATTATTATTGTAACAGTGTAAGCAGACCACTGGAACAAAGTACCAGTTGCAAATACCGCCAATCAGTGATGATGAGAATTTTCAAAAAAGTTAGTAGAGATTTTGTGCCTATATGATGATGATGGGGTCAGTACAGTAGTTACGCAATGTACATTACAGGTGTCATTCACCCAGTGATGAAATGTGCACAGAAGTAGTTGCCAATGTCTTCATGCGATGCTGTGACTGCGAGACCCAGCAGAGTACTCTAAATTACTGATACTGTACTTACTTGAGGCCCATGCTGGAATATTTTCAATGCAGACTTTTCCCGAGATCCTGTTGAGTTGGCAAGCCAATCAGATTAATCAGTGGACAAATTTCAAAATACACAAGGAAATACATGTAACTACAGTACTTGTCATGCTTGTAAAATACCATACTATTTCAGCCCACTCTGTGAACTCCAATCTACATGTACATGTACCGACTACCGGTATACACTACACATAACTTGCTACTGTTGTTGTAGGGCAGGTCTCCTCAGCTTATTTATCTCACATTACTAACTCCTGAGTTGACAATCACAAATCCTTCATGGGTTCACTGCATCCAAAAGTGTGTACAGGTACTGTACTCATAGTGGTGGACGGTGGTACTAGTACATGTACAAATTCTATGGTATGCAGCAGGTGCGCACATTCCACAATGTGTGGGCTAGTCTGGAGAGCAGACTGTACCACCATGTTCAAATGGGGGTGAGTTACTCCTATCACCTGAAGGAACTGACCTCTATCAACAGTGAACATATTCAGTTGCTTACAAAAATTCCCTGTATAACCACAATGGTACATCCCTATTGTTTACAACATTCAGTGTACTATTGGAATATTGAGACTCTGGAAATGAAGAGAACGTTTTATTCCCCCCCTCGGGAACTGACAAATGTAGGGACCCCCACAACAAACAACTGAAAGTAAATCCCTCCTCAATGGGGGGTCAACATGTGTCTCAGTACTCAAGTGATGGCTCACCAGAGAGCCTCTAACTGACAGACAATAATCACAGAGGCCCAACTGCACAACAGATAAGTGTGCATATTCACCCATTGAGTCACTAAACTTGACCTTCTTGGGGGAGGAAACATTTCCCAGAGGATACTTTGCTGTAATATAGGGATTTGTGATAAAGTAATAAAAAGCTACTCTTGTACATGTACTTCCTGCCAAACTGCGTGAGCTTTTGAATGCCACACAGAATGAACAGTTTGGCAATCTAAAACTTTACAATGTGACAGACTTGCACACTGTCCCTAGCAATGTGAAATACGCTAGCCACACCGTTAGGGTGAACAACACAGTCGCAGTAAAACAAATTGCCACTGAATCCTTGCCAACCAAGCTTTCACATTACTTGATGTATACGAGGAAGTGAATATATAAATTTGTTGTACAGATGAGCATCATATCAGTAGGCCCTAAATCTGTTTCCTCCAAGGCAAGTTGTTTCTAGACTTGTCATTATCAAAGAACAAATTCTGGCTACCTCGACATGTAATTCAAGACAGAAATTTTGAAGTAACACGTACCGTACTTTCAAGTTATACTGACATTTGCATATAAACTACAGGTATTTGAAAAATGTGAAAAAAAGAAAAGACTGAAGAATGACTCTCAAAATCCTGATCCAAGGCACCGGCACATGTAACTCTGTAACAGACATACATGTAAATAATTATTTAGTCATATTTAAAGTACAGATTGCTAAGCAGGTGTATTTATGTTGCAAAGTAATCTACATGTAACACATGACGAAATATGGATTTTAATGATGCAATAATGAGTACACATGTGTACAGTTTGATACAATGTATCTTAAAAACTTGAATTTAAGTAAACAACATATTGCGTACATAAACATACTGGTACATGTATCAATGATCAGTCGACACCCCCTACCCCTGAAAAAATTTTCTGCAAATTGTGTTAAAAGCCTACGAATGCTTCAATGACAGTATAGCTGGGATCTCAAACTTCGATTTACCGGCTGATTTATTACAACTACCGATAGCACCGACCTGTGGCCTGACTGGACCATTTTAGAGGAAATATCAATGGCAGTGTGCATATCATGATCTGCAATAGGCCACCCTAACTGAATGTGCCGTGATACAAAGTAAAAACGTCCACAGTTGCAGTTCCGATTACAATGCATTGTTTGGCTTCCGTGCACTTTGTTACTTTCACATGAAAAGGATTGCAGAATGCTTCATTTTGTGCAAGCCTTTGCGTCCTGTTGGGCTTTTAAAATAAAAGGAGAGAACAAAAAAACATTGACTATAGAAAAAGAGAGCACTGTGGGTGGTTTTTAGGCTTGGGGCTAGTGAATCTACGATGTTTTTGCGGTGCAGAAATTATCCATGTACAAGCATGCCCCTTTTACACCTCTTTTAAAGATTTTTTCAAAACGTTTTTTTAAAGTCGATAACAACTGCATGAAACCTTTTCTGGACCCGGTACATGTATTACGTGTAATTTGCAAGCGGTAGATGCAGGTGATTTGGCTGTGAGTGAATGCTAAAACTTTGATTTTTCTTTAACTCATTGCCTGGATTGGGCAGGTTTTTGAAAATGAACAACCACAAATTGCACTCTCCTTCCAGCAGGAACAAAAGAGGGCGTGTTTTGAAATGAAACTGACTGTCGCTTGCTACGCACTAACCGCACACCAGGTAGGTATGCAAGTTTATGCGCATTTGACGCGGAGCACACTGAGAACGCGCAACGAATTTTGTCTGGAATATACAGCCTTCACGCGCACGCCAAACGCGTGCAAGAACCCAGTTGGAAACTTAGTACCATCTGTCTTTCTTGCGCCGGTGAGGGCGCACTTCAGCTCAAGCCGAATGAGATAAAAGACCCCAGTTACGGGGGCAAGTACATACATACAGGTACATACATACATACATGTGCATGTACACGTACTGCCACATTCACAGTGGCTTACCTGGTGGTTTTGACTCTTTCTTAACATGTTAGTCAACGCGGAGGTTGACTTGAAACCGTAGACTGAATTTTCTTTTGATATAAAAATCAAGGTAAATTTCAATGTCAAAACCAACAGGTACATTGTACATTTTGACTGCAAAAAGGGCACCGGCAGCCACGCCTCCCCAAAAGATTGCATGTCTACATACATGTACAGTAGTTACATGTCCTTTCTCTGCCCCCCAAAAATATACAGAAAGGCCCCCAAATGTAACCTCCCCTGAAAGGCCATGAAAGATTACTCGAAAAAAATGCCCAAATTGGCTCAGTCCCAAAAAACAAGTCTGACCCCCTCTCCCTCCTAACACGTATAGTCCTAGATCCGCCTTTGGGGTGAACACTGCTGATGTGACAGGGCCCCTTTAACCATGTTTTGTGTCATAAAATCCTGGCAGTGTGTGACCGCATAATTAAACACAAGACATGTTGCACAGACCATGTAACCCATCATGAGTGTGTTTGTTCACTGGACTTGATTACACTTCATGCATGCACATATGTATACACGGTTCCTGACAGGCTACTTATGTGTACATGTAGGGTACATATACGTACAGCATACTGGCAGTGCACTGTATTGATGTGGACACTGCAACCCCACACTCTGAGACAATGGAAACTGGTTGCTAGAGAATGCAGGGTTCATTGCCTACATGTACACTGTACATGTACTTGGAAGGGTTGTAAGCCTGCACCAGCTGACCTTGACAGGTTTCATGTACTGTAAAGCGCTGCATATTGTTGGGCGTGGGAACAAAATGACAAAAAGATGGAAGGGGTCTCTGACCACTTAAAAAAAATGTACATGTTGTTAAAATACATGTACCATACATCAAATGTAACGGAGGCCTCACAGTTTTATACATTCAAGAGGGGAGTAGCTTGGTGGGCTTAAACTGGTGGGACATGGGGGGTAATTGTATGCAATTCTGCTGATAAACATAGCTAGGAAAATGTATGTAAACACGCCAGGAAAACATTATTTTTAGAGTACTGTAGATTATCGCAAGATCCAATGTAGGAAAGAAGGAGGAGGCTACCAATACATGTACCACTGCTCCCCCCTCTAGCTCTCTCACCACCGACAAAATGTCCCCAAGTACTCCCATCACTCGTTTGGCTGTAAACCCATGGACAGTTTCTTATTGTAAAAGTAATATATTTTTCCAAGATGTATTTTTTTTGCGTTGGGGAGATGTTAATTATATATAACAGGTTTGCCCTTACCCAACGTAAGGGCAAACCTGTTATATATAATATATTTTTGTATTTTGTCATGGTGGATGGCTTTATAACATACAGGTGGGACTGTTCACAAGCATTCAAATCAAACTACATATATCTCCCGAATACGTAAAAATGTAGCAAAATTTATTGGAACTACATGTAGTAGTGATGCGTCTGAGCTGTGTGGATAAATTTCGCGCACTGAGTTGTGGGTAAGTACCGCGCAATCTCGCAGAATCTCGTCAAAATGGAAGTTAGCGAGGTGGAATCACGTCACAGAATGCAAACTTCAGCTTGCCGTTCATGTCCATGTACAATGCCTTTTGAAGCCTTTGAAGTGTAAAAAATACCAGCACTCAGACAGATCTACAAAGTGTCACTGAATTTGTCTACTGATCTTACAGGCACACTGACTTACATGGATGACGTGTCATACATTTGAATGCAGACTACATTGTAGCCTTTTCTCTTCTTTTCTGCCCAAATTTCAACAGAACACTTAGGAAAACCCGTTGTGTGGATGACATGCTCCAGCAAGAATGCAACATGAGTCAGGGTTTATTGATAATCGCAAGGTCAATATGATTGAATCACACTTGCTGGATATGTACATGTACTGTACCACCGCCCCTGCAGTGCAAAGACAGGCTTGAAACAATGATGAGATCAATAGGGTGTGTACGTTCAGTTACTGTGCGACCGTAGCGGAAAGACTCCACCCAAACCGACGGAGATTTATCTTGGGGCAAAGTCCACACGATCCAGTCTCCACATTCTTAAAGCAGAATGTTAAAATACACAAGGGGTACTTCATTTCATTTCGTACTTGAGGAAAAACTGAGTGGAATACTTTGAGAATGTCAGAAAAAAATGACCTTTGTGAAAAAACAAAGACACATTGATCTATTTTAACAGGGAAAATATTACCCATATATTTCAATATACTTCATGTACATGTAAGTAAGAACAAATTTTATGCAACATCTAATAAGCTCTCCACAAAATTAATGCTTATGGGTAGACCAATGGAAATCTTACGACCAAAAATACAAACACAAACGTATACATGTACGTGTACTGGTACATGTGTGTATCTTTTCTGGGAAGGAAACTTCAGATTTTTAACTAGGCTTTCACCTACTTGTAGTTCTGACATTAGACTGAAAAGATTTTATGGTACAATTTTGTGAAAAGAAGGAATTTATGGTTACTGAAGCTGTAAAGCCTCAGTAAAGGGAAAGATCTCATTTTCAGGATCAATGAAACTGCTTGGTTTATATTCGTCCCCTCCCCCCTTTTTTATACCCTATCAGCCATCCCAAATTTATTTTTGGTGACTTGAATTTTAACACATTTCAAATCATTGTGAACAAGAGTTCCATACCTTGTAAACTCTGTGGTTCAAACTACAGAACGGTCAGCCAGGAACTAAACTGGGAGTTGATGAGAGTGGATTGACATTAAACAACATTTTTGGACCTTTTGTTGTCTTAATTGCAGCTTTTAAAAGCTGTAGTGGAAGAAATGTTTGCTGTGGTACGGCATTCCAAAGTAAAAGTGCTCCCGGAAAAAAAAAAGGTTGAATAATGAGTGTAGGCCTACATGTATGAGAGTAGACTTCAACCTGCTAATTGTGGGTTCTCCTGGATCTGGTAATAGTCTGGACCATCCAGACATCACTCAACAAACCCTATGAGACTGGTCTGAAAAATTATGTGCTTTTTAGGACATCATACCGGACTCCCTTTCTGATGGCTAGTAAACCGCTGCAAGGGAATATTAATGATATCTGTATAAATGGGTAATTCCAGAAATCAGGGGTCTAACAGTGTGACATTTTTGTGTCCCTGTTACATGTACATCTGATTTTTGTTATCTGACATGGAATTATCTCCGGAATTGATTTCAAACTACATGTATTATTATTTTTTTGGCAGGTAATTTGCATTAATTCATCACTCTTGGAAATTAGAAAATGTGTTCGGAACTGACAAAATCCTATGTAGGATGTGACAGGGACACCCAAAAAAAATGGAATTACCCATGTGGGACTCTTACCCTGAAGAATTCTACCGGTGCATGTGTTTTCTACGTACATGCACATGTAGGCCTAAATGTTTCAATAGAGGGTCTGCGTGGAGGGTAACAGGTCACTTCGGCACCTTGCCAACTTGGCACCTGCGAACTCGGCACCTACATGTACACGGACGAGTTGACACGTTGGCAAGGTGCCGGAGTGGCCGACATTAGCGTGGAGGCCCTCCCAGAGGATTTTTTGTTATTTAAATTTAATGACAATGAATGCACAAAAGGTTTCCTCGAACCTATCCTAGAGGAAGACAGAAATGCCCTCTAATGTGATGTCATACTCAGGCCCTCTATATTTTCACTGCTAAACTGGACTTTTGACGAGGACATTTTATCACTTTCTGATTGCTACGTCCATTTATGAAACTCTTAATACCATGAACAAGGTTCCTACACCTGAAGGACAATTAAATTCCATGACTTTTCCATTATGAAAATCCATGACCCAATAATGCAATTTCTTGCACTATTCAGCCTTTTAAGTTGCGAATACAATTTAACATTTTATGCACTTATATCTGAGAATAGAAATCACACACAGTGTTTGAAAAATTCCATGACTTTTCCATGACTTCAATCATTTTTACAAAATTCCAGGACTTCGATCATTTTTACAAAATTGCATGACTTTTCCAGGCCGTGGTAACCCTGCATGAAGCTTAGTATTTTAAAGTAAAAACCAGCCTGTTTCATTTACCGGGATGCAATATTTAACCTACCTGCATGGAACAACCAGCCTGAGTCCAAAGAGGATTACAAAATTTCCTGCCTTTGCTACTGGTTAAGTAATGTTAAGTCTCTTCCAACCTCCATGGTCTATATAAATTACAAACACCACCCAACATGATCAATGTGCTGACTTCCTGCACATGCATGATGCAGTAGGCCCATCAAAATTTGTACAATTACGGTGATGACCAGTGGACCGTTCATTATATCAAGCTTACCACATGTACATAACTTCGTTTAGTGATGTACATGTACACTTACTAGGGGAGACTCCATTACACATGCCTGATGTTGCTGCATTGGCCTAGATCACGTTCGCGAATAACGCGTTATTCGCTAACGTGAGGCCTACACTACAGCCTAACTGGCCTACAGGTACAGGTATGCTGGGCCCACGGTTTTTAGTATTTTAGTATAATCATGGAGGAAGGTTTTTTCCTCCATGGTATAATTCACCACTGCAGTAAATGCAAAACCTTTAGGCCTACCAACCTTTAAAAGCGTTATTCCTCACTGATCCGCAAGCCAGTAACTACGTATGTATTCCAGAATTGTTGTGTGAAGACTAAGACAGCAACGAATGACGCGGACTCGTGAGCTAGACTAGACTCGGCGTGTGCTCAATGATGACATCTGTACATTTGGTAATCCTTAAAATATGTCGCTACCGTGCGTTTTGGAGCCCGCCACGTACGACGAAAAATTGCCAGTCAAAGCTCATGACGTAGCTCTTAGTTTCCCTGATAGCTGTATTTCCAAGCACCCTTTCAAAACTTAATGACTAATATCCTTTTCATGTCGATTGATTTCGTCAAGTCCATACCTTTTCGAGAAGTTTGTTTTTTTTTTCTCAAACTTGTCCACGAAGTTTACAATCACCTGCGCAAATCATGGATTTTTATATATCCAAATGCATTTTGTGGGCGGTACAAAGGGCAACAATAGCACGTCATCCACACTGCGGCTGCCGTTGATATGATTCAAGTTTGTACTCACGCCATTGTAATGTCAATGATTGATTGATCAAACGGCTATCGTGAAAGCCGGATTGCTTGCTTCTTATCGGATGGACAAAGTTCAGGATTGGGCAAAAAAAATTCAAGTGACTGTACACCAACGAAATTAACGAGCCGTGCGGTTGGGGTTGAGGGGGTGGAGGTAGGTCTATTGATTTTTGGGATTATAGTGTTGCGGATGGTAGCCTACCTGATTTTTTGTGCGGAAGACAACATAATACACGTAGGCCTACATTTATTCACAGGGAAGGTCCAATTTAATCATTTCACTACGAGTGGATATTGAAACCATCAATTTTCCCCTCATGATCCTTTTTTTCTCACATCAAGCACATCAAGTCCAAAGTCGCGTTTGCAGGTCTTCTTTTTTACTGCGGTTGAGCTGCAAGTCACTCTTTTTATTTCAACTCAAGTTTCAAAACAAATAGTAAGTGAATGAACAACTCCAAGAACTAACGCTATGCAAATTTCGAATTTGCTGGCAAAAGTATGGGCAGGTTTCTATCGATGTTTATGATACCGCTAGGCTTTAAAAAGCCCGTGGCGATGGTCATTCTAATTCACACCGGGTGTGGCCCTCCCTTCTTCCCGCTGAAGAAAATGCTGAACACAGTATAGAGGGCGCGCTGCTTTCCTGTAAAGGGAAACCGTAACAAAATTGCACGGCCGCGGCCAGTCTTAATGCGAATTCGACTTGTCTGTTCGAATAGTGTCATCGTGAAATTTCTTAGTTCTGACTTTGAATTGGTGGAGGGGCGGAGTGTTTTTTGCACTAGATCCGACAGGCTGAAATGGGCAAACGCAGAACATCAAATGGGACACTTTCCTTTATTTCATTCTACAATTTATTTTCATTCCGCCATACTTCTTGAAATAAAATGTAGTCTTCGTGTGGCCTCGGAAGAATTCACCCAGTAACACGCCAGAAACAGATAATCACTCACCTTATGTTTAGGAACAAACTGAGGCATAGACATTGTTTGGTTTCCGGGTGGGCCCCAAGTCGTATCAGTTTTGTTCTCCAATCAAATTTCCAATCTTCCTAAAATTGTTCTCTGACCGATACCGAAATCTTTGGGTTCTGGTTTCTTTCCGTAGAATCCCCCTGCGCAATATAGGCTCCTCGGGCGTGGTGAAAATAAAACATGAAATAGTTAAATTACAGTTTACGAAGGCTACTCGTAGGGAATAGGAACCAACCATTGACACAGACTGAATTTTGCTGGGAACTGCATATACGAACTTGTGTTTGTATCATTTTCCTACGGACTGAGCTCACAGCATTCACCGGCTGCAAAGTCTACATTTTGATATTTACAGCTTGCTTTTTTCTTTGTTTTCTAATAATCGGGTTGATTTTACAATCAACAGTTCAACAGTTTGCAGCTTGGCATTGCTCTAAGTGACCTTCCATCATACAATACTTCCCTTTTCCCCAAATCACTCATATTTACTAAGTGAAAGTGGGAACTTGGAATTTCTTTGTAAAGACTTGCCCACTTCCTGTCGCTGCCCTTGTCACAATTTCACTTACTACTCTGCCTTGTGTGATAATCGATAACTAGTCTTGTACAAGCAGTAAAATCATTTTGTAATAATTAGTTTATTTTCATAGTAGTTACTTATAGAGGCCTCGAAGTACGAAGAAGTACGAAGTTCAAGAATATTACACAGCAATTTTCAAACTTCGCTCAGCAGATCGCTCTCCGACTTCGCTACCGAATCACGTATAGGGCGGCTGTCTAAAGTGTAAGGGTTCTGAAAGCCGCCCGGAACCCGCTGTTCTGGTAACTATCGTCGGTGGTGAATCTGAGAGTCATGGTATTCCCCAAGGACATGATGGAACCGCTGGGCAGATCGGTACCACACACCCTGAAAAATTCAAGACATGCATCATTGTTTTAGAGAATAGACACACATTAACCGAAATCAGCGAGCACAAACGGGTAAGTTGAGAAATAATACGTCTTTTCGGGAGTTTTGGGAGCAAAAATCCTCAAACCAAAAGCAATCAATGCTTTTTCAATGAGGATGCGGCGAAAACGGTGTCATCACTTTGTGCCGAAAGACAGAGGTTGTAAAAACAGGGCCCCTTCTGTGCACGTGGTCATTGGGTAAAGTGAAAAAAGGTGCTTTGCGACGAGACAAACTCAAATTCCGATCGACCAGAAGGGAATTTCCACTCGTTCAGACCAGAAACATAAGAGGCAAAAACTGCGGACGAAAAAAGACTTTCTCTCGTTTTATCCACGAGAAGAACAGGAGCAGCTAAAGGGCACTGATGCAAAATATGGGTCACTTTATATAATGTACAGTCATGCGAAAAACAGACTGTAAGTTACCTCCAATTCTTTTGTTTACAGTGAAATGTTAGCGATAGTTTGTGCCACGCAAGTACATTCAGAATTCTTTTACCCTTGTTTCTACTTTTTGAGACACTTTTTCGAGCTTGGAAACTAAAGCTGTACCAATGCCCAATCTATTTGGTATTAAAATGTTTTTTTTCCATCTCTGGGCAAAATCATAACAGGTCCAATTATAATGAAGGGAAATTTGCTCTGAGGCAGACCTATTTTTGACAACTGTAGACAGCACGACATACGAAGTTGTTCTGTAAAATTCATCTCTTGAGCGAAAGAAAGTTTATTTATTCAATGAATTACACTGTCACTTTTTACTGCATGAAGGAATTGGAACGGCAGAAATCGTGAAGGTTTGTCTGCCCCACTTACTTGAGCGGCCGGACCTGACTAATGTCACCGCCAGTCAAGCTCACTTGCAGGGCGTCGTCCAAACACTTCGTGTTCGGAGAGCCGATGCCCAACTCGGTGATGTCCAAACTCACGCGGGAACCTGAAGCAACCTGTAGTCATGAAACATGAGATAGATTCCATTTATGCACTGTGATAAAAACAAAATCTACGAGGAGACCTTGACTTAACTGGTGCCAGAGGTAGGGGAGAGGATCTGAATCTATAGGCTTGATCCCGCTGCAAATTGAGGTATTCGACCCTTTATGGTGCGTCATCGGCTCACAAGATCCAAATCTGCTTCAGCGACATCAAATCCTATATAACTTGCGATCACTGTTTAGAGAATTCTTACATTTTTGGATAGTGTACTTGCATGTATGATGCAGTGCCGTAACTACAAGGGGGGCACGTGCCCCCCCGTTCCGCCCCATTTGAAATTTTGAAATGGACAAAAAATATATATACCTAGTTCAATTATTTTCAGTGCCCCCTGAAAAAAAATTGTGCACCCCCAGGTGCCCCCTCAGCAGTAGCACCCTAGTTATGCCATTGGTATGATGTCTTCTGATTAATGCTCCAGGTAGAGATGCACTCGAGGAAGGAAGCAAAGGAATGACATGATGACCACATTCAACGGCAGAAAAAAAAATCAATGACAGGTGACTCTTGCGGCCTTCTTGCCAAAAATTCCTCACGAACAGATTCCTCTGGATATGCTAAAAGTGTTTTCAAATATTGTTATAGTTACTCCTGTCGTTGAATAAGTCCAATTTTGTTTTAAGATCACATTCACATAAAATCACATTCACAAACTTCCGATAAAACAAGTGAAAACTACAAGAGGACGGTATAGCTGAAGGGGGCGGGGACACGTGCCCTCAGCAGGTGCCCCCCCATGGGTACCTCCGCCATTTCAAATCTTGCATGCCGCTTATGTACAAGCCACACTAACTTACTTTCAGTATCCCCTTGAAAAATATGTGTACACCTCTGAGTGCCAAGCAAAACATTTTATCGGAGGTTACATCACCGAAAGAAGAACAACCGAAACCATGCACTTACCTGTCACTTACCAATGTGACGCCATGAAAGATGTGGCGCGAAACTGCGCAGAGTTGAAATGTGTTCAACTTTTGCAAATTCGTAGCGCGAGTAATTGATATGACGCCACATATCGCTGTTCGTGTTCGCTTTCGCGTGAAGTATGAACTGGCCTATAGTGGATGTGGTGAGTATGCAGTCGTAAGCTTACCTCTATAGTCCAGGTGCACTCAACGTTGTTGTCGTAATTGTCAGGATATTTAGGCGAAGTCAGACAGCCTACGTCTGTTAAGGTGCCCCCACAAGTGCTTGTACCTTGGTGTGCAAATTAAAAAAAACAGACATTACCAATTCAAGGGTAAATTTTGTTTGGTAAGCTATTCGTGTAGGTCTAGTGTGTTCATTTACGGTGACATTTAGGACATAAATAGTGCCCAGTAAAGGGTTTGCAACCGTACGTCACTTTGAAGGAACGGCAAACTGCTCTATAAATACATGCACTTGCATATTGGTCTTTTCAATGTTACTATTACTTTATGGATCAATTTGCAAGATAGAATGTGAAAACTAACTACCGAACCCTATAAATTGACTCTCTTCTTTTTGTTTCCGGCAACTTGAAGAAACCAAAATGCAAATTTATGGGCGAGGCGAATACCAGCCCTGAGTCTTCACAAAAAGCAAACATTAAAATAAGCAGAAATGATCTCCTACACACTTCAGACCATCGGTATGCGTTTTTACGCACATTCATTGGAACTCGAGGGCTCCTCAATGACGTAATGGGCAACGAACCCCTGGTAATTATAGGACACATCAGTCGTCAAGACAACCATCATTTCGTTGGTCGATACCTGGGCGGATGGAATGTTCCTCCCGCAAAATCTGCCATATAGGGAAAGTTCAGTAAAGAGAGTAAGAGAGATTTAAACATAAACTAACAGGCTGTATATTTCGTTTTCCTTTGGAAGAGTATTCATGACCCATGAATAAGGGGGATCCTTTTATTGCAGAGTAGAGGGCCTTTATTTTCTGGGGGGGGGTGTGGCCATAATGGAGTGCGAGGCTAAAATTTAGGGCTTTCTCGTTCTTTTCTAGTTCTAGCTAAGATATTAAACAAACCAAAATACCATTCATTTTACAACTTATTCAAAAGGAGGATGTTAAACTGTCGTGGATAGAAACTGGTCGTTGCAAGTCAGTTTCCTCTGGCCAAAGAGTGGATTCAAATCAACCCGAGTGGACGATAATTGCTCATGTTGAAACTGAAGTTTTTGCATGACTTATCTAGGTTAATTATCTTTTTTTAGTCGACTCTTAATAGCATCTGCGCAAGGCCCAGTGGGGCAACTGGGGAACACCCGAGGGTGCACACACTTTTTCAAGGGGCACCACGGGAAAATAAGACCCATCTGCAGAGCTACATAAACTCAACGGAGATTATTCACAGGTTTCAAATGGGGGCAAAACACAATGTACCTGCGTTTATGCTTCGGATATGGGGGACGCGCCGCGCGTCGTTACTTGCTTCGCGCCCTCTTGTGTATTACATGTACGGTGAGTTCAGAAATCCCGACTTGACGAATCTGTCCAGCGTTTGTAAACAGGCGAATCAGCTCAATGAGCTCATCTACCAAAATAGGTAGCAGCCAATCAAATTGCCGGTGTTGTTTTTACATCATTCATACCTCTATTATAATGAATGAGACTACAAGTCTGACTACTTCAAACATTTCATTCAATGAATTTCAAACACTTAGGCAAATTTCCCAATTTCAGCTCAGTTCCATATCCACCTTTGCTTCACCCCTGTCGCCACAGAAGCGTAAAAACACTGTTCACTATGTTTGATCCAATTTTGACAGCTTATTTTTTTATCAGAATATTCAACTGAACCAGTGCGGACACTCTCATCTTGGGGCAGTGGCGTTAAACTTGGGACCCGGGGTACACCCTTTTTTTTCAAGGGGCACCAAAAGACAATTTGGGGAACACCGGGGGCACGGGCATTCGCTGCCCCCCCCCCGTATTTACGCCACTGTCTTAGGGTCTCAGTTTCATGAAAATGCAAACCCATAGCCGAAACCCGAGACAAAGCTATGGTATCGAATCGAACTGGCTCGATGCGTAGTCTTACTTTGCGTCGTCAGAGAACATGCTAGTGGTGCGCACGGCCACCGCATCCCAACTGCAAGCAGCATCGTCCTCCACATCCATAAAATCGAAGGTAAGCGTGACGGTACTCCCTTCTTTGCCCTGTATGCAAGGTTATGGTAAGAAAATTGAATTGAAATCGGGGAAAAAGTGCGGAAGGGTGCGCGTCAAAGTCTCTGAAAAAAGTCATCTTTATACGTCGACACCCTGTCGGTCTGAGGATTAACGATGGAATTTCTGTTACAAATATCCGAGCAGGTTGAAGGGCAATTAATTAATTCATAGTAACTGGTAAAACAAGTTTTTATTCATAGTTTTTTGCAGTATTTTTTCCTATATATTTTGAGCCTGAGCACGACCTCCAATACTTCACTGCCACCGCTCCTTGAGGTAAGGAGATGTGCAGAGTGGTAAAATGCAACGGCTGCGAGAAATTGGGACACTCGGAAGCAAAATTGGAACGAGACATGGATTATATATATACATCCATATGCAAATCGGGAAGGGAAAAAATCATAAATGCAAAACCGGGATGTTTAAAATAAGTTGAATAATATATGTTTCAAAAATATTTCCAATTTGATGATTTTTGTTTGCACGAAAGGTCCCTTATTAAATGGGCAAACAAAGCCATGGCTACACGTCACTGACCTTTATGTACCACGCGCACTTCAGACCATTGTCGTAGTTGGAAGGGTAGTTAGGCGACTTGATCGTGCCGCTCGCCTCTGTCAGTTCATAGCGGCACTTGGAGATGGACGCCGAGTTGTCGACTTCGCACAGGGCGCCGTCGAAGCCCGGTGGACAGGTACACTTGCAGGTGCCGGCTATCATTGCTTCGTAACCACCGTTAAGGCAAGACAGGGTGTCGCTGCAATCAGCTGTTGGGAGGGTGTTAAAAATTCAAAGATGTCACTGTGCCAGACTTTGAGTAATTTGCGTCACTCTTTAAAGGGTTCAGGGGGCGAAATTTTCTTACAAACATGTTCTTTGTAACTTTGCATTTTTCTCCAGTGTATGAAAGCATTTTGACATCTCTCTAAGCTTATGTGGAGTGAAAAGTGTACTTTAGTTTTAAACATTGGTGTTTGATGACAGGAATATCACAATTTTTGCTCACGAACGTGGAAATATGCATTAGCGTAGAAACAAAAAAACATCTTGAAAATGGTAAACCAAAAATTTCAAATGAAATTAATTGATGCACAAAGGTGCCTGCTCTTTTGAGTTTCAGGTAAACGCGTGCCCCATACTCCTTAGTGGTCCACCATATTTGGTGTCAGGACCTTTCCCAATCGTGCATTTTGTGACAGAGGGGATCCGTGCATCACGATAAACTGACCACTCTCATTCTGCCTACAATTTGTACGGGCGGCCAAAGTTTGAAGCAAAAATCACCTTTTTTTTATTTTTCGATTTGACCTCAGCTTCGTTCAAAATGTACACTTGTCCCATTGGTTTTAAAGAAGTTTTTTTAATTTAGAATTCAGTAGCACGTGTATCCTCATCTGGTGTTTTGATAGCCGCTTGGGGTTTTGAGACACTGTGAACTATTCTTTAACTTTTGTACTCGCGGCCAGCCATAGTTTTAGCAGCCACTTGTAGGAAAAGCACAATTTTGACGTCAAAAGAGCAGACCCTACGGCTAAGTATATAGCCATGGCCAAAAGTGGCCTCACGTAACAGATATGGCCGTACATCAGTGATAACAGATCGAGGAGAGAGTGGTTAAAAAGTATGACGTTATCGCAACAGTGTGCAACGCATAAGACCACCATGATGTGCCCATTAACTGATGAGAAGCAGCGATCTGCCTACCGCATCTTGCATTTAAAAACTAGCATCGTTCTTGAAAATTGACTGAAAACCAAACGAACGATCCTGGAACTTACAAAGGCAGTCATAGATGATGTTTGCTAGATATACGTCGTAGAAGGACAGATGTTCACGCTGGCCGAGGTCGAACTGATCCAGAGGATTTATTGTGATGATTGTCGGTTTTCCGTTCGAAGAAAAATACTGCAAGCAGAAATAAAAAAAGATGCTTCTGTTTTCTTGATAAATTAAGATGGTATTAAAAAGAGGTAACAAAGGGTAGAACCCACACTAGCAAGGCAAGGCAGACATGCTTGCATGTCTGGGAAAAGTTGGGGAATATTGCTTTTTGTTTTACCTTCCCTCTATTCCCAGATGCAAAAAATACAGCCTTATAGCCTCATTTATACGTAAGGAACTATTTTTCCTGATACAAGTATTAAAAAATTGTCAAATAAGCCGTCATCTAGTGATAGTCCTATATCTATTCCCTGTGTTTAATGTTTAGTTCTATCAGAAACAGGTCCATTTTATAACTTACTTTGTCACAGACGACTGTGGATAGCGAGCATTTCGGTCCCTTTATATGCAGGGAGGATGGCAACGGTGACCAAGGTGCCCGTGGCCGCATTGAACATAAAGCTATTGCCGACGACACTCATGAAAGACATCGTCGACAACACAGTGACAGAACTGGTTACATACAGCGCACCACAAGACTTACACGCGTGTTGTAGTGCATGACGGACGTGGGATCGTACGGCACACCGTGCGTCATGCTCTGCGTCACCGCCTCGTACTTCACGAAGTTGTCCTCCAAGCCCAAGCGTACATTCTCGTACAGGATGTTGACGTAGTCGTCCCTGTCCGACCGGGACTGCTCGTGGTGGAATCCCATCGCATGAGCGATCTCGTGTGCAGTCGTGCCGAGCTGTGGATAAGGGCAGATTCCAAACCAAATTCACCGCGGGAAACTCTCTGAGGGGTGGGCAATCATGGCCGAGTCTTTCTGAGGTGTGAGGCTAAAATTGAGACGGGTTTCCACACTTATAGACGTAACGCTCAAACTTGCATTGATAGTTTGGGCCTACAAAGGATTTACACCGAAACACAATATTAGTTTAACCACGCTTCGTTTGAGGCATATGATTGAATCTCATCCGTTGAGGTCAAACTCACGTGATCACATCCCGAACCAATGGAGATATCCTGGGCCCCTGTGCCTTGTTTGCCAATGTAACTCCAGCATCTAAGGCAGTGGAAAGAACATTAAAGAATTCCGTTATTATTTTTATCTCTGATATGTTGAAACCACCTCTAACATGGCGGTTCTTGGTTAACAATTGGTCTTGGTTCAGTTAACAATTAATTTGCTACAGTTGAATGTTCACCCACGTTTAGTTTGTATATTTGGCTTGGACAGTAAGGGTGAAGTCACTGTCACTTGAAGCTTAATCTCCATATACAACCGTTAACGAATACCGTATTGAGAGCACCGGTATTATTGTCAGCCGTAGGCATGAAAACAAAGCATTTTGGTGGCGGCGCTTTTTGAACAAAACTTCTACATAAGGCCTAGTTCTAACGTGCCCCGTGTTGCCCCCCTCGTAGCTACGCCACCGCGAGCACGAGCACGCTGCGTGCTATATGAGTAAAACTTCGCTCATTATTCTCATGGGCTATAGACAGGTACAGACCCGCACCTCAAATCCCGGTTACACTCTCCAGTGCTTACCCGTCTCCTTTCATGAAGCTGATGTAATCCTGGTGACCCAGCCCGAGATCACTACGGTACGGCTCGAACTTTATACAGGTCTGAGACTCCCAGAGGTGCATGGCATTCTCAATGGCTTCGGACTCACCAGCTGTGCAATAGTTATGGAGAAAAAGGGATAGAGGATTTTCATTTCAGCTGGATTCTCAAATGTCGCGTCAAATCTTCTAAAAAGGTAGGTGGCCTTACCCTCAATCCGCAAAAGGGGCAATACATTATTATCAGCGTTGCTGTATTCTTGATCAGAAAGACCTGAGGGAAAGTGTCTAAACTCGGTTTTATTTCGGCATCGGCTCGCAGCACGGTTGCAGTTTCAATAATTTAGTCCCCTTCAAATCAGCAAGATCCCTGGGTTCAGTGTTGCTCCTTTTCCTCCATGCGGAAACATCCAATTTTTAGATGCGAGGTCGAACGGTTAAATATTGGTTTCAACAACCAAAGTCTGGAACCGATTCCAGAAGCCGAGAGAATGAAAGACGAAATAAATCAGCTAGAGAATATTACATTAATGAATTGGAGAGAAAAAGTGTAAAGTACAAATGCGTCTAACCTGAGGATGCCGTGATGACGTAAGGGATGATACCGTTTGGCCAGCGAAAGTTCAGGTTGGCGAAGGCCTTTCGTCGCGTCCGTCCTGCTTTGGCGTCCTGGATTCTCTCCTTCACTTCGTTCTCGTACACGCCCAGCTTCATGTCCGACTGGAAGGTACCACTACTTAACTCCGACTCTGGGGGTTCTCCCTGCTTGGTCAAGGCCCTACCGTCGTCAGTCGACCGCTACATCGACCCACAGAAAAACAATAAGTAACCATCATGACCAGATCTTTATCCGTTGGGGATAATTTCGAAATGTCCCCCAACTCCTCTCTCTTTAATTGGTCTATTAACTTCGTCTTGGGTTCACATTGTTGTCAACTTCGTCTCCGTATATGACAAGGATAAAAGGCGTATAGCCCATGAGCTCTAAAAGAGCTGGGCTTTTCAGACCACCCCGTGCGACAGCAAGGCAAGGGCTGGGGTCCAAAGAAATCAGCAGTCCCAGCCCGATCTTTTTAAACCTTAGCATATAAAAACACTCATAATAAATACATCTGTACAGTTTCAATTCAATCCAACACTGGGTTTGCTTGTAATGGTCATTTTATAAGTTCATAGCCTCAAGCGTACCAGCGCTGCACGCGTCAATGGGAAAAATTTATCGGCTAACCTGCCCCGGATAGTGATCGTTTCGCGGGAAGGCTACGTCTGATTTGTCACAGAATTGGTGTCAAAATCAGGCATCCCTGGACAAAACCATGAAAACTCTGGTGCGAAAAAAAGCATTGAAACGATATCGGAGGAAATGAGTATATATACTCTTGGTTTCATATACAGTGTGCAACCTGACATTTCATAAAGACGTCGACTCATATCGAGCCCCATGCCGCAAACTAAGCGTCTTAGAATCAGGCAAATACACACATATAAACCAAGCTTGGATTTGAGAAGTGGCTCTGAAATTGTGCTCCAGGCTTTTTTGGTAGCTTCTTCGTCAAAATTAATGAGCCAAACTATGTTTACTCTCGAGTCATCTCGAGTAATTGAATAGTCTCACCATGTCCACGGCAAAGCCCACGACCCATTGCGACCAAGCCAGTAGGCAGAGCAAAGCAGCGAGAGAGCGTTTCATCCTCGATACCCGCCTGTACCACCGTCGTAGGATACCTTAACGAAAAAAAATACTGAACACCAAGCAGTCTTGTAGCAAATGAGAAAACTCCACTCAGAAATTTACCCGCGAAAAGGAAAATATACCTCCTGTACTTGCCGGGACGGATCTTAAATACACGCTGTCAAACGAAGGGTGTATTTGGAGGAGGATTTTGTTTCTGAGCAATATGGAATGTTTATTTAACGGTTGCCCATCTTGACCTCGTGTGCTGATATGCAATTGCCAAGAATTGTTAGCACAGGACCACATTAAAGAACACTTGAAACTTGTGCCAATCCTACTAAGGTGACGCACCTTTACTTAAAAAAAATCAGCATATATCACTAAAATGCTGAGTGGTGCACTTAGTACTGGCAACCCATCGAGAATTTTGATTGGAATAATTAATTAATTAATTAATTAATTTCCAAATTGATTTATCCTCTTGTGGGTCACAATAGATTTGAGTCTCTTTGTTTCCATTATTAATGATGGAGTGGAGCTGGAAATGCAATCCAGTCCAAATCTCATCAGGAAAGATATAAAAAGACGTTTAATCCACGTGGAAGAGGATGCTCCGCGATACATTTTGTTAAATATCCTTGAAACCCCATTGAACAAGTTTGGTTTTTCTCCGGAAATGAAATCCATTTAACATTATTGTTCCTACTTCGAGATGGAAAAATAATTCTTCAACTTCTTTCTAGGATGGGTTGTAGGATTATTTCATTTTATACACTGTGAACAATGAGACGCAGGCAGTGTTGTAGTCGAGTACTTTCCGAGTACCAACGTTCTCCGCAAAATACTGAACTGGGTAAGAGGGAATAAAGCCAGAGTGCACAGGCATTTGATGGTAAATATGCAAAGGTAAGATTACAAAATAAATGTTAGGCTTCAGACACTCCCAGTTGTGTAAAATTTAAGTTTAAGGAGAAAAGTACTCGGAAAATACTCGGCCGAGTACTTTCCGAGTACTTTTGTCCTAAAAAGTTAATTTTAATCAAACAGTGATGGTCTGAAGTCATTATGTTGCTTTGTAATCTTACCTTTATGCATGTAACATCAAATGCCGATGCACTTAAGCTTTGTTCCCTCCTAGTTACATATTTGGTAGAGAATTTGGTTCTCGAAAAGTATTCGACTACATTACTGGAGGCAGGGGTGTGTCCAACGGCAGGAGGGACTCAATTTTCCCCGGGTCCATGTTGTCATTGATAAATGGAGAGCACCAAGGCCTTACAAACGGTCCCATCGCACCTTCCTTTGGAGATGGAAGGTTCTTTTACAGATAAAAATGGACAATCATTTCAAAATATTCCATTTTGGTCCCTCTGGATTGAAAACCTGGCGATGCCAAATGCGGGAGGCAACCGGGGATGAAAGAAGCAAGGGCGGATCCAGTTCCAAAGTTTCAGGGGCAACTCTTTTTTTTAAGGGGGGGAGCAAAAATTGGGAATTTTATGTAACTTTTAATGGTCCTGAAAAACGGAGGGCTGCATCTATAATTGTTGGTTAAGCCCCCTATGGTAACTTGATGTATGCGAAGATAAAACAATCTTGATCAGCTCCAAACAGAATGGACCTAAAAGGTCCCAATCGCTGAAAACGACACAACCATCATAGCCTTGCAAATGGTCAGGACCATACTTAATAGACATTCAGAACGAGATAGCGCTGCGCGTTTGTGCGAAGAAGCAATTTATTCCCCGCTGTGCGATTTAAATTCTAAAAATGACACCTGTATACAAAATAATGAGTGTTTATGGGGGAAATAATTTGCCATTACCAATTCAATTATTTTGCTCTTCAACTGCAAGGCCAAAAGGATGATGTACCGAAAAAGAAACCCTCACTCGAATATATACTTCCCCGGAGTAGAGACTCTTCCAGACCTCGTTAATGCGCATGCTTGTAAAAGTCACTTCCAATTCCTATCCATTTGCTGTTTTTAGGGGGGGGGGTTCTCTGTACAAAATACGTCAGCGCTGTTGGTTGTACGTAGACGTACGTGCATGTACGTAGTCCGCATAAAAACCACCAGAGAACTTGGCAAGACTAGTCATTTTACTTCTTTTAATTGCAATATTTTCCAGTCGAGATCTCAAGATTAACACAACTGCATTCCTAAAGCCATGCGGCTTATTCTCGCAACTACGTTGACTGTCACTTTAGCTGTCTTCGTCGCAAGTTGGCCCAATGTCTACGGCGACAAGCCGGTGCCGGCTACTCCTTATGTTCCACCATTGCATTTCAAGAGAAGCCTGGGCGTAGCGGACGACGAGGCTAGGACTGAGCGGTTGGCGCGGGCCATAGAACAGAGCCGCTCGGTTAACCGTAGAGCAGGTGATATTTCTCAGTATAGTGTTTATTCGCACAGAATGTTTGGAAAGTTCCACGCCTACGTTTCATTTTTTGTTCTCTAGTCAAACGACGGAAATGTTCATGATAATGAACATTAACAATACCCACCATGATAACTTCCGTATTTTGTAATTCATCGTAAAAAAATGAACACAAAATAAACTAACAAGTGATGGCATTAGAACTTTCCAGTGCATGGCCATTTTCGAAACCTTTCAGATTTCCCGTCTAGTCTCTACGTTGCAAACCACACAGTTACACATTTGTAAATGGAAAAAAGTATGCAATAAAAGTTGGAAATGCCATAAGGTAAGTTACTACACATGTTTAGTGTCAGGATTCTTTCATCTTCCTCGTGTCTGTAGTTTGCGGTGGCTCTCTGAGTGGAAGCGGAACTTTTACGTCCCCTGGCTATCCTTTTGAATACGACAATAACATCCAGTGCGTGTGGACAATCACGGTTAGTAAAGAATTTCATATCACTAATCAATGATAAAAAGTCACCTTTTATTCGCAGGCAGGTCAACTGTTTTGTTCACTGTTTTCCTTTTAAAAATGCATGAAAGTTTTGTACAAGTATGGAAATCTGAACACGCCACCCAACATGTTGAATATCCTCACATATTTGACTTGAGGATACTGCAATTCAAGATGTCGACTTTGACCTTGACCACTTGGTTCCATCAAAAATTGCGATCTTGAGCCATCTCTTCTTACTTCAGTATTAAATTCATCCTGCTCTCCAGCAGTCTATCTTCAGATAATGAGTCCAAGATATCGATACCGCAATGCGACAGGATCGAACCACAACACGGGCAAATACGTCGTTGGTGCAAAAAGATCGACATCGCACGATCTCGTTACATAGAGACCAATGATACCCGGTACGGTATATAGGAAAGGGGACCCCCCATGTGACGCACAAGCTGTACACCCTATGGCTATTGTGGCTACTGCACGCCCTTGGAAATCTGAAAGGAAATCCAAAGATTCCATCAGCACAAAAGAAGACACAACAGAGGGGGTCTCCCTTTGCCACATATCTAACATCATATGAGGCCAATCATCGTTCATATACTTTGTGCATGGTCCCCACTGCCACATTTTGCATTGTCCCTCTTGTCACTACGTGGAATGCTGCAATCGTTCAAAATTTTCCCCTGATCGTCGACGCGCCTCGGCCTCATCCCCTTGATGTCTGGCGTCTTCAAACCGTTACATACCAGTAGCCGTGGTAAAGCGTCGCGTAGTTCCTTATCCATGTCGACCTGCGACACCAAGTACATATAGGCTATTTTGGGGAGGGGGTTGAACGTAATTAGGAGCAAACCGTATAATGAATTATGCCTTTATGGCAAGGGATGTCAATTGCTAAGGACGACAATCCACACCGCTTCACTAGTAAAATAATTATGCACACATGCGCACAAATGGCCTTTGGTGGCAAGAAGCGTGAGCAGGCCATTGAAAATTGGCAACTTTGATGATAATTTTTCTCAGGTTTTCTGGCTTTGTTCATTTTTTTCTTTTGCTCTTAGTTTCTAATTTAAGTGGACTTTTTAGTGCCCTGTAAAAAGACTTCATAATCGTATTTTTTCCTGTGCATACGAGATCGAAGTTTCTTAGTATGGCCCCTTCCATCATAAGTAATAAAATTACATTGTTAGTGTTCTTGGAGCCAACCTGTGCTTTTGTAAAATACGTACTAATGTCCAATGTACATGTACATGTCTACTCTACGTACGTAGCTTACCATTGAACTGAATGGTCATAGCTTGGAGTGCTACCAAAAGAAATGGCATCTAACAGTTGCGTTAGGGGTTGTACAAGACAAAGTGCAGACTCCAAAGAGAACGGGATCTGGTTTCCCAAGTGTAGAAAGCAGGTAATCGCATGGGTACAGTACCGGTACATGTACATGGAACATCAGTACGTGTTTTTACAAATGCACACAACAATGTAGTTAGTTTAACACAACTAACAATGTAGTTTATATTACATAATATGATGGCATGGGCCAAAAGGAACGGCGATCTCGTGCGCACATGTCAGGGAAAATTACGATTATGAAGTCATTTGCAGAGCACCCTAAATTCCATTTAAATCAGAAACTAAGAGCAAACACGATTTAATGGGATTTTCTGAAGAAAAAACTGAACAAAGCCAGAAGTCTTGAGAGAAAATGATCATCAAAGTCGCACCCCTGTACATTTTCAATGGCCCGCTCAAACTTCTTGCCGCCAAGGCCATTTGTGCGTAGGCGTGCATAATGTTATTCATTAGTGACGTTGGCCCTTTTCCAATACTCGACTCGGGCTCCGTCTCAGGCTTCGTTCCCAAAACCAATTCCCGATTGTGGGCTTGAAGCGTTTAAATTAAATTAGGTTACTGTAATTTCTGGCTCTCTTGCATCTTATTTGATGTTTTGTGGCACTATTAGACTAATTATTGCGCTTACAGCTTCAAAGTCAGCTAGTAAAAAACAGTTGAAGCCTGAGACGGAGCCGAAGTTGAGTATTGTAAAACGGCCAAGGTCTACAGGTTCCTAACTTTGCTTGATGTTATGCATATATCCGTTTCCTCATTATTCCAGGCTCCCTCTGGTCAACATATCCAGCTGACGGTGGATGGCATGGAGATCGAAAACCAATCAGCTTGCGCCTGGGACCAACTGTTTATCAGAGTGTCCAATGAAATCATACCGTCTGTGTAAGTGCAATCCTTGGCTCAGTCCCAAGCGATCCATTCTGTAATTTTGTAAGATTCATTTTTCATCACGCTCTAAACTAAACTGATATGTGAGGCAAAATGTTCATTAATAATGCAGGGCTTTAATGACAAAACGTAAATCCAAACTTAAGATTGATCCTTTCTACGTCTTGACTAATAACATCTACTAACAAAGTATCACATTTTCATGATTACGACGCTGTTTCAGAAACGGATTTTAAGTGCATGCGTCTCGTGTCCGCTCAAGTTGCGGAGAATGTTAATTCATTGAAATCGTACAGGAATGCGCGGTATACGCGTGCTGAATATCTGTTTTAGGTTGTTCTGAAAGAAGAGTGTATGAAGCTCGATCTGGACCAAGAGAGGGCGCAATTTTCTTAGCAACGGAAGCCCCGTTGGTCGGAACTGAACTTTGCTGGTTAACTCATTAACGACTTCCAAATGCACGCGTTACGGTCGCATCGCTAACAACAAAATGGACACTCCCAACCAACATGACTCTTTTCACCGATGAGGGGGCGCTTCTGCTCGAGGCGGATTACAAGGTCCTCTTGTAGAACTATGCCCAGTAAACACTAATTGATAAAAACATCTTTTCACTCGTAAGCGTCACGTACAGAAACACTTTCCAAACATCGACTAATCAAACTTCCTGATTTTAATTTTGGAGATAATGCAGAGCAAAAACATTTTGTCAACTTCGTCGACACTCGGGGTGCGTTCGTGCGGTTACTCCTGTTAAAACGAGTAGGATGCATTCGCATTTCACTCGGGTGCAGGAGTATACTCCCCGCCAGCGAGAGTATACTCTCCAGCCATTCGTGCACTAAGGAGTATACTCGTGTTAACAAGAGTACCTCGTTGAAACGCACCCTTGGTGTTATATGCATGCGTAGACAGACGGTAAAATTTCAATTTGTCAAATCCAGAGAAGCGCATGAGCAGTTAATGTTAACTGGTTACGGTATTCTAGTACACCATGGCCCCGATAATAGCCACGCCTACTACCCAGGGTTGTCCACTGCTCACCTCAATCTGGACATTACTGGGCACAAAATTCAACACTTATCTGTGATCATTTTCTCGTCCCTCTTTACCACAGGCTGTGTGGCTCAGGGTCTGTCTCAGGATCTTTCATCTCTGGGGGCAATGAGATGATGGTGATCTTTTTGAGCGACGAATCGGTGTCAGAAAAGGGCTTCAGCGCTACATACTCTACCATAACCTTGTAGAATAACACATTTGAGACGTCAAGATACCGGACGTCCTTTGCAAAGTAATAATACATGTACATTAATGTTGATAGCTTAGTATAACCTGGTACATAAGATAGACCCCATACAATCTTAAGCTTTTTATTTACATAAACAGCTTAAAGTGCAAAAGTCAAACGCAGGATTTATAATCCAGCCTAGCGTATTTAAGCTTTAGTTTTATGTCTGTTGGGAAAATATAACATCCATGAAGATATAGCACTTAGAATACGACGCTAAAATAGTTCACAATATATAAAATTAAACCTAAATGATTGCGAAATGAAGATCTTAAGGAAGGCTTCAACGTTTGCTCTTTCTTGTGTAAACTAAAATAGAATCATGGAAAAAATGAACTCAAGACTAATTACGTGTCATGAAATCAACGTACTTTCCCATGGTAAATAACTAAAGGTGCTGCTGTCTATACATCGCGGATTATTATGGCAACAATTCACAAATATACGATTGAAACAACAATATAGGAAAGCTTGAAAAGTTGAGAAAGCTTATCAGTATGCTAACCCCGGGGATGGAACCACTGCGAATGCCGTGCATGCGGTGGGAAGGGTCTGAAGAGTTGGTATTTTGTGCATAAATACTTTAAGGACGATGCCTGGGTCGTCTATTGCAGCTCCAAACAGAAGGGTTGCACCATATACAGGTATGTGCATTATATTGCACCCTCTACAAAACATTCACTATTCCTCGTACGAAAAGGTGATCTATGATTTAGCATCATTAATCGCTTTATCTTCAGGTAATTTGAGATATCTGTCAACCAATGCAGCAGACCTACAGCAAAAATAATTCACAAAACAATGCCAAGGGTTGTATTGGAGACAGGTGCGGTGTGTTCTTTGATAACGTTATTGAACAAACTTAAATATAATCAGCTAAAATGAACAGACATGTCATGAGCTTTGGTACATTAAAAGCTCAAACATCTGTAGTTGTACTCTGTTGTCCTCAGTCTTCAATTTGCAGATTTATACAGTAACATAAAAAATACATTAGAATTAGCAATATACATGTAAGTCTATGTAGCCCCACAGCATAATGTACGTTGTGTTGAAGTGTATTTTACAGACCATGAAATAACTCTTAAGGTTACAACCTGCTGTTCCGTACTGACACAGGTGAGAAAATTCTAAAATTGTTACCACATGACGTGACACTCGCCACCCGTACAAAAATACACTTCCTCTCTTTAATTGAATTTAACCACAAAGCAAGGCGGGCTCCCAGAGTGTGGTGATATTCAGCCGACAGGTTGCTGTACCAGCAGTGGCCTAGCTAGGATTTTACTAGTGGGGAGGGGGAACAAGGGGGAACCAGCATCTTATAGGGGGCACCAGCTTCTTATAGGGGGCACCAGCTTCTTATAGGGGGCACCAGCTTCTTATAGGGGGCACCAGCTTCTTATAGGGGGCACCAGCTTTCAGTGGTGTGGTTTTTGGGGCAAGTTTTCATTGGCCTTGTTCAATATCCATTCATCTGTTTTTTAGTGGGGGCACGGGATGGGGGCAACGGGAATCTGTGGGGGACACGTACCCCCCAGCCCCCCCCCTCGTGGCTAAGCCACTGTGTACCAGACCAATAACGATTCCCAATTTCCTATTGCGGTACAATCTGAACAATTCCAAGGTCACATTGTATGCTGAACACAGGGCTTGCTGCAGTGCCCAACAAATCCGGTCTGTAGGTTTCACTTCAGTTAGCAATATCAATACATGCCAGTGATTTTTGTTATTGTGGCCTTCGTTCTTTGAGAAAGCCGGGTTAAAGTAATTCATGACGGGGGCCTCGAGAGGACATAACTAACATTCGCCGCGGCAACACGCTGGCAATTTACCCATCGATAGTGGGTAAGAGCGAATTCAGAACCGATTTTTCCCCCTTTTTTTAGGGGGGGGGAGACCAAACTTGTTTGGGGCTGCCGAAAATGTGATTTTTTTTTCATGTAATGGTTCTCGGTCTTTCTGAGGCGTGAGGCTACATTCGGACTTTTATACCCTTTTGGAGGGAAGTGAAATGAAGGAAACCAGAAAATAATCGCATCCCTCTCAATGTTTTTCAAACTAAACACTTGGCTGGGGAGGAAATGGCCCCTACTGGATTTGCCCTTCATACTTGGCACTTGAAAACATGTAGACTGATTACATTTCAAAAATCTCAAAAGGAACGTTCCACCTTTGTCCCAGTCGTTACGCCACTGGTGCCACTACTCTTACGACCCCCTCCCAGTCCTAAGACAGGATTAACCCTTACGAACATTGAGAGGGGAATCCATATCATTCAAAATATCAAAATTTCCCAGTATTTGAGTGTCATTTCATCATTTCTGTAAAACAAATACAGCTTGGAATAACTAGAAATTTTAGATTCCATGTTTCGACTTACCATTTCTTTTTTAATCGGTAAAGGCAGTGGTGCTACAATCCACTTGTTAGGATTTGATTGAATCGATTTGATTAAATCTGGGGGCCTCTGTGGGGTAAAACCCAAATAATCAAACGAGTATGGATATGACTATTACCATTATACGGAAACACTGTGTCTTTTCTCGGCCGCAGTCCATATAGGGTCCTGGAAAACCACAAAGCAACGTTTGCAACGAAGTCTATGATAGCATACGAGCCACACACAACATTGGGAACCAATCTTGTTCAAGTTGAGTACCCAAAATAGACAGAACTATCGATTTGTTACCTCTCCGTCCTTTTCTTTATCCATATTGCAATAAAATGGTATACGTCCATGTCACACACCGGCGGTGCTTGTCGCCGACGGGAGGATGTCGTGTTGGGCCGGCGATAGCGTGGCAGCGAGAGTGGCAGTGAACGTGGAGTTGTCGACGCGGTGTAATTTGATTACCGGTGGATACTGACAAAATCCTGTCCCGGACTGGAGTGTTTTCTGTTCATTTCAACGGAGAGTGGCGGCCATGCGTTACCTGACTCCCCGGCACAGACAACGGCTCTTGCTGGTTGTTGGTGCCGCGTTCATCGTCAGTGTGTTTGTGTTGATGACCCTAGATCCGGATACTACCACAGATATACCGGTAAGACACGAATTTCAAAGTATGTTTGATGGCAGGATTTACCCCATTGCATCCAGTTGCCTTTTTGGTCGGGGCAGAACATGAATCTGTTGGTTCAAACAGTATTAGATTTCAGAATTTAGAATCTAGGGTACGTCGAATATATAAATCTATTGTTGTCTTTCTATTAATTTTCCTATCACCGTCAATGTTTGCCACCATTAATATGCAATATTCACTTTTTATCGAAATCTTGTCTAGTCAACTCTTAGTTTCTGAGCTGTAATATCTGTTTCTGGAGACAGCAATTTATTGACAATGCAATTATGGTATTATCTGACTGAAATAAATTGGGTCTTTAAAAGTTTACAAATTGGGGCTGTGTGCTTCATAAAGTGGTTCCTTTCCCACTGGAGTGGAGGAACTTGTTTTGAATTTCTTGGGTTGTGGTTTTAAGTCCTGTCAACTTGCCAAATGTACTAAGCCGTCCTCCAAATTTTAGTAGGGTAAAAAAAATGCGCCATTTTATGGTTACCATAACCTTTCCTCCTGACCCAAATTCCCGCACTGTTCCTGCACTGACCGGATCACATCCACTGTCCACTTTCCTCCAGAGTTCATCCACATTACTACACCCCAGTCCGCTCCAAACAACTGGAGGATATGCCCCTCGAGTACATTCTGATGTCGACTGGTTCCTCCTCAACGCCATCCCCCCAAATCGCTTCCTCTTAAAACTCAGTACCTTGCCTCAAAGTTCAATCGGTCCTGAGCAGACTTCAGAAACAACGTGATTGACTCTCAGAGGTCTTCCGCTCCTAAGTTTTGTTGGTTACTTTAGCTTCAGACTTTGAGTTTGTGACGAAGTTCTATGAGTTAAGACTCTCCATCTCAACGCAGCCCAATTTCTTGCGGCAAATACATCAAATTGTGTAATTTAATAAAGATGAAGATTGAAGTATTTTCTCCCAGAGTTGTACGTTCGAGTCAGTTGACTCAAACTCGACTTGTTATTTTTGTGACTCCTGACTTGAAAGTATCAGTTTTTGACTTGTGACTTGACTTGGACTTGCGTTCTGGCGGTGACGTCATCCAATCAGCCTGGCTGGGAGCGCGAACGGCCAAAAGGGAATTTTTGTCGGCGGGGAAACGCAGGATCTTTTCACTCATTTTGGGGTCACAGTAAACATTAAATTTACGATGTTTTTGAAATGGTTACATATTTATTGTTATTTTAAAATACTTCAAGTGAACTAAATGTTTTCTATTTCTGTTACCCTTTAAGTTTGGAGAAAATTTGACAGGGACTATGCTTCCGATTCAAAAAGGCCGACTTAATAAAGCCAATGCTTTTCTCTTTTTTTCACTGGTATAACCCAAAAATCAAGTCTAGCGCCTGAATCCTGAAGCGCCTGCTTTGATACAGGTATTTCCAAGACGGCCCGGCGCGCCGCCTAGTCTTCCATCGACTCCCTTGTTCTACTGTCCAATTAATAACTTCCGTCCATTAAGTGGTCATGTCAACACTGTCAACCTTCGCAAAGGACACACGAGATGCAGTGAGAGCCCCGCCGTCTAGAACACACGCGTTTATGGCTCCATTACTCCACTGAAAATCCTTTGTAATAACCGAGACGTCATTATATTAGGGCAGTGCTATTCAAAACACCATTAAGGGGGCTCTTTGGCAAATAACGGCCTTGTAAATTAAGAGCTATCCAAACTGAAACGTTGTGAACTCATATTAGAACTGAACCAACGCTTAAGTCGTTTAAATACAGAGACGAGGCCAAGACACATGCAGACAGAAAACCAGAGAAATTTACACATGTACATCATGAAACGAACACGGCTGTTGAATGTGTGTTTGCGTTTAAATTTTTTGAAGTGTAGGCCTACCAATTTTCATATAAAGCTGGACGAGACTTACATTTGGTTATTAAATCATCCATATCGTTTTACCTAAATTCCATTTGTAGGTCTTGAAAAATGGCATTCCATAAAAATGAATCCGGGCAATTTCTCGAAACAGGATTTGCTATCTTATAAAGCTAATCTGGGCACATCGTCGTTTAGACGGGCATGTCCTGCGCGCAGCATGTTTAGGTTGGTGGACGGTTGCACATTCTGAGAAAACAGAAAAAACGAGGGGAACCCTCGCTTGTGTTCGTAAGTGGATAAACCCTTGTGCATGCCAAGCATTGCGTGTAGCCATTGTTTGGCATGCAAGACGGTTTATCCACCGTTCGAACACAGGGCGAGGGTTCCCCTCGTTTTCTCTGTTTTCTCAGAATGACACAATCTACATTTAGCATGTTCAGAATTTGCATCTTGGCATGAACAGAAAAAAAGTCTTTTTAGGTTGTTATAGTTGAGCTCTGAAGACAACCGACACTGCGTTCGATTTGGATGCTTCCATATTTATTTGAAGAGATAAAATCAGAGAAAACATGTTTTCCTTTGAGTTGCTCTTCAAACCTCAGTGTTCTCAGAAGTTCATGTACATGCAGCACAACTTCGGCACTAAATTTTCGACTGCTATGGGTCTCGAGTTTGACTAAGAGAGGGTGTTTTTTTTTAGCAACGGAGGCTCTGTTGGTAAGAAGTGCACTTCGCTGGTTCACAAATGACTTCGAAATGTTCGTGTCAAGGTCGCATATCTACCAACTCCGGACCAACATGGCTCTTTTCAACCAATGAGGGGCGCTTCTGCTCTAGGCGGATACTGTAACCGTCTTCCAACGTTTGTGTGGCTGTGACTTTTTAAAGATTTAATTTATGTAATCATTAAGTACAATATTATTTCCTCAACGCGGCTGCCAACTCTATTAAACTGGCAGGAAAACCTGTACAAACTATAAACAACATGTTGGCAAATATTATAACAAGTTTCCATTCAAAATCAGTTTCATTGATGCTGCGAAGCTCCGATTTCTATGTTACTTACAGTTCCGTCAAGAGAAAGAATAGAAAGTATGTGTGGATTAATCCACAGTGAAACCAAAACTGAATACGATTCCACGTTAAGACATTAACTCCGCATTTATTTCCAAGGGATTTTAAAAACGAAACCAAGCGGCACCAGTATATGCAACTGTGAGAGAATCAATCCTGCCTTGATTTCATGTAGGCCTACTTCAGTTTCAGACAGTCATGTAATGATACGAAGGGCTTATTTGAATCAAAATAACGACCACGAAAAAGGAATATCTTTCAGAACACTATTCGCTACGGTGACTGAAAGGAAAGTTTGAGTAAGAAATTGAAATTGACATAATATGGAAATAACGCACATTGAGATAAAAATCCTGCGTGTCTAGGGATTCTCAATTTTGACCATTATATCGATTTACTAATGACAGCGGGAATTTAGCCTAAGACGGTGGCAATGGAGTCTTGGATGCCTTTAAACTAAACTGAAAGCGAATGGGATGTTCGGGATCAACTTACGCTGGTTTGGAACCGTGTCAAATCTGCATTGGTCGGGGTGCATGGTGATGCAAACAAACGATTTTGGATGTAGTTGGATGGGAAACCTGCATTAACATTGTTTGGCAGCGTCGCGATCGCGTCAAGTTATGTCAGTGGATCCGTCCTAGTTACTGAAGGGAATACTTTTGTAACAGTGTGGTTGAATACCTCATGAGTGGGCTTTGACATCTTGACGGGATTATTTTGATGGCTCTCTGGTTTTGTTTTCTGCTTGTTTCAAGTATGTCAGAATCAGCAGAATCCCGTTATTTTTCGTTTAAATTATTTTGACAAGTGTAGAGACAAAAATGCGAAGGTCCTGACCGGTACGGGCGTAAATCCCGGGACATGCGGGTATATATACCCCACTTTTTGACCAGGGAGGTGAGTTGTTGAATCTTCCCCCACTTTTTTTTGGGGGGGGGGTGAAAAAATCAAAGTTAAATTGTGAAAATTTTTCGGACCTCCCAACAACCAACATGTATTGAATAGCATTCAAAGGGGCAAAACAATTTTTAAAACGCCTTGGTGATGTCAGGTTCTTCAGGTGTGCAAGACATGTTGAAAATGTACATCTGTATCATGGATATCGGCACGAAGTGTCATGTGGTGTCAGCACCAGTTTTCAAGTGTCCATGGCCGGGTCAGTCCTCACCCCACTCCCACAATCCCCATCCCTTGGCACGGATTTACGCCACTGCTAACCAGCTGTGTGTGCACACAATAATTCTGAGACTGTACAGCAAGTACTTAGACAAGGCCAAGTGACTATTCGAAAATCAGATTTTAAGCACGGCACCAGCTATAGTATTATTCGTCTGTTTCTTTTTATATGGATATTGTTCGGTGTTCTTTCAACACCTCATGGTGTTGATAAGACACCAACACATCACAGTACTGATTCAACACACTACACTGCAATATTAATTCAACACACCACTAATTCAGCACACTACAGTATTAATTTAAAACACCATAGTCTTTATTCAACACCTAAAGTTTTCATTTAACACTGAGTGTTTTATTTTTATTTAAAGCCATACAAAGATAATTCAACCCCGCACATACTGGTGGGAATTCAACAACACAGTTTTCTTTTGCAGTGAATTAGTGCTGCCTTCAGAACTTAAACAATACAGTAACTTAAAAGATGAACTTTAGAATCCATCTAAAGAAATGGAAAAATACAATGAAGAAAGGTGGTAAGAAGCTGAGAAAACCCGAGTTATAATGCATACTAGAATAGCTTAAAAATTGATAATACTGCTGAAAAGAATGATTAATACATAAAGTGTGGTAATTATACGGGCACATAGGGCGTAAAAAAAACTACATTCACGCGTATTTCATTTTGGTGTCTTCTACGAGCGACAAGTTGTCGGTCTACCTATTGCTACGCGAACCAGTCATGGGCTATTGGTTCGTGCAGACGCCAGCCGTGACCTCTTTGGAGACAGAAATTAGCATAATTGCTTCAGAGTAAGATCATAGTTTTTTATACACGTTTGTGCACGACATAAAACACGTACTGGGTATATTCTGCTCCTTATCAAAGGGCGAGGGGATAGCAAATTCCCTATTATGAAAACAAGAAAGAACAGGGTTGCAAAGCATTATTGGTATAGCTTAATTATTGGTATAGCTGGCAAATAAATTAAATGTAATTAGAGGCTAAAATATCACAGCCTATCAGCGTTTTTGGATAGTGCACGTTGGGTAGAAGCGAATATCGTGTTATAAAAAGGCGCCAATCTGACAATCGTGGTGCATATCATTACGTAGACAGCATAGTTGTTAAACAGCGAGGGTTGTGTGACGGCGTGAAGGGCAAATTTCTTTGCCATTATTATTGTGTAAGAGTGAGTGTCTAAGTTCATTTATTGAAAAGCGGTCTTGTTTTTGTATGATTTGCCTGTATAAAGATCGCTGGCAGTTCGGCAACAGCGATTAATTGACGGTGTCAGTTGTTTCGTTTATTATAAACACCAGCGTAATGCTTTGCTCGTGCCGCCATTCACTGTATGTGAAGTGTGTCAATTCATGAATTATGTGATAGTGTACTCCCTCGGCCAAGAAGGTATTGCAGACGTCTGCTGGCAAATGTATGGATAACATTTTTGTCACCCAAACTATAGTTTTTTTGTTACTTCTTGCTTCTGTAACTTATGACGGCTGTTGTTTAGTTCATTTACCGTAAAGCTGCAAAGGAGAAAACAAAGCAGCGAAATGGCCCGGAATCAGTGGGCAATGTACATCACGTGGGGCACTGAAACTGATCCCACGCCACCTGATAAGCCAGTTTTCCATGCTACAATGTGCTTGAGATTAACAGCTCGGCTAAATTTGCCTCCCGGCAAGAAATGATACCATAAATTACTGGTGCGGTGTGATTCCGAGGAGTTTAAGTTCCTCTCAGAAATACTGAAAGTTCCCTTGTCGTCTCTCGCAAATTAGAGGCATGAATATATTTGTACATCATTTTTTCACGACCATTTTACATTCTGATTCATTTAGAAAGGGGAGCTGTGTGACAGCAAACAAGGCGCGATACAGGGGTAAATCTGTAACATGCACAGTACAGGGAGGTGAGAGTTGGATATTGGGGTGATTGAAAGAGAGAGTGCCCTGCCATGGGGCTCCTTGGAAAATTCCGTAATACACAATGCTCCTTTTTCATCATGAAGCAACTTGAGACCAAATTTAGGAACTTTGAGTCAAGCTTTGTCCCACATCGGCTGAACATGGCAAAGTCTTAGCATGATTTATGCATTAATGCGATACTGTGATCCTTATGAGCAAACAAATAATATATGTTGGGCAATGACATCTCCTTGTAGCCCGTTCGAACAGCCTAGTTGCTACGACCGACTGATTTGGAGTTTTACAGTGAGCTAGTTAAAGATACCGGTACTCTGTAATGTTTTACCTAACAGAAAATCCGCTTTCCTATCGCAACACCCGAAAAGCATTCTTTTAATTTGTGTTAATTACTATTACCAAAAATGGGTCACTTGGGAGACATTCCCATAGGGACGTGCACAAAATTTTTCAAACTTTACCGTCCCATAATTCAATATTCCCTGATCCGATCTTAACCAAACTTTGCATGTTTTCCTTTCAGACTCTAATCTATCATCTCTCAAAATGTGGACGATAAAAATTTTCCTCCTTTTGGTAGTTGGAGCATTAGGGAGACACAATGTCTCCCTAATGACCTTATGACCGATGTCTCCCTAATGTTGAAAAATTTACTACAAAATGTCTCCCAAGTGACCTATTTGGAAATATTACATTAACCCTTTCATTAACAATGTTGTGAGAGCATCGACAAAAAATAACAGCGAATTGCCAACTGTTTTCCCTCTCGACGTTGGATCATGATGGTTGATATATGCAACTGTCATTTTTATAGTAACATACTTTCTGCTTCCGGCTACCTGCACATTTTGTTTTTTCTTTTTAAAATTTCGTACACAATATCAGTCCTTTGTCTACGCATCGATTATATGTTTTACGCGCCGGCTGTGTCGGCTACTGCCGGAAGGTCGTTGATGATGCACGCGGCTCTCCCTTGAACCTTCAACAATACTTTTCGCTCGTATTGATTCTTCTTGCATAACGTTCAACCACAGGAGGTGCTGCAAAAAATACCAACATGTACGTTCGTCCTTGAGGGCGCCAGTGAAAACTTTCCAGAATATTGCATTATGTGAGCTGTCGGTTATGCACGCAGAGAATCGTATAAAGACGCCTTTCCGTGTGTAGGCCCTACTTTTTTTTTGTTTTTTTTGTTTTTGGGTGCGTTGCGTACACGATGGGTTCACGCGTTTACACTCTCACGGACACAGAAATCACCTCCATTAACATTAAATTAAAAACAACCATTTGGAAACCAGGCTTAACACACGTGTGCTTTACGTTCGGTCGTGAAAATCTTCCTGAGAGCGATTTTGACGGATACGCAACGCCTGGCGCAAGTGTTGACGGGAAAGGCGCCTTCATGGAGACCCAGAAAAGACATCATGGAAAGTTTAATTAAAAAATTTTGCGTACACGATGGCTATCATGTACGAACGCGGCACTTATCACTTTCTTCAACGTAACGATAGTTTCAAGTGTGTAGGTAGGTACACAATTCTGAGGTTTATGTACCCTGGCCCCCTGTATGCGGTGGTTCCGACGGCCTCCCCTGTTCGCTTTACATTCCGATATATATGACTAATCAGAGTGATGACTAGTAAGATGGATGAAGGTAATGTGTTGTAACAATGTAAGAAAATCTGGCCCCAGCAGGTATCCGCCTTGAGCAGACGCACCCCGTCATCGGTTGAAAAGAGTAATGTTGGTCGGGAGTTCCTATTTTGTTGTTAGCGATGCATCCATAATGGGTGCATTTCATAGTCGTTTGTAAACCAGCGAAGTGTAGTTCCGACCAAAGGAGCCTGCGTTGCTAGGAAAATTGCGCCCTCTCTTGGTCCAGCTCGGGGCTTTGTAATAGGAAAGAGTACCGGTACACACACTTTGTGTCAATTTCTTGAAAGCAAAATTATTGTTCTAAGTAGTTGCATTGCCTCGGACCCCTCCTCGCCCAGACCCAAGGTGAACACAACCCCGACGCACAACTGACAGAGAACAATGAGGGTATTGTGTACATTGTAAAATTGTAGGCAATTTATAATGACATGTTCAGGCTCAGCTTGCATGATAAATAACGAAGTTGACGTTTTTATTCATATCACTTTTTCTCCCATGTCTTGTCTTTTTTTTTAGTTTCCCTTTTTTGACGAATGCCACAGGCCTTGAAACCCCGACCCTCCGCTAAATTAGTGGGCCAGAAATTTACCGATACATTTTAACGCAAAGGATATAGATCCCTTGCAAGTAGATAATTGAACGGAAAGTCGAGAAATGCGAGCGAGCTCAATGGCTGGGGGGGAGTTGATCTACCAAGGGTTTAAGGTTGACTCTACCGGGTGGGGGTCTGCTGCTTGTTGACACAAACTGATCAGATGGCTACTTGTTCAAACGAGAACGAGAATTTTTTTGGTCACTGTTTTCTTTGTGTAGGCTAAATACAAAAAAGTTGTCAAAATCGGTTGTTAATTCGAGTGAAACATCGATGAATGGTATTCGTTACATCGACTAGGCCTATATGAATTCCAGCAATGGCCACAACATAATCCATTTTGCCACGAAAGTCACGTTTGGGATCATTGTTCTTTGCCGTATATTGATTGACTTCAGGGTATGCAGTAATTAAGCATACACTTTTAAAACGTTAGCAAAAATCGGTGGTTGAATCGTTAGTTAAGAAACATTTTGGAAAACTTTGCTCAGAATTGTAGAATTAGATATTTTGACGTCAGGGAAGATCGTCAGCCTCAAATTGCCTGATCTTTAATGTGTAAATAATGATTAAGGAGATTTCAAGGAGAAGACATTATGCGAGCAGCTAAACTTGTTATTGGTTCCAAATTTATATCCGTTTTTGTTGTGTAAAAATTAGGGGCCTAGAGAGCTGCACGGACACGGCATCGATGTCCCCAACCACCAGCCGCAGTCGCGAGCGTCGGTCATCAGTCTGCCCGTCCTCAACAAGAAGCAGCTGGGGAACTACGAGTCCCGGATTCCGCCACCGGAGCGAGATGGGCCCGGTGAGTTCGGCCGTGCTGTGAAGGTGGAACTAGGGGAGGGCTCCAAGTACCGCAAGAGCATTAGGGAGTTCGGCTTCAACGTGGAACTAAGCGACGAGATCTCGCTGGACCGGGTTGTGCCTGACATCAGAGACCCAGAGTAGGCTGATTGACTTTTTGTTAAAGTGAAAAAAGATGTGGTGGGGTTACACTGGAATTCACGATGACATTTCCCCAACCGCAACTTTCTCTCCATTTTAGGCTTTTGTAATTTCATGAAGTTCATTCGTGCGAGTTGAGAGCGCCAGCTTAATGCAGCTCCCATTTTCTTCTTTATACACAAACTCTCAAATTTCTTTGCTGTGTAATTGACTAAAGTCAAATGTGTATTTAATTATGTATTGACTTTTTTTAAATTCAATGTAATACACAAGAGAAACCTAAATAAACGTCCTGAGTGGGAACAAAGCTCTCAAATTGTCTAGTATAAAGCGAAACGTCGATGAATTTCATTTGGTTTTGGTATTATAACGTTCAAAAATAACTGCGAAACCCAAGTTGAAACCGAAACTTACAAGAAAACAGTCATTTGGAAAATTTCAGTTTCGTATGTACCAGTCGACAGCCTTGATCCCGTTTCTAACCATCAACTCTGATTGGCTGCCTGGCGGGTTGACATAAAACTTGCATGCGCATGATATCAAAATGTTCATACATTGTGGCCAGGATCTGGCAAATCGAAAATATACTAAAACTGCAGGCGCCCATCACCGCACTTGCAAACACTGTCCCAAAAGGACTTGTGAAGCAACAGTGACCTGAATTCAAATTGTAACAAGTCACTAATGTTTAGTCATTGTAACCTAGTGACCCAAGTCGAGTCGAGTCATTGTAACGTAATGACGAGGGCCGAGTCAAGTCATTAGGCCAAAAAGTCAATTCGAGTCGCCAATATTGGAACACAATACGATTATTAAAAATAAGAGAGAAGTAGTTTTTTGTTATTTTAAAATTCACCTCTTCGTTTCTGAATGTGGTTGCATCATATCTTACCTTTGATGACGATAACACATGACATAAACATTATAAACCGGCACCGTAAGTCGTTGCAAGTATTTTGTCACAATGAAGTTTGCGTCCCCTCGAGTTATTGCTTGCAGTGCGTGCAGTGACTCGAGTCTAGTCGAGTCATGTACCCGTCGGGACTCGAGTCTAGTCGACCTTCCAAAAAAAATCAGGATTCGAGTCGGACTCGAGTCGAATCATTGACTCGAGTCATTACCACTCTGCCTAAGGCTGCATCCGAATCTGTTGTCTAGAGCTAGGTCTAGGTCTTCGCTCCATTGGAATGTGTGGAGACGCGCAGACAATAGACCTAGCCGTAGCTCTGGAAGCCCGTTTCGGACACGGCCTAATTTTTTTTGGTGCCATCACGATTCCATCATTGCAGATGCAAGTACTGGCACTACCCGGAGAAGCTGCCAAATGCTAGCGTGGTGATCGCCTTCTCCAACGAGGGATTCTCCACCCTCATGCGGACGGTTCACAGCGTCATCAACACATCACCGCCGAACCTTCTTGCCGAAGTAGTCATGGTGGACGATATGAGTGACAAAGGTAGAGTCGGGGGTCGGGGCTGCGTACACATTGGCGATGTCATTGGCGAAGAAGCCAGAGAAAAAGGAGAAAGTTTAATACATTTTATATTATGTTGTAGTATCAGGATTCGGTTAATGCAACTCTTGAACTTTGATGAAGTCTGTGAGATCATGTTCTTTGTAGAGCATCTGGGTAAGAAGCTTGAGGACTACATCAAGAGAGATCGCTTCCAGGGAAAAGTGCGGCTCGTCCGTAATACTAAGCGAGAGGGCCTGGCTAGATCGAGAACAAACGGAGCCATGGCCGCCAGGGGGCAAGTCGTCGTGTTCCTGGACGCTCATTGCGAATGTAGCGTCAACTGGTTGCCGCCCCTGCTGGCTGAAATCGCGTATAGCAGGTAATTTGACAACCCATGGCATTAAGAGATAAAAATTTAAGCATCATTCTTTTCCTATAGCAGAAAACAAGGGTATTGTTTTCTGTGGTGCTGGTGCTCCTAAAAGGTGCATGAACCAAAAACTGGACGGGTTCGTCGGCCGTTTAAATTCAATCACAGCATGCACAGGCTGCGTCCGAATCACTTGGCCGCACCTTGAAATTACACACGACTCCGTGGGATGTGGCAAGTATATCTATAACTTTGGACACGGCCTCGGTTTAATCTGCGACTTAAGCTCATCTCGGTCTCCTAATTTTGGCTTCGCTTCATAGGTTTAATATTTCTAAGGAAGAAAATGGAGCTGGATTAATTCAAAGAGTGGGGGGGAACGGCTAAATTCAACTAAGGTCCCTATAAACACGAGCGTTACCATTGTTGTATAACTTATTTCGTGTGTATGTTTGTACTGCATGCGGTGATGAATAAGTGACCATTTTTCCAGGTTAAATGCTTAGGCAGCCGTATACATAGTCGGATCGATATAACAGATCTGTTTAAGATTTGTATTTGAACCCAACCGAATGTAATATATGCATCGCCTGCCCAGGGCTGGACTAACTGGACCGTAGGCTCTTGGTACCGGTGTTACCAATTTCATAGCGCCGGTAAGCGCTGGACCTTCGTATTTTGTGTTGATGCTTAGCTGACTAAACTAGCTGTAGTTTGAAGCTTTCACAAATTGTAAACTTCAAAGAGAGGACAAAGTTATAAAATCTTCTTGTGGTTCAGGGCATATTTTGTGATTTATCCTTAAAATCCATAGCCCACCCCCCTCGATTTTGGGCCTGAGCCCTTGGCACAATACCTATGACTATACCCAGCCCTGGCTGGCCAGTATCTTTAATCTTTTGAGTTATGTTTCTCCAGGACTACCGTAGTTTGTCCAACCGTTGACGTCATCAAAGCGGAGGATTTGTCATATTCTCCCCAGGGTGAACTGGCACGAGGCGCGTTTGACTGGGCCTTCTGGTACAAGAGAATTCCCGTCGACTACAGCGACACCATGAAGCGGATCGGAATGAAGTACGGCAGCCAGGCTTACGAGTGAGTTTCACAAATGTCAAAGTCTGATTAAAGACAAAATATATTGTTATAAAAAACAGTTGCCGATTTCGCCTAATAACCTGTTCTTAATACATATTCTAGGTATAAGACTGTGCATGTCATTGACTCTCATTGACTCTCTACGGGTAAAAATGTCGCACCCTATGAACCGCCGAAACGCATGCTTTATTGCTATCTATAGGCAAGTAATGATGGCGCAGCCCACAAGTCAATAACAAAACTTCACCTGTGATAATATTCACTTGTAATTATGTAGCTGTTTTCCCTTAGCATGATGTCTGATTGGCATGTCGTACCGTACCGACGCGGAATAGCAGCAATTCTCATTCCATGAAAACCTTCCTGGATTCTTTCACTTGTTCTAGTTTATTAGCCCTATGGAACTGTTTACACTGAGAGCGGACAAATCGCACCAGAGAGCAACAGACTTTCATGTTCAGAAAATCGAGTGATTTCTCGCTGGGCATGACCACAGAAAGGACGCACTTGCACGGCCGATCGCGTCGTTACCGTGCGACATGTAGCTTTCCGTCAACACTTTCTGTTTTACCGTGCGTCCGTGTAAATTTGGCCCTTGAAATGTCTAATTCGAAAGAAGTGGCTCTCACTGGTGATAACTCAGGGCCTTTTCCTTCCCAGAATTGTGTGGATGAATCTCTTGATCCGGGGATGAATCTCTTGATGCGGTGATAAATCCAACCAACAATATTAGGGTCAACACCCATTCATTCTGATCACGTATACCACTTGCTCTTCTGTCGAACTATGTCTAGGGACCGTGCGTTCGTTTGTTCACCGAATGATCTTTATAAACGACTGACTCCAAAGCCATTGATAATGTAAATGAACGATCAGTAGAAAACTTCACAAAGTCTATTGCAATCTGAAAACGTGCTCGCACCTTCCCTGAAGAGTGTGGTTTGAATATTCTTCACATTAGACTCTTTAAAAATCATTCAAATTTGTGTATTAGTTGTTAGATGAGTTATATTCTGATGCACTCAAACTTTCGAAAACAAGCAACACACCACAGTGTTGGGCACGATTTCATTACTTCTGGATAAGATTTAGTTGTAATTGAATGCAAAGATCTCGTCGACGACCCCATCGTTAATTCTTTCCAAATCTCGTTAAACCTCGTCAAACCCTCGAGGTTTATTAAACCTCGTTGAACCACGTCAAAACTCAGAATTCACCGTAAGGTATAAAACTAAAACATTATTGTGCTTTTCCATTCAATCTGTTTGCCATGTAGCGCCCCTGCCATGGCCGGCGGTCTGTTCGCGATGGACCGGTCTTACTTCATCGAGCTGGGGACCTACGACCCTGGACTATTTATATGGGGTGGAGAAAACTTCGAGATATCGTTCAAAGTATGTTGAGTCCAGGGGAGGTGCATTTGTTGAGGGGGCCCTAAAACTCCTCATGTAATTTTTAATGATATTTCTGGGGGGTGAGGCTAAACCTTTGGGCTTTTTGCACACTTTTATAATAGAAAGAAAAATAAACAACATTTATTTATTAAACTTAACTTTCTCACGTTATTTTTCAAACAATTTGGCCCCTTTTTATGTGGGTTGCCCTGTTGACTTCTGGATTCACTTATGCTCATGTGACTCCTTTTCGATTAATAATTTCACACGATTCGCATATCGAATTGGCCCAAGTTGTGTTGTTTGGAAATCGGGGTAAGCTTTTATGCCATGCAAAAATTCTGGACTGACATTATCTAGATCTGGATGTGCGGCGGTCAGCTGAAGTTCGTCCCGTGCTCCAGGGTAGGCCATATTTACCGGCGTGGAGTCCCGTACAAGTACCCTGTTGTCGATGGGGAAGTCAGCATAGTGGACCGGGTGAGTGATCGGTTGCTGACATTTTACTCGTTCAAGGAATACCGCACACGACAAAAAAAGTGGTGGATACACCACTCCAAAAATGTCTTTATTTTTTTCTGTCTAGAATTTCATGCGCGTGGCTGAGGTTTGGTTGGACGAGTACAAAGAGCACTTCTACACTTTTAAGCCGAGGCTACGGGGGAAGTCCTGTGGGGACATCAGCGAGCAGGTGGCGTTTAGGCGGAAGCACTGCCCAAAGTCGTTCAAGTGGTTCATGGAGAATGTGGCCTTCGATTCCCTGGAGCTGTTCCCGACGCCACCTCCAAATCGCGCCTGGGGTGAGGTAGGCTTAATCAAAAAACTTAAACCACGCGACGAAAGGTTTGCTTTTGAAAAGAGAGGTACTACCGCTGAAGTTTCATCGTTCGTTATAGACCTTAATCACTGAGCAGCCAGTGTTACTCACCTACATTCAAAGCAATGTAACCAAACTCAGGCTTAGAGGAAAACTAGTATGTTCCCTTTTGTCAATAAGTGCAATTAAGTTGGATTGTCATTGCCAATGGTCTATACGGGGAAAAAGACAAATATGGCAGCATCCTGACAAAGGTCTATTGTGACTTGAAATTGGAGCAAGTCGTAGAAGTTCGCGAGTTATTGAGACGTTTGACTGCCTGAAAACAGAACCAAACTTGAAATAATGCTACATCTGATAATGTAGTAACCAACGGATAACACAATCACCAACCGCTATCACAGATTGCACGAAACTGTTTCACCAGCTGATAGGCCTAATGTATCACATGTCGAAAAATAATGTATTTACAAAGACAATCTTATCAATAGCGTATCATCTGTCAACAGATAACATACCAGTTGACAAAGTACTAAAAAATCGACTGGTAATGGGGCTTTGGCCATGGGGGACAGGTATGTAAAAAATAAAGATACTTTTGTCGGATAATATATAAATCAAGAGAATTTACGCTGATAAACATTTCATGCTCGAGCCAGTTAATGAACCCCACGTGACGATGGTTCGGGCCGGTCAGGATAATGAACCAGTAAGAGGTTTGATAAGAAAAGATGTTATTTTGTTCATAATGCAATTTGTTCTATTTCAAATTCCTTTTTATTTCATTCTTGAGGTTACTGTGCGCAGCAAAACAGTAATAACAAATGAATAAATAATTTACGAGAATAATGCAAGCAAAAAGCAGATTGCCCAGATATAGGGGCCTAATGTCATGTACAGTCGATTCTCGTTATACGGAATCGGCTATAACGAAATTCCGGTTATAGCAAACACACACGCCGCGGTCCCGGCCCAAATATGCACATTTCTATGGGGGTGGATTAGAAGAAAATCTGTACAAAATTGCAATGTACAAAATTCGTGTTACAACGAAACGTTGCCAAAGAAGGCATGATGGAAATGCGGCGACCAGTCTATCGTATATGTACGTATTCCAACCCCAAGGATCGTATACGTTGCACTACCTCGTAGGCCTATACGAATGCTCTACAGTTGCTAGTCAAATAATCACTGCCGTTACAAAATTTCTGCAAGTTCATTCACAGAAATTGATCTCATGTCTATGTTTGTATTTTCTGTGTTCATGAATTAAATTTGAAGTTGTATTGCTCATACTGGAAGCGAACGCGCTTCCACAAAATTTCCTGCTGAAGCACATGAGATTTACCGCCCGCCCCTCCAGATGCATCATGTACGCTTTCAAAGCGATGTACGGACATTGTTTGCCAGTCTAGTTTCCTGTCGTCATAACTAGCGTAGTGCACGATTGAAAAATTGGTGATTTTTTTTTACACTGCACAGTGGTTTAAAATCGTACCTGACCCGGACATCAGAGAATACAGTCGAAATACTTCGACATACATTTATTATAACAATTACAAAGGTATTTGGAAGTTATTTAGAGTCTGCCGGGTACTCAAGTTAGACGAAGGAATGTGTTTGCGAGATGCGATATGGAAAATGCTCGCCAAAATCTTCCGTCGTGAGTAAACGACAGCGCCCTCTGTTGACAAGGTTTTCTGAAGAAATGTCTCTCGCGCGCCACAATTTGCTTCGTGGATGTTTCACGCATTACAAACGGATGGTCACCTTATTTGATATTAAAAAAATGGCAAAATGTATTTCATCACAAAATAAGGAAAAATCGTGGCAAAACAAGAACAAAACAGACTTTTGTGTTCTCTGAGCTGTTCTTACAGAAGTGTAAGTTTATTGCTGTATCTTGTTCTCTGTTTCGCTGAGTGGTCTCTAAGTGAAATAATAGGGTCATTCCACGAAGTTGAGACACGCTTTGTGACGGTGTCCCTTGTTACATCCACAACCCTTACAACCTGTTCACCACAGAGTTAACTCATATTACTCTGTAAGGATAAAGCACACCCTGCAAGAACCTTGCAAAATTTATATCAATGTCAATTTCGAATCCACGTGCTGGAAAAAAGTTTAAGGTTGCGGATGTAACAAGGAACACCGTCACAAAGTGTGTCTCATCTTCGTGGAATGACCCAATAGCAAAAGTAACAAGGTACGTTGATTATTTTAATTTCTTTCAAACCGAGTAGGCCCACGTAAATAAATATCGCTGTGATGTTTCCTCCAGGTGATCTTTTCTCCAGGAAACAATATATAAAATGTTACCTGTCAGATTAGGTTATCCAGATGAGGAATGAATTAAAAAGTTCGTCTTCGATATGGACTCCGAAATCTGCCATTTTCTTGGGGCAGGAGCGAACATGATGATCCCCGTCACAGTATGTACAGTTGTTGGTGTAACGAAAGGAGCGCACTACTGGGTTGGATTTCAGCCATAAACGATGAAAAACGTCAGTCAAATAATTATCTTCTTGGGTCGTTTTCCCGAGACAATTGCTCTCTTAAAACGAAGCTGATTTCTGTCTAGCTGTAGCGACGACGTTGAACGCGCGATAGCGATCCCGTGCAATGTGTTGTACGAATGTCGGCACCATCTTGTTTTAACGCCGAAAAGAAAACAGCTGTTGTTGGCGCATGCACATTTAAAAATGGCCCTGATGATGTTCCGAGTTGGGACGTTTAAATTGAATTAGACACGGCAGAAATTCGACGTTTGAAGCCGTGCCGCTCTTCTGTCGTTAAAAGCGGCAAGACTTGTCGAACTTACGGCAAAAAGCCGGCAGTTGGTTCAAACGTCGATTTTTTTACCGTGTCTAATTCAAATTTTGGGTCATTATTTGAATTAGACACGGCAGAAGTTCGACCTTTGAAGCGGGCATTAGAGGAATGTGAACATTTGGTTCAGTTCCAAGTTTGCAGTTGCGCAGAATGGCAGGCCAAAGAGTCCTTTTTTTCTGTGGTATCAATTGCGTATGGTTGTTTACACCTCTCATGCTACCTCTTCTCCAGTTCCACTTGAAGGGAACCAGTCTATGCCTGGACACCATGGGCAGACAGACGACCACCCAACTACTGGGAGCCAGCAACTGCCATGGTTACGGCGGGAACCAGGAGTTCCGTCTGGGTACCAACGGCCAGATCCAGTTTGACGAGTACTGCGTCGTACCGTCTTGGGACCAGACCAAGGTCAGCATGGTGCGGTGCCGAGAGAGCCACCGAAAAGTTCCCGATCGAGACCACTGGAGCTTCAGCGAGGTATGTCTGAACTCAGGCCCAGTGCATGTAGTGTCCGATGTGACTTAGCTGCTGTAAGGAAATCAGTGGCGTAGCACGTGCCCCCCCCCCAAATTCCCAGTGCCCCCACAAATTCCAAGTGCCCCAGGTTCCCCCCACTGAAAAACGGATGAATGGATATTGAACAAGGCTAACAAAAGCTGCCCCCAAAAGCAAAACCACTGAAAGCTGGTGCCCCGGATGCTGGTGCCCCCATGTGCCCCCCACGAGAAAAATCCTAGCTACGCAACTGAAGGAAATATCATTGTGTCTGCACGGAGGCCACGTTGCCAGTAAAGTCCCGCGAAAGCAAACATAAACGCGAATTTGTGAGGGCAGATCGCATTGCGAATTCGCAAAAGTTGATCACATTTCAGCTGGAGTGAAATTTTGCTGCAAGTTTTTCTTGACGTCAAATACGGGCGATTCACAATAGTGCGCCTCCACGAGTTTGCAACGCGTCGGCAAATCACAACGCGCGAAATCTGTCGACCCTTTTCAAACGCGCACCGCGTCGACAGATTTTGCGCATCGTGGTTGACCAACTCGTTGCAAACTCTTGGAGGCGCACTCTTGGGAAACGCCCGTATAAATTCGCTTTGCCTTCATATTTCTGCTGATGTATGAACCGTCCTTTACTCAGATATAAGATATTTACATACCATTTGTCGTCAGGACAATCGGGTTATCCATCTAGCATCAGCAAAGTCTCCGGACAGCTTTTGGTTATACCAGTTTCTGTGTAAACATCCAGTATCAATTTCAGAAAAGTAACTAACATTAATTTAACAGTTGCTGACTACCGTAACGTGGGACATTTTCTTTTATATTGGAGAGATAGCCGAACAAAAGATAAAACGTTTTGGCATGCTTTGCAAGGACCGGTATCATGATCAGCTTTTGTCACTTCGCCCTCATGCGGTCGCTGACAGAAAGGCATTTTGTACAGCAATAACCTTCCCCGCCACTATGCCTCCCATCTCAAGGGAACTGTACTGTTTTTCGATATTGATCTTTATCCACAGGAGGCTGGTCAAATTCGCCTCAAAAGGAGCAACTTATGCATGGAAGTTGTAGATAAGAAAGAGGTCCGTTTACGAGACTGCAACTCTGACAGTGCCGAACAAAAATTTGAAGTCAGGCAGGTTCGATGACCGATCTCTGGGACGTAGGCCTGTAATAATTTGTGTTCGAATAGACCTAGTTTACACAACGAGGACCTCAGAGAAGAAGAGTAGAAGAGAACGCCGTCGGATGGAACAAGAGAAATAAACTCGGGGAAATCAGCGATGTGCCTCTTCTAAGGGAAAGCTTCAGGTTAAAAACCAGAAAAGACAGAATCAAAATTTAGGTAATTTTGCTCTCGCGTTTTAAGATTTGTTACTAGTAACAACAAAACTTTTTTGAAATTTTATTAAATTCCTACATACTTGTACTCGAAAAATAATGACGTCTTATTGTGTGAGCCCGTCCTGGACCACGAGAGGATGCAATTTTCCTAGCAACGCAGGCTCCCTTGGCGGGAACTGCACTTCGCTGGTTCACAAACAACTATGAATGCACATGTTACTATCGCATCGCTACCAACAAAATGGCTACTCTCCATTAATCTGGCTGTTTTCAACGGATGAGGGATGCTTCTGGTGAAGGCGGAAACCTTCCTGTATTACATTCAATTTAGGGAGAAGTTTGCAATTTGTAAGCGACAAAATTGTAGGCTAACCTACGTGTGACATCAGTATTCCACAAGAGTGCCTTAAAAATTCATACAAACTTATTGAAATGCACTCTGTTTACCAATTATGATGACGTTACACTGATATCACACTAGTCTTGGCCCAAGACGCCAGTGATCGATAGTTGTCGCCCTCGCACAATTAGTTTTACTTACTCTCACTCTGGCACACAGTCTAATTATGAGTCGTTAAGGGGCGCACTATGCACGGTGTCCGCTATCAAGCTCTAACGTCTTGAGACTAATATCACATGCGCCGCATTCTGGAATACACCATGGGAGTACATCGGTAGATGATTGTCAAGTCAAACACATGCGATTTGACTTTAACTAGACGGAGTATTACTTGAAGTCTAGAAAAAGGTTCAACGTTTTATATTTTTTACAAGCGCATTATTAGCCGTTTCCGGTCGTGCCCCTAGAATGCAGCACTGTGTGACGTCTCTAAGCCCTGGATTTAGTTAGGTACAGTTTTGAAAACTGAACAAAAATCTTGCTTATCTTAGTTGTCACAGTTTGTATTTATACAGAATTTCTACTTAACATTTTTAGTAAGAGAGAGTTATGATGATATCTAATCTTTGAATATTTTTTCTTTAGGTTTTGATCTTTATGTTGAACACTGTAATAAAGCAAGGGGGACATTGGCAAGAGATAAAATATTAGACACAAGGCAATTTTCTTTTCACTCAAAACGTCCGTGGCCCGACTGGTTGATGTACGTAATACAGATAGACTGCGGGGAATTAATGTTTAGATTTCTTGCCCTGCCCGACGTGTATTTGAACACTGTATGCTCAGTGTATGCCGTCGAAAGGCTTGTGAATAAAAGCCTTCGGGGGCCTACACTGAGTATAGAGTGTTCAAATACACGTCGGAAGGGGAAAATTAATTTACATCTCCCTGGCGCAAATCCATTTAGTATCGTACGTAATAAAAGTTACCCTGAAATTTTGTGTGTGTGTGACGCCGCTTAAACTTGAGGTGCACAGCGCACGACGAGGGTGGATTGATGTAAAGGTCCAGAAACCTCAGGCTCTTGGACCTGAAATTTTTTTTTGGGGGGGTGGTTACCTTGACGTATGAAATGTGTCCGCTTTTCCCCTTATTTCACATCGATGACTTCTGTGAATACATCGCTGATTGACTCGATTGATAAGTGTCGCTGATATTGATTCTGCTGGAATCGATCCGGCAGGGTTGGGGCAGGTTTACCAGGAGTCGACCTACAGATCAGCGTGGGGTTTCATGCAACGCTTCGTTGAACTCTTCCTCCTTTGTTTGCTTTGTGGGTTTCCTGTGTCTGTAGACTCTCGACACGAACTTAACTGATCGATTTCTTTTCAAACTGCTTCATTCAGTCCTGACAGATTGTGGGCCTTCCGCGATACGCCTGCCAATCCTTGCTCATTTTCATCCACGGCAACTGTGTCTAAATGCGTTACATATAGAGTTAGATTTACACGTTGTGTAACTATTCAAAATTATAGCAGTTCTGTAACCGTTTTTTTTTAATTTGCCGGTAAACGAACACGATTCCTCTCGCTCAGCGTATTGAGTTTAATATTTGACATTTTGTTTACAAAATCTTACATGATTTACAGATTTGTTGATGGTTTCACAACTTAGTCACACGTTTGTCAGTCTAAACACGCCTAAAAATATATGATCTGAATGATTATGGAAGCCGTGCCTTTTTTGTATCAGCACCACATTGCCTGTGGAATAAGCTGCCACATTATATTCGTAATTCAGTGTCACTTTCCACTTCTATGGCAGCCTTGAAAACACATTTTTATCGACAGGCTTTTACTTGATTGTTCTATAATCCTGTGTGTTAAGTGTGACTTATGTTTTACCATTCTTGATTCGTTGTACTCTCATGTGCCTTGAGGTAGTTTTTCCTCCTTATGGATCACTGATACATTTTATATTCTTAATTTGTTAATTATGTGGTATTTTATGGAATCCTATTTCCTGTTGTTTTAATCTGTAAAGCGCATTGTGATTTTGTGCCTTTGTATTTATTAATGTAATGCCTTATATAAGAAATAAATTATTATTATTATCAAAACACGTCGCTGAATAAATCTTATGCCCGAGTAATCTTGTGCACCCGTGTTGTTGGGCTGGAGTTGATATTTCTCGGTCTTTGAAAGTTTTGTTTTTATTTAAATTTCAAATACTTCTCTAAAGAAGTCTTATGCCTGCAGAAAAATAGGCAGGTGCGTTGGTAGGGTAAGTTTGGATGGGAGAAACAAGTAATTTTCCATAATTGGTTGTATTAGAACACTCTTGATTTCATTTCGAAAGTCTTCCCAAACAAGTACATTGCATGCCTCTTCGACCAGTAGGGTTTCGTAATTTGTTGAATGTGCAGTGCCGTAGTAGTTATGGAGTCAAATCAGATTTGTCTGTGAGCCTCGAGCTGGTCCAAGAGACGACTGCGATATCCACGCGTTACGGTCGCATCGCAAACAACGAAATGAACACTCCTGACCAATATGGATCTTTCCAGGGGGTAAGAGGATGCTTCTGCTCGAGGCGCCGCAGGGGGGAACCGAAATTAAATTTTCGGTAGGGGCCAAGCATTTCAGATGTACTGTACGTAACTTTTATTGTCTATCTGCAGAGTGATGCTAAGTTTCGGGGAGAGGAATTGAAACAGTAATTGTCCTCTCATTGTATTTTAAAAGATATTTAAAAGAATGCCCCCAACCCCTTATTCGCTCATGCTAAGCTAAAAATACAAGGGGAAACTTGCACAAAGTGGCAAAATTTCCCCTCAGACGACAAGTAGTACTTTGAAAGTTACACTGCCTGTTCAGAATGTCCGCAAATGTTATGTTTGCCAAAATTTGAAGTGATGCGACATGATCCACTCTGCGCTGGTGCTGTCAAATTAAAAATTCCAATCTTTGCAGGAATAGTAAATAATTTTCAGCGACACTCGGCTCGAGACTGATATCTCACGCTGACCAAATGCCACGGAGAGAGCCCATCATTGGCGTATCCATTGGGCAAGAGGAAAGGCAAAAAAGAGGTCAAGTTCTCCTGCGACACGTGACAAGGATTTAGAAACAGCACTACCCCCTCTGGGGTTAGTATTCTTTTACAGATGGAACAATCTGGACTATACCCAGCAAGAAATGAGACCGAGGGGTACCCCCCCACATGTCCAATCCTTATACATATTCCAGACTATTGTTACTTAACACATCCCCTCAAGACATCTGAAAGGAATTCCCCAGATTCCTGCGAGACAAGGACCAACACAAAGCAGGGGGGTTCTCTCCGTCTCATACCTTGCTGTATATGATCTGGACAGTCGTGTTTTTTTTTCCTCAGACAAAAGTTCCCTCTTTGCTCCCCACGATCCATGGCCAGCATTCGCCGCTGAAAAAGCTATAACCATGCAACAAGGGCTGCCGCCCGCCGGTATAGAGTGGTCTAGAAAAGCCCATCCGTTACGAATTAACCAGCTTTTACACGGCTGTCATTCAATGGGGCTGGATAACCCGCGTGGACATTAACTGATTACCAAGTACTAAAAATAGCAACGTAATGGTCGCCGCACTGAATTTCAATAAAAGGGTCGACCAACCGACAAACCAGGAAAATCCGACGGCAAATTAGATTGGTCGAGATTATTCACGAAAGACTTCGCTGAGCTCGTAAAATGGGACGGACAATCGGCTTACAGGCCCAGAGTCAAACAACTGGAGCAGGTGGTCTAAAAAAACGCCATATCCAAGGAGTTGAGGCTGAACTGCCCTGGGCGTCGCCAGGATTTTTCCGGTGGGGGGGGGGCAAATCATCCGTCAGCTGCAAATTGACAAACCATTGACGGTCGAAAAGGATAGAATTTGAGTTGTTTTAAAGCAACTTGGTGACCTTCATTCCCCGTCCTCCTTTCCCCTTCCTTATTCTTTTTTTTTTCTCATCGGTTTTAACGATCATCTTCATTTTTAAGGAAAGCGCCCTCTTTGTCCACCTTCCTCCCCATATGCAGCAAGGTATGAGACGGAGAGAAACCCCCCCCCTGCTTTGTGTTGGTCATTGTCTCGCAGGAATTTGGGGAATTTCTTTCAGACATCTTGGGGGGATGTGTTAAGTAACAATAGTCTGGAATACGTATAGGGATTGGACATGTTGGGAGGTACCCCTTGGTCTCATTTCTTGCTGGGTATACTCCTCCCCGCAACGCTCATGCAGACTGCGTCTCACGCCACAGCTCGCTGACCTGATAAAACCACTTCTTGCAAGGCAGTCAACTTTTAAGAACTGACTTTTGTTTTTAAGTGTAAGGGGCAGGTTCAGACAGTTTATTTGAAACCGGAGGAGGGATATTGTCATTAGTCACCATCATACCGATGAAAATGGGGGAAGGGGCAGTTCCATTCTGTGAAAACATTGTGTAGTGCTACATTTTGACCTCGTTTTTAGGTTGAGGGATTTTGAGTAGCCGAAACTATTCGTATAAAAATTTCGCATGGAGCCGCTATCAATAAACAATACGCAGAAGTACAATACGCAAAACAGGCAGAAGTCATCTGCTAAAAATACTCTGAAATCTGACAAGAAATACAAATATATTGATGCCGCTCATATAATCATTTAGTCATTTCTAAATAAAAATAAAAAGTGCAAAGATGACTGCATTCTCTTTCCTAAAGCGAGTGTTTCTTGGTTCAATGCCGATTTTTGCACACTTTCATACATAAACATTACTACAATAATGCTGGTAGAAAAAGTAGCAAAATTAAATTATACTAAATGTTCGATCAAAATTAACATAATTAAATGCGTAGTGCGTGCGTTGATTTGAATCGGAGATATAACAGATTTACTTGATATAATTGCATAGCCCGAAAATTCGAACACCACAATTTTCAGTGCCCTTACTCTGTCATTTGAAGGTCTGCTTTTGTATTTTTTCTTTGACATTTTTACTTTTCGCTTAACTGCAAAAACGGAATTATAACATCAATTCATGTGGTTGTATGGTGTCATCCACATTGTAATCTCCATTTATCGTCTGTTACATAATAAAAAACTTTCTTCAATGAAAATGTCCCGTTGCATATACATAAATATAATGAAGACAGTATCAGTCTTGTTTAGAACTCAATCAAAATAGTGCACTGGATCTTCAGGACGACTTTAAACGTAGTTTTAATAGAGTGCTTCGAACCAATATGAATTCGGCATTTTCAATGTACAAGCAACCGTCATTGGTTCTTTGTACAGTTAAACGGGACGCTTTTGCTATTGAATGCAATTTTTCTCTGGGACACATGTAACCTTTTTTGAAATGATGAGGTCAGGACCATTTTTAGAATTGACAATTAGAGTGAAAACTGTATTTGAGTTATTTAGTACGGAAAATAAGCGCAGTTTGACGAAAGCGTTTACAGCAAAATACGCGTGTTATAAAGAATAAAAAGATTACACCCCAGTATAGCGTCCTACTCCGACAAGCAAATTTGGGAAAGCAACGTAAAAGACATTTATTTGCCCCATCAAGAGAGCAACATCATCTGTTTCAGCAACCGATTTCTCTCCTCCTCTATCTGCATGAGTTCTTTGGTCTTCCGTTGCTTGGTCACCTCGTGCAGATTCCTCTTGAGACGACCGGCCGCCGACTGCGCCAGCGCCCGGGCTTCTAGCCTCTGGGCCCCCTTGGCGCTGACGCACCGAACCGCCATGAGTTCGCGTCTCCGCCGAGCCACCCTCTCCTGGATCTCGTTCTCGATGTCTTCTCTGATCTCGCTGTCTGTCCTGAGGAACAGTGAGTACTTGCGCTCAGACACCGGCACGGCAGGCGTGGATGCACGGCGTGGGGAGGAGCCCTGCCGGAGGGAAGACGTGCCCATCTCCCTCGCCGTCTCCGGTCCCTCCAGCTTGGGCTCACCCTCCCTTACATGTACGCCCCCTTGGGCTTGGTTGGCTGCGGGTTTGGTCGAAACCTCGGCGGGCTTGGGAGAGTCCTCAGATTTTACCGGTCCAGCACCTGCAGTTGTCGGTATACGATCGCTGAAAAACTGGAAAGAGAACGGTGAGAGCAGCGTGTTGTGAACCTCTATGTTGGCGAGAGTCAGCGGCACACTCTTGCTAAGCCCGTTCTTTTGAGACTCGCTGTTTCCCAGTGTCTTACACTGCAGCATTTCCCGAGCGTGCGCGATGTGTGCCAAGCTCACGGAGCCGCGTCTGTTTTTCATGTACCGTTGGGGAGGCCCTTGGGGAGGTGACTTGTGGTTTGCGGTGTCCTTGTCCTTTCCAGAATCTCCGTCTGGGTTTCTCTCCTGGGGAACGTTTTTTTTGCTGGAGCAGATCAGTCCGAGGGGAGTCTCCCCATCGGCAGGCGGTCTCCGGGGGGACTGCAGCTCGGGTGAGGTGCCATCTCTGACGCGTGCGATCTGGCCGACACACACGGAGCCGCGTCTGCCGCCGTGGAACGGCGGGGGAGGGTGGAGCTGGCCAGGCGGATTTGGGATGGCGACATCTTCGCAGCTGCGACTCTTGAATTCCGGCCTTCCACTCCTTATCTTGTTGTCGTCGTTGGGACCAGGGGCCACGGGGCTTATTTGACTGGAATCCACGGCTGGCGTCCTTGTATTGCGGGCGAGGATATTTGTACCTACGGATCCTCGCCTCTGTAAAAGTCTACCAGTGCTGCTCCCAGTCAGAGATATCTGCAGAGGGTGAAAAATCCAGGAATTGATCTTGCAGTTGCGTTTGGCACCGGCTTGAGATCTTTTCATGCGGGCTTAGAGAGGACGAATTTTACCTTAGACCCAAAGGCGAATCCCTGGCTTAATACCTTTGGAGAGTTTTATAGAATTTTACAGATAAGACAGGTGCAGCGCTACCCCTCTCTGCGTAAGTTTTTATTGGTGTACATGTACAGTGTACACAGGCTGTATTCAATGAAGTTCAGATAAGTAGATGCTTAGCGTTTAGAGAATATCCAACTGATATAAATCTTAATCTCTGTATTTTAATGAACGTGTAATACGATGTTATAATTAAACCAAAAACCTCGCTTTCGTAATAACCATATTTTAAGGTTAGGTGCAACTCAGTAAAACCTAAGGACGGTAAAAAGGGGGGGGTGATTTGTTTTGAATGATGACACTTAACTGCAAAATTGTGTAAACTTCGGTTAATTTTTTTTGGTTCCATTTCAGGGACGTGGTCTGTTCAGAAAATACCGCCTTGTTTCATCGTGCCGCCAATGAGATAATTATGTAATCTGGGTTTTAAAAAGCATGGTTTAAACAGATTTCTGTCGTCACGTGAAATGTTTTACTTTAACTATACTGTCAAAAATAACATAGGAGACGTGCGCACCAGTACACAGTTGGTGTTGAGTTCAAATCCCACCGATGCAAGCTTATAGGTTTTCCATAACCTTTCAGAAAGCATGTACATGTAGTATACAATCATTTTTTGTGAAGCATAAAACAATTTATATTGAAAATATGAATGCTTTTCTTTCTGACCGATGAATTATTGTTGTCTTTACAAACCCTCGGGCGTAACAAATTTCTGTCTTGTTAACATGACAAGCTTCTGCTCTGAGTGGAGGACCTTTGGGCGGGTTTCGCCAGTGTGGAAGTCGAGTCAATCATAGATTGTTGCAGGTCCATCATAGACACAAGCCACCCTGCTGCTAATCGAATCGCAAGCTTTTCACAGCATGCACTCCTCCGTTACTGCTCGCCCTGTTATTTGCAACTGGCTTTTTGATGAAAAGACTTGCGGTATTACTTGTGACTGAAGTTGTGATGGATTCGATGACAACTCTGTTTTGCGCCATAGACGCCCTGCGCTAGCAAAAAACTCAACTGAATTATAGCAAGGTAAAAAAAATGCCGGCAGATATTCATTACAGAGCTAGATAAACAAATGAACCGAAGACAAACCTGCTGTTTCCGAAGGAAGTCTGACAAGGTCGACATTGAGTCGGAGGCCCGACGGTTGCACAGTCTCGTCACCCTCTTCCCGATTCCGACGACTTCGCTCTCTGCGTCCAAAGAGGAGATGACCTCAGACCTCTTGTCGAACAGCATGGACAGCTTCTCCCTGTTGTTCTGGAGCTTGGTGATGGCGGCAGTGACGTGGGGGCGTCGGTTTGGGGAGGATTCCTGGGAGGCCTTCGGGGAACCGTGAGGGGGAGACACGGCCGGGGATAAACGGGGAGGGGCGGGGGTCATGACATTCAAAGGCATAGAGTATCGACGGCCGAATCGGGCTCGAGCGGGTCTGTGGAGGACAGGGGATTTGGGAGGAGTGGGGGTTGCGACTCTGGGCTGGTCGGTGGGTTTCGTTTCACTGTCATCGCTACTGTCACTCTCACTATCACTGTCAATGTCATCATTACTGTCGTTTTCATCCTGTCTGCTCAAACTGAATTTGGTGTTAGTGGTATTGGCGCCAGCGGATGTCGTCGTAATAGAAGATGCGGTTGACGGTGAGCTATCCCCAATTCCAACCTTCGATTGTGCCTCGTCGGTTTTCTCATCTTTGTCGTCCTTGGCTTCGTGCTTCTCCTGCCCGTCCTCACCAGCAAGTCTCCTCTCTTCCCTCGTGCGAAAGGCCCGCCACTTCTTGACGGCACGGGTGGTCCGATCGTTCGTGTACAGCTTGGAATTCATGACTTTAGAGGCCACGTCTGCCATGGTGTGTTTCTCTCTCTCCTTCCCCGCCTTGCTCTTGTTAGTCATAGCGACCCTCTTGTTATCCTCTTTACCCTCGGTCGAGGATGTTTCGACCGCGGGAGCCTCCTCGGTAGGGTCTTCGGCTTGGGACTCGGTGGTCTTTTTGAGGATCACCTGCCCGTTACAGGACACCCCGGTCATCTGCTCAATGATGGACTGCGCCTCGGAGCTTGCGAACAAAGATTCTCTCCTCTGCAGGAGATTCGGATCCAACTTGATGATTTTGCTGACGCAGGTGCACTGCGAATCTTTAGTTGCTTCGTCACTCATCCTTTGGCTATTTAGGGCAATGCGTTTGTAGAGCTGATATCTGATCTGATTTGTGCACTTGTCGAGGGGGAAGTGAATTACAGACACAGAGAAAAAACTTTTACAACATAGGTCTTGGCCTATTTGACTAAGGCAACGTTGTGAAGAAAAGACGTCCCACGGTAGCCACACTTTTCCCCCCGCCTGTCTCCTCAATAATCGTGCGTAGATACGAAGTATAAAACCACGTATACCCAGCACGCCGCTCGATTACAACTGAACTGACCAATAAAATGCAAATTGCTTACCCCGAAACCAGTTAATTCGTCCAACAGCAAGGGGCACCTCTAACAAGAGCCAATTACTGAAGAAAGATTAGGTCACTAGACCGGTACTAATCGTGAAGGAACAGAAAGGATCAGAACTGCGCGGCAGACTTAAACTTGCGTAAGTCTCCACATCCGTCATCATTCATGACTGTGTACCCTCCAGTCACCTCAGGTCGCATTATGCAAAAAAAAAGAAAAAGAAAAAAAGAAACCAAGAAAAGACATCGGCCAAGACTCACAATTCGAACCCTATCGATGAATGGTGAATGCAAACAATAAACTACGTGAAATGGTGGATTCAATTCAGTGGTGATCTTTGAGGGAAGAGTTTTCATTGATCGGGTCTGAGCCATTGGCAGTCATAAACAAGCACTGATGAGCTTTTACAGTGGCTCACGTAAACGCTGCACAGTTGCTGTATCCAGGTACATTTTGTTTCCAGGGAAAAACTAAAAGTACCAGTTTTGACCCACTCAACAGATCTCCCAGAGCATTTCAGTCATCCTTTTCTCTCATCAGAGAAATTAATCTCTTTTACTCGTAGCCCATGGTACAGAATATGAACTTTCTCTGTGCCTTTTTCGTATGACCCACAACTCGACCAAAACGCCTTTGCATAAGGTATTGCGTCAGAGACTGGCTAAAATAAAGCAAGGTTTTGCTCCGAGATCATTGCTGGAGTACTATTACCATGCCGAGATGACCTTAAAAAAAAGTGAAAACGCACCTTTACAAAAACTCTGATCAGGCTGAATGTTGTTACTTGGCTATCCACCTGCTCAAGGTAATAATGTTATATTTGAATATGATAGTGTATAAGAAATCGTTCACAATCGGAGTAGCTCGCTTTTAAGCTTCTTGCTACGAAACTTTGAACTTTCCAACAAATCTTAATTCCATTTCCTTAGGATCAAGCTGGCATTCATCTGAAATTAAACTATTCAATCACAATGACGAAATAAACAGGCAAAAGTTGAAGAGCGGCGAAAAATAGGAATTACTCTTCCACTTTGAAATACGCGCCTTATTATGCTGATGTAGAACTCAGAGGCCTAGAAAATAATTTCTTCAGGAAGTTTAATAATCAAAATACACCAAACTTTCGCCGAGTGAGACCACAGATTACAAGCTTCAACCAAACGCCAGCCAACGCCTCCAGAAAGCCTAAATTTCCTCTAACTCTAAAATTGTGCATCAATGACACGATTTCAAGGATGTGCAAAATAAGATATGCTTTTAGATGTCAACTACGAAATGCCTGTTCTTTTCAGTGGAAAACCTTGATGATTCTTCTTCTGAAAAGGCTCCTATTTTTGCGCTAAGTACGGGGCTTAACTGCACAAAGATGGGGCTTATACAAGCTGCATGCTGTTTGTAAGACTTCCTGCCGTGAACCTGTCTCTTGATTCCAGAGATGTCAGCATAGGACAACGCGTTCATATCGATCATGCAAGCCTGTTTTTGCACTGTACCCATTTTACACTTGTACCTCCTGTCAATACTCCTCAATATCCAAGCCCAAATTTATTCTTTTGGCTTTTGTCACTCGAGGGAGGAAACCAATGGGGAATCTTCGTTATTTTGTCAGCGTGAAGTGACTCCTTGACCATATCACCTGCAGTGAAATGGTTCGCGAATATTCAGGATGTCCGTGCAAAACACGAAGTTGAAGCCTAAGTTGTGTTCGCAGTTTCATTCATTCATTTTTTTTTTTTTTGCAGTTTAATGGGCGTGACAAAATATGTTCCTTTCGCGCATGTGTATTCGATATCACAAGGGCAACCCAAAGTTCCAACTTATTGACGCCGAGTGCAAACATTTTTTCCCTCTGAAAAAGTGTTTATTAATGAACGATTAATTGATCGTTTTAGCTCTATGGCATTATGAAATTCGGTTCACTAGTTCTCTTACCTAGGAAATGCTGTCGTAACAACGGCACGCTACCTCAAAATGAAATGGAAAATGTACGATTGTTTTTAATATAGGTACGCACGGGAAAGTACGCCTTTGGCACAAACATTTTCAAGCCTGTGTTTTTTTCTCCCGCCAAGCCGACTATTCTAAAAAAAACTTGAAATAGTCAATAGTCTTGGGATAAGTCTTGTAAAGACTCAAGGGAGGTAAAGAAACGTGAAAGACATCATTAGGACCTCAAATCCATCCTTGCCTTTTCGTTTTCTGCGTAAGGGTAAAAAAATATCAGCAAATATGGTGATGAAGTCAGAACCATAAAGAAGCCAGTTTAATGTTATCACCAAAACCAACGCGCGCTTAAGTTTCGATAACACCCTGTTACGCATTCAGACATCTCCGTAAACACATTTGTGCTGGATGCAGAAGAGAAACCTCCACCGTGTTTCGACCGTTGCTTGGAGGCTTTGCCTATGGGAAAACGAAACAAAACTGAAAACGGAAAACCAAACAAAACAAAACCTAACCGTGCACAAACTAATACCTCTAGTGATTTTTTTCTATTGTTTTTTGTTTGCTGGGGTGTTTGTTTGTTTGTTTTTATTTTGCATTCAATCAGAGACCCCAAATACCATACCTACCCCCATGAAAGGACCGTACGGTCCAAGATGGGTCCCCGATTGGTCCCCGATTGGGCGTAAAATATATGGGACGTCTTCCTGAAAAGTCATGAACAAAAGAGGAACTATGGGTGTCCCCAACTGCGCGGAAGTACTCGCTCGCATGTTAACGGTTTGTTTCGCCAATTCTATTCGGTCTGATCTTGGGTCGACTCACGCTGATTTCAACAGGGCCTGGTGGACGAGACGAGCATGAAAAGGCACAAATAGCTCGCTTCGTCCCAACAGCTTTGGAGTATTGTGCATCGTTGGGGCAGTGGGCGCCACATTAATCCTTTTTTTCAACAACATAATCATTGTCTGATGTTGTACGTGGTGGCGAGCACGTGCCCCTCCACGTGTTATTTCTCGTCCGCTTTGGCCATTTGGCTTTCGTAACTGCTGATCGTTGCCAATTAAACTTCAATGAAGAAAGTCATTGATTGCTCTAACATTTAGTCAGGAATTTCGGTTTCAATGAAGCAGGTTGTATAAGAAGTTTACGTGGTGGCACCTCTTTGCGGAGATTAGTCCCTGCAAAGATTCGTTTATGATATCGCAAAAACCCTCTTACGTAAGCATTCGTCATTAATGTATTCCTTTTGGCTCCTTTATACTTAAGCCTATATGTATGACCAGTGGTGCATCGAGGTCGGGGGGGGGGTGAAATGGAAATTTTTCTAAGATCAAGACTCGGTTTTTAAATCTATATTAAAGAATCTTCTTAACCCCTTTTAAATGCTGATACTTTCCATTCGTAAGAGGGGGGAGCGTCAACATTTTAGGGGAGAGTTCAACAACTGCATTTTGAACGTTCTCTTCCTCACTGTAGTTCTTCCCTCTTAACAGGCAGTCACTCTTTTGCTAAGGTCAGTGGGGGGGACTAGAAATCACTGACAAAGCAACCGCAATCAGCGACGTTTAATTGAATTTCTGTCCACGGTGCCATTTCAATTGGAATTCTTTCCCAACCTCCATTTTGTTCCTCACACATGAAACCACCGCATCTCTTCTATCGATCCCAAAATGTTTTATCATTCATTTCAAAATCAGGGTTTATCGACAACATTAGAAGGTTTGGTGGCAAACTTGTTCTCTTGGCAAAAAAGCTATGCTCCAAAGCCCAGTGAGGCTGTGCAGATTTCATGGACTTTCAACATGTTTTTCTGACGTTATTTGCTGGAAATGCTTCTTTCGAGTAGGAACAAAGTAAGTGCATCAGGGAGCCCTCTTGGGCCGTTGCCCACCCCCCCCCCAAATTTTAAAAAGTTAAAGGGTAGTTTTGTTTCAATCAAAACCTTCAAAACGCACCTTTGTGTCTCAATTAACCCTATTTTCAACTTTGGTTTCACTATTTCAAGGGGTATTTCAATTTCTCATTGGTTGTTATGCTTATGATATTTCCATATTCATGAAAAAACTGTGATGTCATCTCTGGAAGAAAGCTCAAGAAAAATTCATTGTTGCCGTCATTTTGGTATACCATTTGAACTGTTGTCATGTTGAAATGATCCATAATGCAAGATTGTTTCCACAACGCTGTTACAACTGGTCAGTGCTAGAGGGCAGATCAAGACTCAAACTTTCGAAGGGTCTTTTTTTTGGGGGGGGGGGGGACACAATTTGGATATTTCTTTACGCAACCTTTATGAACTGCCTGAGAGTGTATTGCTAAATTTGGCGGGCTTTTTACACGCATTCGGAAGGAAACAAAATCATAACCCAAATCACCTTTCTGTCATTATAATTTAAGAACATAATGTCCCTTGTCGGATGAGTGACAAAAATAAGAATTTTTAATAATAAGAAAGTTGTAAAAAGGCATGAAATCCCCTTCTTACCTGAAACAAGTGAAGCTCATCGCAAAAGTCACCTTCCTTTGCTCTGCTGATCCAGAGCAATGTAAGCAAATTCAATATTCTGACAATTTTGTTGCATTTTTTCCTATCTGAATATCAAATTGTGGATCGAAACAATTCCCTAATATTTGCTGCATTTTCTTTTCGATCGACATCAACAAAGACTGCACTCAAACAGAAATTTTCATAATTCACAAAATGTTGTTTTTAACTCCACGGAAACATCCAAATATTGCTGGACTTTCGAGCCCCACAGAGAACAAGTGGCATGCAAACTGTAAATGCCACTATGGCATATGACGTATTATGAACAGCGTCCCTGTTTAAAGTGGTGTCCACACACGGACGTATATTAAAAAACCTGGACTTACAACGCCTTTGTATGAAATAGAAGCCAACCAGCGGCCATTTTGCCGGGCAAGCTTTGTACTCGGCTCGGTAAAATGGCCGCCAGTGGATTCAATGATCTCTGTAAGCTGATCAAGGGCAGTGCAAGTCCAGATTTTTTTTATATACGTCCGTGTGTCCTCACCACTGCTTCTTTTAGCCTCCATGACCGGACAGTGTTGGAATTTTCGTTGGCCCTCATCATTCCACCCATCACCCTCATACGCAAGTAAAGGATTCACTTCACTAATAACTCCCTCGATTGCTTTATACGTGTTTTTGAAATGACGTAGAGGGATCATTTCCAAAATGGCGACATACATGCGGACTGCACATAGGGTTAGTTAACTTTATTGGAATTATTTGCCAAAAATTCTGCCCTAGGCAAGTTATTCAGATTATCACAGCCAATAATTAGAATTGGAAAGGTTGTGAAACAAGCTTAATGTTACCGTAATATGTGTGTTGAAATAGTGAAGAGTCACTTTCTCTTGATTTTTAATTGGAGGTATTTATTAATATCACCTCGGACGCTTTATTTTTCTAGTTTAACAAAGCAGCAAAAAGCATCAGGTAGTCCCTTGTCTTTGCTGAAGAAAACAATGTACGATCCCCAATCTAATACAGCTTCTTGAAATCAAGACTTTGTACAAAGACCTTAAGTGTCCTCGTGAGGACAAGATACCCACGTTAACTTGACACCAAATAACCCCACCTAATACCAAGATCCTCGATTGCTTGAGTTTTTTCCTGGCACAGTGAATCGTTCTTGGAAAGAAGCTACTGCTTGTTTATTAATGATTAAAGACAATGCACGAGATTAGCTATTATCCCTTCATCAGTCCTACTTGTTTCGCCAAGGCTACCAAGTTATAGCTGCTTTAGTATAGAACCAAGTCTAGACTTGTTTCAGTCGCTTTGAAGATACGTCTCAACATTGTCATCCACTCACCAGCTCATTGTACCCTTGTGCGTACGGTACACGAAACACGTATCTCCTGTGAGACAGCGCCTTGAAATGGTCATAGGAAAGATAATACATTGGACTGATGAAACCTAATTTTCCATGTCTTCTCCCATTCGGTCAAATCGGTCTCCTATAATGATAAAATTATGCATTCGCCTGTTTATAGTGACTCAGTTTTGATTTCATTGTCTGCGCGTTCCACCTCACTATCTTTGGGAACAGCCACTTGTAATACTTCGCGGTGCGCAGTGCTGTCAGTAAGAAACGAGAACATGTCTCTCTACGGCACTTTCTTACGAGTGGCTGGAGCATAGAGACTCCTTTAAATGCCGGATTCTTTGTAATTCAGCTAAGCTTACGGTCATTGGTTGCTTAGGAAAGATAAACACTGTCGTACCCGAACTGTCTATATATCGGGATCGATTTGTTATTAACCAAAACTGCGATAAACTATGACTGGATCTCCGTCCTGCGTCCGCCCCGAGAGAATTCTTGCCAGTCTAAACTGTAACCGGAAAATGAGCAGTCGTCCGTCGATTTAATCCTCCCATGGAAGCGTGATATTACCAATAATGGGTCATTGGTGTTCGACGAGGCATAACCGATCTGTGGATGGGGGTGAGAAACTAGGAATCGATTCTTGCCAGGGAATCAATTTTATTTATCGAAATGAAATGGTCGATAATGTCCTTGGTTAGCAATGTGTCCCTTTAGAAGGACTTGGGCATTGGCCATGAACAGCCGAAAATCCTTTATTGCCATTAAAAACCTCTAAACCTGCCGCGCATTGTTAATGGAATGAGAGCGAATCCAAACTGCATACTTGCAAACTGCATCAGCGAAACAAAGACGAGTGTAAGAGCATTTTGTGCTCTGATAGGCCTAAATCGAAATGCTTATTATGAAACTTTGAAAGGTAGAAACGAGCATCTGAAGGAATCACGTTTCAGCTATTACCCCTTTGCAGATTCCTAGTTAACTATCCTGTGAGGGAGTTTTTTACAACAATCGCTGATGCAAAATAACTAGAGAAATGTTTTGCAGGTCAATAATATTTCGCTTATAGGGTCATGTTTCCCAACAATCAGACTACAGTTGACAATACTATTACTGTGGTGTCCTCCAACAGGCTAGCCTTTTTGGAAATTGCCTCAAAATGGCTTAGCTTGATTTAGTAATGTTAAAAAAAATACGGCTCTGAGGGTGCCACGCAGTGACGGAAAACGTGTCTTTGTTCCAGGAAATTCTGTACTACAAAGAGCGCACCCTTTAAAACTGAACACATTGTCTGTGGTCCAGGTGTGGGGAGAAATGGCTCAGGGGGTACGGTGTGGAAGCTCATTCTTTGGGGCAGTGAGAAGACGAGTCCTTCTTCCACTCCACCCTTTTTTCCAAGCCGACGAGGCGGGCACTCAGGGTCCACAACTTGCGGGCCTCCTCCTCGTTCAGCGCTACGGCGGATGGCATCCTTGGTGCACAGTCACTAGTGCAATAATACAAAGAAAAGGAAAAATGACAGTTGATCTGGGTAACAAATGTGAAAGAAGTCCGAATTTATTCTTTACTTAGTGCTCAGTGGTTTCCTCGAGATAAGATAGGAAATAAAGGTGCATTTTGTAATAAAAACTTTAGAATTCGATTCAAGTTCACCCACGTCAGCCATACTTAAATAAATTCATTACTTTAAAAGTTAAACATCAATATTCATTCCATTAGACTGAAACGTATAGTTGAAATAATGCAGAGAGAGTACGATGGTAATTTTTCAATTATCATAGTTATAACAATACTTTGACTTTTCTTGTAGGCGTCATAAAAAAATGAAGATTTCTGTTTGAAAGTTCCTGAAATGGAGATGTGTACTCAAGTTCAAAGCACACTCATTTCATCGAAATCGAATGATCTTGCAACTGTGCTCGCGGTGAAAAGGGACGAGACAACGTGACAGCCACTTACGCAAAGTACATCCCGGAGATTTCGGTCAGTTCCTCGGCCACGGCGCTGTAGATGGAAGTCTGGGCGCCCTCAATGGCGCTCTTGAAGAAGAAGCCCGGCGCGAGGTTGATGAGCGACATGGCCAGCCCCACCACTCCGTCCGGTTTCTCGGCCTGTATGTGGCGGAAGAGTTGCGTCTGGACAACGCCAGGGTGAAGACAGTTGGCTGTCACTCCCGTACCTGGACAATAGCCAAGGAGACAAAAGAAGGCTATGTGTGTTGGAAGGCTGAGTGGTCTCTTTCCCTTCTTTAAGGCACTCATGCCCTGGACATTTCTTATTCAGTCAAACCTCATAAATAAGAGGTCTTCCGGACTTTGCAGATTACCTTGTTATAACAGGAACCTGGTGTTATCAGGACTGAAAACTACAAAGAACAAAGTCGTAATACTTGAAAGCAGAATGTTGCAGTGAAAAGCTCTTATAAACGAGGTTTAATTGTATAAACTTCAGATTTCAAGCCAAAACGTTTGTCGATAGATCTGAACTATACGGCACCGATCAACAACGTATCCAGCTTTGATGTCAGAGGAGACCAATTCAAAAGCGAATGCAGCTTCCGGCTCCTTTAACATAAAGTTGGGGGAAAAGATCAAATGGTGTTGTTTTCTCAGGGTTTTGGTGCTAATATTTGATAATCTTTCCTACTCACCTATGAAGTATCATTTGTTAAAAAAAAATCATCGCCGAGGGGGGGGGAGTTGCCCCCGTCCCCCTTTGGATACGCCATTGGCACTGATGCCCCCAGCAAATGCAGATAGAATTCGTGAAATTATCGTATAATAACTTGCTTCTTGTTTTATTTGCATAAAGATAGACTTCACGGGAGGTACAACCTTCGAGTCGTTTGCTCAGTTCCCGGGTGAACAGCATGTTGGCCAACTTGCTCTGGCCGTAGGCGTCGAAGCGGTCGTAAGTGTTGGTCATGTTCACGTCGTCCCAGTGGATTTTGCCGCTGCCGTGGGCTATGGAGGACACGTTAACCACGCGGGCGGGGCTGGACGACTTGAGGAGGTCCAACAGGAGGTTGGTCAGGAGAAAATGGCCTAAGTGGTTGACGCCGAAATGCATCTCGAACCCATCTTCCGTTAACTGCCGAGGACACATCATCACACCTGTAACCATTCATTACATGCGGACCAAGGTGAACAAGAATGAAAGTCAGGTATGAAATTATGCTTTAGAATGTGAAGTCTACTTTCTGAAGGCATTAAAACAAGATGGAATATAGGTGTTTTCTGTTTCCTCTCATCTCTTTTCTAGATGACCTTTACTCCTGTTTTGCCCCTTTGCAGGACACATGCATCTAAAGGGTCCTACGAAGGCGACGGGTCCAGTCGCCTTCGTTTAAGACCCTTCTTCATCCTCTTCCTTGGACCTTTCCTTTTGATCCACCCTTTCAGTACCTTTCCAGGACCTATGTAACTCCTACTTCAAGGACCTATCCTCTAAGATTCCGGCCCCTTCGTATGACTCAGTCTACCTCCTTCGCAGGACCTATCTCCTACACTATCCCCTTTGGAACCTGTCAGGACCTGCCCCTTGATTCCCCCTCGCAGAATCCTTCCCCCATAGCCCCTAAGCCTTCGTAAAGCCTATTTTGGCCATGATCTTTTTTGCAGGATACGTCTTCAGGACTGGTAAATCTTTGCCGGATTTTTTCCAGGACCAGTAAACTTGGTTCGCTCTTTCAAAACCAGGGCGATATAGGACAAAGGGATGTACGGCGCCCGGTCACTTTCCAGTAATACCCTTTGTGTGCTTAGAAACCAAGTAAAAATAATTACAAGTATAGCTTGCTGTTTGTCACCGTCAAGGCCAAGAACAAGGCATTGAATCAACCTCGACGATGACTTTTAACGAAGAAGTTGCCAAAATAATCCGAGAACTCCACCGAGCAGCCACCGATATCATCTCTACCAGAGGTCCGGCTTACACAATGGCTGATTAATTTGCTACAAAATACCAGCTCGACCATTAATTTTTATCCGCCCTTAAATATTTTTTGGCTCGAGTTCTGACGGGACGGTATTGCGGCAGTGCGGAATAAATGGAGGATCTGGCTATTTGCACTAAACGTGTTGTTATTCAAAGGGTGTGCTAATGGGGTCACAAAAGCAAGCGATGAGAAAAAAAGGAAAAACTATCATAAAAAAAAATTACGTACAGCCCTGGGGTCTAAACTCACACAGCCAAAGAACGATGAGGATGTTTCCACTAGAAATGGTATGTCTGCGGTCTTGACTTGTCAAAAGAACAACACCCAAGCCGTAGTCGTTTTGCTAAAGTTATGACTGCGGTTTATATTATCACATGTGTTCCTATGGAGCCACTGGCTATAACAGCCAGTGTGTAGCCAGTTGATTCGAATACAGCCTATGTCAAGGGACAGTCAAAATGAGCCCTGACTGCAGAATGGACACTGACCTGCGCTGTTGATCAGGACATGCAGTCTGGGCTCCTCCTCCTTGATCTTGTCTGCGAACGCCCTCACGGAGGCCAGAGAGGCCAGGTCGAGCTGCCGCACCACCAGCTGACCTCTTGAAGTTGTTCCTCGGATGTCTTCTCTGGCTGATGTAGCCTTCGACACGTCGCGACAAGCCATAATGACACGTGCTCCTGTTCCAAAAAAAATGATAAAGATATAACATTTAAAAAATGAAAATACAAATAAAGTTGTCTCACTAATGTTAACGCTGCATGCTGTTAATTAACAGCACCTCAGAAGTCAGTATTTAGGCCTATACGCCCGCCGTGGAAATGCACTAGAAATAAATAAACGATGAACATTTTTAAAAACAGAAACCAAGACATTTTCCCCTCGGTGTAAATATAACGTGCAAATATCAATATTTCCTAACGACAGTCCGTTTCAAGCGCCACGCCCATTCCTTCATTTTCCCGTGTAAAAAAAACCAAAATCACGTTGACTTTCTACTGGAGAGCTGCCCTTATGATCCTTAAACCTAGATGACATATTCTCAGAAACTCCAACGCGCTACCTTGTTTCTCTGGCTTACTGGCTAATTACCTCTTCGAGCGAGATCACGGGCCGTTTCCTTGCCTATGCCGGCATTTGCCCCCGTGATGATGACCGTCTTACCGTCTAGACGGGCTCGACTGTAGCACCATCCGCCTGCGATGTACCTCCGCAGGCTCCACATGGACAGTATGAAACCTTTGGTGTAATCATATTAATTAAAAACACGTAATGATTAGCGCTTTCGATGCTTATACGCAGTCGAGTTCCCAGAGGTACACAGAACGACACGTTCTGCTACTGTACGGTAACCATGACGGGGTGCAGTGTGGCTTACTGAAACGACCTAACGCTGTACAAAATACCCCGCAAATATGTGGGAAATTACAAGGCAGTAATGAGTGCCAACAATTTCCTGTAAAATGTACGGTCAGCCTAATAATAATTGCAGGTTTAGGGCAAACTAACGAAATTTTGCGGAAGCCGTAAACTTCCTCTCAGACTTGCCCGTTCGTTTTACGGGAAATCGTTTTTGCTGCCCAAATAGGTAATTTACTGTAGATTTAAGGGATTTTAAAAATATTTTTTGTCATACAGCGTTCAGAGATTTTAAAGGCGAAACGAAGTATTGGAGCAGTCATTTCATAAACTCTGAATTTAAGTAAAACAGTTTTAATGGACTTACCCGATAATACGAGTGCCAATACAGCCAGCAACACTGACATTGTTTGATACGGAGGTACTACTCCTTGGACCTATTCGCCACAAAATTCAAAAAATGTTGCCTAAAAACACGTACTTTAGTTGCACAACTAGTAGTATGCTGCTCGCTTGTGCAGGCGAGAAGTCCTGGCCCCAGTGTGTTCTCAAACCATTGAGGCTGCGACCAAAGGTTGACCGTGAGATGAAGTACTCAAAATAGATACCGGTTGCTGAATTAGAACCACTTCACTGAATTTTCATCAACCCTTGCCTGACCTATCGTGTACGAACTTTGTCAATTAACCCACGACCGCCAGTATTGTTGACATTGAAATGATCAGACTTCAGAGACTTAGTGTATAAACAAAACCAGCATAGTTGGAGTATCAAGGTATTTTTTAACCACCAGCGCAGTAACTTACCAGGGTTCAAAGTTCTCTGGTGGAAGCAATGAACTCTTATGACAGAGAAGCACCGTTAGGCATATACCTTTACAATGTACTGCAAGTTCTTTGCAAAAGCAAATATTTTCTTATAGCTGTTCACGCTTTACTCTAAAATGTAAATTTGCTGGTTCCCCAAGAGAGTAATATGTGTTCTTTTGCTTCAGTGTTTTTGCCTTCGGGGAACCAATCATTCAAGGGTATTTATTTGATGGGATTGTCCTTCATGTGGACATTGAACTTGGAGCATAATGAAGCAGCGTGTATAGATACAGAACTTGGGGAAGGTCTGGTCTCATGTTTACGGCCTCGGAGCAATGCCTTTAAGATTACGTTCCTGTCTGGGTGTGCAAACAAAAACTGTAGACTCTCCAGTCTTGAACATTGGAGAGATTAGGAAGTACCGGGTCCGCTTGCGTTGAGAGAACGTGTATATACTACTCCATGAAGCCAAAAGCTGATACATGTAGGCTATGAGCAATTTGCATAAATTCAAAGACCCGACCCGCTCTGTGATGCAACCTCGGCATTTACTTTCTTGATCTTCCATTTCACATTTTAAATGGTGATCAACGAAGTTTTCCAATGTCTACCCAGAAGGAGCCCTGAGTAAAATTTCCGACAGTGGTTTACGCGGGGAGGGGGGGGGCTACTACTAAATTTGTTGCTCCACCAAAAACACCAATTTGGTACGATTTCTGCAAGTGCAATAGTTTACATGATGGAACAGCGCCACCTATAGTTCTACATAGGTCATAGACTGGTTCTGATAATTCTCCAACATCCGTCACGCTGTTTTGCCATCAGAGTCTGGCAATCAGACTGACTGATATAACGCTCATGTTTGCAAAAAAAGCCGAAAGAAGTCCACGTATCTTTCGGTATTTGTCGTATTTTACAATCATGCCAGCGTGTGAGCAGAGAGTGGACGACATAGAAGACATTATTGGTTCCAGTGACGTCACGCCAGCCGAAAGATATGGCAACAAATCTGAAGTGGTACCCAAAGTAAGACTAAGAAAAAAGAGCAAAAGAGATGACAGCGGCCGACAGCCCAGCGTTGCTGCAGGAACATGTGGAACGACCGGCGAGTCAATACAAGATGTGCTGGATGAAGACGTCGTGAACTGCCATAAAAGGTGTTTGGTCAATGCAGCATTTGATTCCCTCTTTCTAAATCTCTAAACTTGTATACTTAACTTTTTTAAATTCAACTTGGAAAGTATTCCATATGGGCTACACCATCATGTATACAGTGTCCTAACTAAGTGAAAGTAAAATTTAGTGAGGACAGTGTGTATAAATAAGAACTCACCAAACATAGACTTTTTCCCATTCAATGCAGTCTGCAAAGCTGAAATATTTTTCAGTGCCTTTCCGTCAAATGATGATGAATATCTGTGTCTCTCTTTTTTCTCTCTCTGCCTGTAAAAAACCCTGAAGCATCATTCCTGGCACGCAGAAGATCTATGTGAAGACGTGGGGATGCTCCCATAATAACTCAGATGGCGAGTACATGGCTGGCCAACTGGCTGCGTATGGTTACCAAATAACAGGTAATGAATTGGAAATAAAGATAATGGGGTAACGACATAGCACAGACAAAAACCACTGCATATGGCCAAGTTTCATGCGGTGACCATTAGTCAACCGCTCGTCGATTTTTACCTGATACCCAGGATGTATTTTGTGCGTAGAATACCAAGAATTGTTGTTGCAAAATTACACAACGTAATGGTAATTAATTATTAATTGGGTTACAGTCAAAAGTCCTCACAAGTCCTTTTAAGCTCATCCTAAGTCTGTGAGCCAGTTTGGTATTCCAACTGTGCATGCCCAAAACGAAGTATGTCCAAGGTCATTCGGACGCACATGTGAGGTCTGGTCTGTCAGCACGGCCATACACAGACGCACCCATGTGTTTTGTTCCCGAATGACCTTACTTTTTTTAAAGACTGAACAGCCTCATTGATGACCTCGTGTGGTCGTTAGCCAAGCCACAAGTGATTAAACTGAACTGCAACAAAAATATTCCATTGTCATTGTTCGCCCGGCTACCTGCGAAAGCTCTTGTGACAGATTTGACGACAGGCCCACCTTTTCTACTCTTTTTTAACCCCCCCTCCCTCCAGGCGAGCCGCAGGAGGCAGACCTCTGGCTTTTGAACAGCTGCACTGTCAAGAACCCGGCCGAAGACCACTTCCGCAACGAGGTCCAGCGTGCCCGGCGGCTAGCCAAGCACCTGGTGGTGGCTGGCTGCGTGCCCCAGGGCCAGCCCAAGCTGGACTACATCAACGGGGTCAGCGTGGTTGGTGTGCAGCAGATTGACCGGGTGGTAGAGGTGGTGGAGGAAACCCTGAAAGGTATGCGGCCAAAAGAAGGAACCGTTAAGGTGCTTCCTCACAGGTGTTTTCACGTAGGTGTAACCCAAACCCAAGACAGATCTTGGTTATAGCCGATAAAGCATTTATGTATCAGTGATGTGCAAGTGACCCTGAAACGTCATCCTGGGTGACAAAAGTGAGCAGGGTATGTATAGGGTGCGTATTTTTGCAAGTGGCATTGTGAAGGCCTGCTCCTGCCACTGTTTGTTTCATCTGTCAAGTTTAACCGTGTGATTTGTTCCATTTTTGACGTGAAATAATACATGCCTCATTCTTATACTGTGGGTGATTTCGGACAGGAATCCCCACAAAAACCCAGACTGGGCCATTCTCCAGGCTTCCATCATGTCTGTGCAACAACACATTCACATCAACTCTTACCTGGACAGAGTTTGTCAATTTAGTGAGGCTAGATTTTGCAACCTTCCCTGTGGTCACTGAGAAGTGACATGCCAAAGAACTTTCAGACTTGTTCAGACAAATCCAGGGTCTTCGCAAGCACACATGAACTGCCACGTCGATTGGCCAGGTCCAGTGCTGTCATCCTTGATGTTGATGCGTTGAAATTGTCGCAGTCACAGAGATCATTTCCATCATTACGTCCACCAAAGAACTGGAGACAAATTTCTCATTATTTTAACGACAAATTCTGACATGCGTACTGAAGTGATGTTAGGATGTCGTGGAGCAAAGGGCCAGTGATAGTCAGTTTGTCAAGGAAAAATAATCTGATTCACTATTTTGACAGGTCACACAGTCCGCCTGCTGAAGCAGAAAAAAAAAGAAGGCAAGAAGATTGGAGGGGCGCCGTTAGACCTCCCCAAGATCAGGAAAAACCCACTCATAGAAATACTAGCCATCAACACTGGGTAAGCATCCACCCACTGTTTTAACCAATTTTCATGGCATGTCATGTTATAGTCCTGTTTTTAAGACCCCCTTCCCCCTGAAAGTCTCTGTCAACTTGTTTATAAGTCAAGAAGCTCGGAGGGGCACCTGTAGATGTCTCCAAGATCAGGAAAAACTTATAGGGAGCCACATACGGTTTTTAACGTTTTTCATGGTATTTTAGAATGTATATAGTATTTCTATTAAGAAATTTTTCCTGCTTGCTGAAGAATTTATGAATTTGCAAAGAATTGATTAACATTTGACATTCATCATTTCAACCAATGAGGACTTCGTCAATGGGCAGCCTTTGACGATGCCCTATAGGTATTGAAAACGTTGGCAACTTTTGAATGACATTAAAAGTACCCACTTTAGTATTACTATGTCCAAAAATTCTGCAACACTTGGCACTTTCTCAACTTAATTTTTTCCCTACTTTAATTGCAAACTTTTTAAAACTGTGATTCCCCTTTCCCCGGCTCCTTAAGGGATAACAGGCCTTCATAGGGGAATACCTTAAAGTCATGTCCCAATTACTTGGCTATGGCTATCAGTAACACATAAGCTTATGGAGGATGACCATAGCCACAAGAGTTCAGCCTCTATAGACACATATATGTGTCATTTTTAGCCATAGCAAACAGTTTGTACGAGGCGTCACCTTCATCATCTCCATTTTCTTTTAGGTGTTTGAACCAGTGTACCTACTGTAAAACCAAGCATGCCCGTGGGGAGTTGGGCAGCTATCAGCCAGAGGAGCTGGTGGAGCGGGCTAGGCAGTCTTTCCAAGGTCAGAACTCAGCCACAGTCAAGTTTACTTTGTGTACAACATTGCTGGATTTAATTCCCATTCCTTTCAGTAGTATGAGACCTCTTTAGTCAAAAAAGAAAGACGGTGTTGGCATCGATTCAAGCTAGATATAGGTCTATTCCTTAAAACTACCCAAACCTGCTGTTGGAGTATGACATAAGACATGTACAGTACAAATCTGACTCGGAGTCGGTATTTGCGATGTCTGACTTGATTTAAAAAGTTGGCTGATACATCATGGCTTTCAAATGAAGTTGAGTTTCCAGTCTCAAAAATACAGTCTAAGAGTGGTTATAAGCATAACGGAGGTCAAGTTTGATCAACCACCGACTGATTTTGCCTGGTATCGAGAATATAATTACAAAGTTTTTGCACTGGTCACCAAGGGAAGTCAAACTGTAGCTCGTAGCTGGTTGAACTTGGCTTAATTTACAAAACAGAATTCTAACGTCGATGGTCTCTTTTGAATTGTTATTTTCTCAGAGGGTGTCTGTGAAATATGGCTCACCAGCGAAGACACGGGTGCCTACGGAAGAGACATTGGGGTCACCATCACTGAGTTGCTATGGCAACTGGTAGAGGTCATCCCGGAAGGTTGCCGAATGCGCATTGGAATGACCAACCCGCCGTACATCTTAGAACACCTGGAGGTACGAAAGCCAAAGTTTGTATGCCTGAGATGGTCCATGTGATAGAAAGACGTGAACTGCCATTTCCATTGCCCATGTTTCATATCAAATAAGTTCTTTTTTAAACATAACGGCACTGCAAATTCACAATAAAAATTTTATTGGCATGTACCAGAAGAACAGAATTCAGAGAGAACTGCAGTATAGCCGACATGAGCAGTGTGCCCAGTATGCTTTGCTCAGGAAATTGTTTCCTGGATGAATGTTTTGGTTTGTTCAGTGTCGAGTGGTCAATGCCATGTGGAGAGACTTGAGTGATGAATTATACATTTAGTATTTGAATTGTCATTCACATTGATTGAGAGCCTGTCAGGTGGGGATTTTCTGACAGATGAAAATGATACTGACATTTGAAGCACTTTCCAGTTTCATATGAAATGTTGATGTTTATTTTATGGACTCTAACCCTTATCTGTTACAATCGTCGTTGCTAGGTGAGCATGTGCAATACAGCCAATGAGCCTTCGTTATCAGAGTCAGATGTTCACTTGGCATCTGCTCAGCTACATTCTGCTTCACATCGCGCAGCACGTGATACAAACATCAATTTTACATACGGAAATTTAAGCACTGCGCATGAGAGGCACAATCCATTGATAAAGCTAGGGGGTGTGTTGCAAAATACGAGGTATAAGTTAATGAACAAGATCATGTGAAAAATGGTGAAGTTTTGACTTATTTTACTTTTTTTACCCAAAGGGATACTAATGAATGGCTAAGGGATGAGGCAGAGTTTGTTATCGTCCCCAGTCCCTTAGCTGGGTTTTTACACTTGTATACTAATTCAAATTCACCCCATCATACTTTTATTCCCATATTAAATGTGTGAGCAGAAACTATCGAGCATGAAAAAAGCGGCGATCAGGCTTGGTCTACAATCAAATCAGCTTGTGAGTCAGTCAGTCAGTTTGTTGACTCAAACAGGTACGGCTTGAGACAAGTACAATGCCTGACACACCATACCTCGTAGTCTGCTGTTCAGCTGATCAGCTAGCTGCTCTTGGTGTCAGCTTCTGCATTTTTTATCGTGACCTGGATCATCGTCTTTGCCAGCCTCTCCCTGGAATGAGAGTTCCAAGGGTCCCCGAATCGATAGCATACTTTGTGACCCAAATGTCATCGCCAGATAATTTATTCGCTGTACTTTAGGAGATGGCCAAGATCTTGAATCACCCCAGAGTCTACTCCTTCCTCCATGTGCCAGTGCAAGCCGGCTCTGACAACGTGCTGTTGGACATGAAGAGGGAGTATAGCGTTGCCGACTTCCAACATGTTGTCGACTTTCTCAAAGAAAGGTACAGTCAGTTTTTGTGCATGTCTTAGAGGCTGACAGGGTACATTGACTTTGGGGTTTTTCTCTGCTTGAGTCCCGGAACCTGTTGAAGTTATCATTTATTTCTGGTCTGCTGTAAATTCCACCTTGATAATTTCAGCGACGCCCAATTTTTGTTCTTGATTTCAAATAAATCCTCCTTCGGTTATCAGGTTGAATAAAACTTAAGATGTGTCAAGATGCACTCACTTGTGCAGTCATTCCACATGGGGCTGAGATCTAGTGATACACTGTGTAATAAACATGTTGGAGGCCCTTTGCTTTGAATGTAAACCTTGAGGTCAGATTTTCCGTCCTGTGTTGAGAGGTTATTGCCTCTGGTTGCTTGGAACAGCTTTGAAAAACCTGAACCCCTCTTCAAGATTAAGATGTGTGTTGGAAGACCTGCCGGTGTGGTACCAACAATTCATAAGGATAACTGAAAAAACATTTGTAAGATAACTGCTGTTCAGACAATTTGAAGTTGGTTGTCTGCCAAACCTGTAAATCTTTTGAATTAATGCATTGTTTTTCTTCAACTTTTATTTGCAGGGTTCCTGGGATAACAGTAGCCACTGATATAATATGCGGCTTTCCAACAGAGACAGAAGAGGTACGAATCTGCTTAAAAGGCTTAATATTGTTCAAAAGTAAAACTTGAATTGAGGAGTGTGGAAAGATCAAATGGAGAAATGAGCCGATAATTTTAAGGGCAGAAATCAAGGTTCCAAGTTCATGTGCAGATTAACCCTAACTCCCCAGAGTGATTTACTAGGAACCATACCCATTCACACAAATCCCAACACCCTATGGTAAACTGTGCACAAAAACTGATGGACTCTGTTTATTTTGGGTATGCCTGAACCTATGTTAAAGCACAAGCAGTTTAGGGGTACAGTACCCAGTGCCACAAATTCACACACTTTACTGGTGTTCAGTTCTGTGTGGTTAGGGAAGGTTAGGGTTAAGGTTGTACAGGGTGTAGACTCCACTAGTCGCAAAATTGTCCAGGTTGAAAGCCAGCCTGAATTGAATATATACCATTTACTATCGTTATATAATATTTCAATGATATTTTATAATAGTTACTGTCATTTTATTAATAGAAACTTTCCCCTCCATAGTCTTTGTTTTGCACTTGCGGTTAAGATTGGTAATTTTTTTGCAAGAAATTCCTGTTGAAATTTCTAGACTTTTCTAGAATTTTCTTTTTGCCGGACCAGAAGTACATGTATATTTTACAAAGCTGATGTCAAGTAAGAAATATAGATTGTAGTGAAATTGAGAAGGATGTTCATTTGAAAATGTTACCATGTAGATATCAACAATGGCCTCACTTGTTGCCTAAAATGTTAAGATTGTAATGCAAAAATTGCCATGAAACTGAGCACTTTGAAAATACAAAAAAAAATCATCAGCTTCCTGCACGGCTGAGGATGTTAGGAGGATTCAAGAAGCTTCATAATGATGTCTAAATCTGGCAAAATTTCAAACACACCCATCAGGATTTTGAGGAGACCATGAAGCTGGTAGAGCAGTATAAGTTCCCTTCCCTCTTCATCAACCAGTTCTTTCCCCGGCCTGGCACACCAGCAGCCAAGATGCCCCAGGTGCCTGCCCAAGTGGTGAGTCAGTGTTAGTTTGGTTTTGTTTGGCCGTACCACTGAGGACAGGCACAGAGGACAGGAAACACTGGAGTTTTCCTGTCTGTGACAAGCTCAACAAGCTATTGAAAGCAAAGGTGCTAAAGGCTCACACTTTCGGATATTTTGTGGATCCTTAATCATTTCCGGCAACTATTTATTTGGTATTGATGTGCATTATAAGACAACTTAGTGTACATTTAATTTCCTCCTTCCGTCAGAAAAAGGCCAGGACAAAAAAGCTCTCCACCTTGTTTCAGAGCTACCGGCCGTATGACCACAAACTTGGACAGAGACAGCAGGTCCTTGTGACAGAGGTGTCGCATGACAAGCAGTATTACGTCGCACACAATAAATACTATGATCAGGTAAATACAGAGGTTATGCCGGAGAAGGTTTAGAGGGTCTGGACTTGTATCTTTAAAAAATAGAATCGTGTTTACTTTCGAAGGAATGCCCTGAAAGTAGTGCTGTGCCAAGTGTACCAAATATATGAATATTCAGTCATCAACCAAATTCGAATTGCATTTTTGCTGGTTTTTCGTCGAAAACAAGACAGGAATAGAATGAAAAATTGTTCTGTTTTTTTTTTCTGTAAATGAATAATAATGAAACTGAAAGAAGTAACTTGGCTAGAGTCCAGACTCTTTGGGGGTCTCGACTACAGCAATGGTTAGTACTATTGCTTCTACCGAACATCTCTGCCAAATATCAAATCTTCCTACTTTTTCCCCGTCTGGTTCTGGTTCAGGTGCTGGTTCCAAAGAAGGAAGAGTACATGGGGAAGATGATGGAGGTCAACATCGTTGAGACGGGCAAGCACTTCTTGAAGGGCCGACTGGTTGGTGATGAAGGAGACATCATCGCACCGTCCATAGCAAAACCCCTTGCCCTGGGACAGGTGTCGGGCATCCATTCGGTAGGTGATGAGTCTCACAGGGAAAACCGAAAAAAAAAGGGCTTTAGAAAGAAGCAGTGGAGGCAAGAGAAGGGTGCATATCCACTTTTAGGCTGGATGCGACGCTTTCATGTAGAGTTCAGTCTTTGCCTAGGCATTTGGATAATGTGCATGCAGTATAGAGGCTTTGCACGGTAGCCATCTTGCAGGGCAGTTCTTTTGTTCCACAGGGAAACCTCCTTTGTGCATACCCTGTGGAGCAAAAGCACTGGCCCCTAACATTGCTGCCATGCAAACCCTCTTTAGCTGTACGCTCAAATGACTCAAGAGTAACTCCTCTGTGAAGTCTTCTTTTCTCTCAAATTTTGCTGTTGGCTGCACGCTCACTGTTGTCATGGTCAGTGACATCCTGTACAATTGTTTTCATGTGAATGATTCCCTCTGTACTGATAAAGTAAAATGGTTACATAATCAGTGGTGTGACAGTGTCTCATGGCCTGGCTCCAAATGGTGAACTAGATGGTTCAAACCATTCATTTTTCAGGCAACCTTAGTCAAACTGTACTTAACTACGGTTGTTGCAGGAACTTGACCAAATATATTGGCCTGTGCTGACAGAAGACGCAGGCCTATCTCTTTCCAGACACGGTATCAGTCTAATTACTTTAAGGTAATCAGTGCACAGATACCAATGTGGTAGGGTTCTATATGACTGATCTTTAGTAAGCTAGCACCGTAGAGCTGTATTAAATTACTAGCTAACTCATTGGAGCATAATGAAGTCAGATGGAATGAATTCTGAATGATTTACTGTAAATGCAACGTGCTAGTACTGCGTACACGTCTCTATCATGTCTATCACATGATATGATACATTATAAAAGTCCCAGCAAATTCACCTGTTGTGTAGTACATGCATGTTGGCTTTGATTACACTGAGCAAAACGAGATGCTCATTTAGTGATAAAGCGTTTGAGTTTTTGACGTGTCCGCTTTGTTGATGAATCATTGTTAGAATACAGACGCAGATATTGAGTTAATTGTATGAAAGCCTTACAAACTTTCTAGTTTTCCATTGGTTTGTGCACAAACATGGATGGGCCCATCAGGCATCATTTTACGAAGCAAGTTGACACTCTAGTAATTTAACCCCTTCGCTACGGAGGACTGCTACTACCGCACCACTGTGTGAGGATTAGTGCATACCACACATACAGTCTATTCACCATGCAGCTGCTGGTTCAATGGGGCCTGCTGCTGGACAAAGCCCTCCATTCAGGGCATACCACAGCCCAGCAGTCACGGTCAAAATAATCCTGCCGTGAAGGGGTTAATATAGCTCTGTAGCTAGCACCCATGTCATGCAAAACAGCCTAATGCATACTATGTGTGAGTTGCACATATGCAGCAGTCAGTCTTATTCCAATTGAAACTCATCAAATCTTGATGAGCTTGTTTGTAGTCGGCCAACTGACCCAGCTTCTTAAAACTCTTTTCTCTTTTCTTCTCCTACACCTCTCCAGATTCTTCAGAGTCCGGAACCACGTGAGTCCTGGTCGTGGGTCAACATCACCATGGCGATAGTTGTTGGCACTTTCCTCGTGAATGTGGCCAGGACATTGCTGCACTACTTTCTGTACACAGGGGGCTGATGGTAATCTGGTCATACGGAGCTATACAGCAAGTCAAGTTTTTATGAATGTACATAGATCAAGCAACTGGGATAAATTTCTTAGCTTTGACTTTATCTGTGCACATCTTGGCAGGGTTTCAGGCGTGTAAATCATTAGTTTGCACCACACTGTCTGGTTCACAATGACGTCACACTTCAATACTTTAATGCAACTGGGATGTCATACGTGTGGGACAAAAGGACATGTGCGGCAGTGAACAAAATATTTCTGCCCACATGCTCATGCTAAACTCTGGCTCATTGACGGCCGAGCCGTTGCGATGTGAGACGTGTGTCTGAGTGATGCATGGTGAATGCGGCTGGTCAGCCATGCCAGTGTATGTCATTGTCACATCAACAAGCGTCAACAGGCATGATCCTTGAACAAAGCACCAACAACCTAAAAATGCACCCTAAAGTATTGGCAAACTTAGGTGACCCTCACATGTCCTGTTATGTGCAACCCAGACCTTAAGGTCTCAGGGTACCATGTTTTACATTGACTTATAGGTGCCTTCATTACTTCATTACTTTCTCTGATGTGTTGCAAACTACATGTAACACATTACAGGTGCTTTTTCCTCTTGTTTTCCTAAGCTGTGACATCTGTTCATATTAACCACTACCTGCCGGGGACTCCGAAATCGGAGCCGTATGGTTTATATGCGTGGCCGGGGTCTCCGAATTTGGAGAAAGGAAACAGGGCCCTGTAACAAAAGACCGTACTCCGAACAAAAGACCAGGCTGCTGGGATTTATCAACATTTTTCAC